TTAACACACAACATAGATAAATATTTTCTTAAATATTGTTCATAAAAAAAAGTATGGTTTTTAATCATAAAAAAAAATCCAAACAAAACATGTAAAATATACGGCAAAACTGTATTCAAGTGTAATATATAGCGATGGGTAATTCTTTTGCTTTATGAATTTATGGAAAACTTTCTTCATTTTGCCTCTTGAATTAAATTTCATTAATATTCATCAACTTGCAAATGAAGAAGAAAAAATCCTGGGGGTCCCTCATTTTTTTCCATAGAATTGCAGTTTCAATTCACATAATTCTGTAATGTTTTACGCATCGTTATTGTCTTTCAATTTAACATAAAACGATCTAATATTTGTACTATATTCGAAGTCAACACCAAAAATCTTCAATTCTGCACAAGTATATGTCATCCTATCATTGTTTTATTTTGACTTTACGTTTTGTTTTTATAACTTAACATTTTACTGTTTCAAGTCAAGACCAAACTACTTCAAATCTACATCGTGTAGTTTCAAGTCAACACATTGTATGATAAGCCTCTCGTGACGTCATAATGATATAACATCGTGCTATCTTAGCTCAACAACATGTACTTTCAACTCTACGTCGTGTAGTTTTGAATGAGCATATTGTATTGCAAGCCTATCGTGATATTATTATGATATAACATCGTGCTATCATAGCTCAACATCACATACTTTCAACTGTACGTTGTGTAGTTTTAAATGAGCATATTGTATGGTAAGCCTATCGTGACATTCAAATGATATAACAACATGCTATCTTAGCTTAACATCACCTAGTTTCAACTGAAAATCATGTAGTTTTAAATGAGCATATCGTGTGGTAAGTCTATCGTGACATTTTAATGATATAACAACGTGCTATCTTAGCTTAACATCACGTACTTTCAGCTGTACGTGGTGTAATTTTAAATGAGCAAATTGTCAAATAAGCCTATCGTGACATTATAATGATATAACATCGTGCTGTCTTAGCTGAACAACACGTACTTTCAACTGTACGTCGTGTAGTTTTAAATGAGCATATTGTATGGCAAGTCTATCGTGATATTATAATGATATAAGATATTGCTATCATAGCTCAACATCACGTACTTTCAACTGTACGTCGTGTAGTTTTAAACGAGCATATCGTGTGGTAAACCTATCGTGACAATTCTAATGATATAACAACGTGCCATCTTAGCTTAACATCATGTACTTTCAACTGTACGTTGTGAAGTTTTAAATGAGCAAATTTATAATAAACCCATTGTGACATTATAATGATAAAACATCGTGCTATCGTAGCTTATCATTACAAAATTTCAACTGTACGTCCTGTAGTTCAAGTGAGCATCTTAGCTTAACACGTTGCATCGTGTTGTTTTAAGTCAACAAATTGTATGGTAAGCCTTTCGTTTCAATATAGTGGTGTAGCATCGTGTTATCTTAACTTAACATCATGTACTTTCAACTGTGCGTCGTGTAGTTTTAAATGAGCATATTGTATGGCAAGTCTATCGTGATATTATAATGATATAAGATATTGCTATCATAGCTCAACATCACGTACTTTCAACTGTACGTCGTGTAGTTTTAAGCGAGCATATCGTGTGGTAAACCTATCGTGACAATTCTAATGATATAACAACGTGCCATCTTAGCTTAACATCATGTACTTTCAACTGTACGTTGTGAAGTTTTAAATGAGCAAATTTATAATAAACCCATTGTGACATTATAATGATAAAACATCGTGCTATCGTAGCTTAACATTACAAAACTTCAACTGTACGTCCTGTAGTTTCAAGTGAGCATCTTAGCTTAACACGTTGCATCGTGTTGTTTTAAGTCAACAAATTGTATGGTAAGCCTTTCGTTTCAATATAGTGGTGTAGCATCGTGTTGTCTTAACTTAACATCATGTACTTTCAACTGTGCATCATGGTGTTTTAAATCAACAGATTGCCCACCTATCGTAATATCACATTGATATAACATCGTAATATTTCAGCTCAACATTTATTAATAACAAGTCAGCACCATACATTTTAGCTATTCATTTTATTTATTATCATAGCTATCGAAGTGGATGACTGAGCAGTATCCATCTGCAAGCTAACATCATGCAACGTCAACTTTACATCATGTACTTTAAACCCAACGTTACGTGTATTTGGCATATCATCACAACATGGTGACTTATCATTATACTATCACGACTAAAGCACTTGTCATTGCAAGTCATCATTGCGCAAATTCAACTTAGCATATTGTAATTTAGAGTTAGCATTTTGATGACTCAATTGAACATCACGCTGTCTTAACTTTAAATTTTAAGCTTCAGCATAACGTTTTGTAAATCTCTAATATATGACAGCTGAGGCTTTCCATATAAAGTAATGGTTTACTCAATCTAATGTTTGCTTCACTATCAAGCCTTACGCGGGGCCTGGTATTCGCCTACGTTGTATCTTGAAATTGAATGTTCGTCTCTTACACAGCGCATATTCTTACTTCATCATCATTATAAAATATATATAACATGTTGTTTTACTAGTTGCAAAGCTACCTTCTGAAAACCCTCGTTAGTCCTATAATAATCAAATTATTGAAAAAAAATTTAATACCATATAGAAAATCTTTTTGGTAAAAATCTGCATGCAAAGAAAAACTTATTATGCTCAAATATTATTGACAACATGTTCATCTGTTTTTTAAGCACGTAATTTTTAGATGCATGATGGGATAAATCATACTATAATAATCAAATTTGTCTTTGAGACACAACCATTTCCAGTTATCACTACGAGTCATGTACTATCTTTGTCTAATTGACGTACATCTTTAACACAAATCTCCTTTGAAGAATGTTGCTGTTGTACTTGAATTTAGTCTCATTTGATTTTGTATGTATTTTACATTATTTCTTCAGAACATGGTGGATGGAGTTCATGGGGGTCTTGGAGTGTATATAGTAGTTGTTCAGCTACATGTACAACATGTGGATCATCCCAGTATCCACAACAGAGATACACTAGAACACGTTCTTGTACAAATCCAAGGCCTTATAAAGGAGGACGTTATTGCAGTGGTTCTTCTAGTCAAAACAAGTATAACAAGTGTAATACCAACTTCTGTAAAGGTATATTAGATTTAAAAAAATCAAATTTTGTAATTCAAGTTATTAGTTTTGGCAGTGGGTAATAAATTTAAGATAATGCTACAAGAAAATATCGACTTCCGATAAGACTTGATTAAAAAGATATCAGATCAAAAACGTTGAAGCAAACGATATGGACCTACGATGGCTTATGTTATAGGAATACTCTTAAAGAATGCTAGAATCTAGGAATCTAAAATAGTTTTTGAGATGTTTATATGTGGCTTTTTCAAAGCTATTTAACCCAAACCCATTACGCGCTTATTGTCTTGACAAGCTATACTTACGAGCCACCCAATTTTATAGAATTGGTTAATAGCACAAATGGCGTTTACTCTAAATATGTAAGTAATGTTTGTCCCTTATCAACGCAATTTTAAGTAAATATGTTATAAATCATGTCAATGGCGAAACACTGACAACTAGTTGATGATACTATCGGGATAATGTATATTTATAGTAAATGCAGGATGGAGTAGTTAGGAACCCTAGGGAAACTGGGGGAATTGTTCTACTTGGTGTATACCATGTGGATCGCTCTCATTCAACCACAAGCATAGATATACCGTAACAGATAATGTATAAAGCCAACACCTGCTTGTAAACGGAAGTTACTGCTCTGGTTCAAGGAAAATTGTAGAATCAAAATTATGTTACATAGGTGGTCATTTGAATTAAGGATTAGACGAAAACGGCATTAAATAGATTTGCATGACTTGCATGTTTGTGCAACTATTCAAGGTCTATAGAAATTGTTTTTTTTTTAATTAACCTACACCAGAAACGCTCGAAGCTTAAATGGGAGATTCCTTCATTCCGCAACAAACAGTTATACGGACATTTTTTTCTAATCGCCTTCACATATTGAGCTGATTTTTAGTATGTGAGTCTACTATGATGAGTTACAGATTGAGTCCAAATTGGTTCCGCTCCGCTCATTTAGGCCGAAACTACGGGCTTTTGACTTTGAATATTTTGTGAAAATAACAGTTTTTTCTAAACGTCAGCACATATTGTGCTGATTTTTAGTATGTGAGTCTACTACGATGAGTAACAGATCGAGATTACGTTTGGTTCCACTCCACTGATTTTGGCCGAAATTACAGTCTTTGGACTATGAAAATTTCGAAAATATACCAGTTAAAATGCCCTGTTCTAAACGCCTTCACATATTGCGCTGTTATAGTATGTGAGTCCACAATAATGAGTTACAGATCGAGTTTGCGTTCGGTTCCACTCCGCTGATTTTTGCTGAAATAACGGACTTTGGACTTTAAAAATTTCTAATCTTAGAAATGCCTTCATGCATTTTTCGAAGGTGGGGCCATTCGTGTGATTCCGACACATCTACTTTAAAAAAAGTGATACGTTCTTCCATTCTGGGGAAACCATATATATCATTTTTTTTTCGTGTTTAAAAAGATTATTTTATACTTTCTTTTTTTTAATCATGCACTTAATCTGGCAATTTACAACGAATTGCTAGCATATTATATATTTTCTCATTCACACTTAATAGAATTATGACTATTGAACAGCGGTATACTACTGTTGCCTTTATTTAGTGTCGACTTTTCTAATTGCTTTCGAGAAAAGTCGATATTAGTTGATTCCGAACCCATGTAGACTTTAAAAGGTAATGAAATAATTTGATAGTTGCACTTCAATCTTTAGATAAACTTTAAATGACAACATAATGATTACTAGTTTAGTAGTATATAGAGTTTACCTCAAAAGATTAAAGTTTAGAGTAATTGTTTTCAGTAAATGGTGGTTGGGGATCATGGGAACCATGGACAATGTGGACTAACTGTTCATAAGAATGTAGGAAAAATGGTTCAATATCACCTACACAGACACGAACCAGGGAGAGGCTCTGTAATAATCCATCACCCGCATGTCATGGACGATCCTGTGATGGTTTGCCCATAGAAAATTCAACTGAAGAATGCAATACACAATATTGTCCAAGTAATTTATATACACTGTTTTATGTGAGAGATGAAACGTATCATTTCTTATACATCACAGTGAAAATGTTATTTCGTGAATTGTCAAATAAGATGTTTGTGATTTAGCCAAACTAGATCAAATTCCTTGAAAGTTAACTAAAATTTTGCCACACACTATGTTTCAAAAGATAAACAGAACACCACATCTGTCTTATGTGTTACTCTGACATTAGGTAACTTAGTTTTATTATTACTTGATGATATTTTGTCTTTATATAATATGGTTTTATCATTCCTTAATGATGTTTTGATATTACCCAATATTGTATAGTCATTACTGTATTTCGATATAATTACATTGCATGCCAGGCTTCGTATTGACTTGACATGATTTTGTCATTACTTGATATGGTTGTGTCATGACGCAATGTGGTTATAACATTACTTGATGTGTATGTTGATTAACGTAATGATGTTGTTTCATTACATGATGTGTTTTTTTTTTTTATTTTGTAATGACGATTTGTCAATTTTTTATATGGCTTTAACATTACATAATGATGTTTCAGTTTTACACTACATGAAGTGTTCGTTCTAGTATTTGATGTGGTTATCACATTACTCGTTGAGGTAAAACCACGTGACCATTTGGGAAAATTGGTTCTATTTTAAAACCCGTTTCCATGTAATTTTTTTTATGTTCCTCGGACGAGTGTGGCTATCCATCGAGTTGGAGTTCAAAACTGTTCGAGTTAATTTCGACAGTCAGGATTCTACTTCGTCAAAATTATCTCCCCATTACGCTTCTAATTTTTATAATCGTAAAAACGGAAGCCATTGTAGTGATGACGCGCTGTCAATTTAGCCCTTGAAAACCGATAAATTTATCCATATAGCATCATTACGATCCTTATATGCCAGTTGTATTTTAAAGGAAAAATGTATCTACTAACTATTGAGCATCATTTAATGTACTTTAATGCATTTGGTCAACTTGAAACTATTGTCGGATCGGTTGTCAGGGGGAATTTTCCCTTCTCTATCAAAGAGTTCAATTTCATTTGTTTGATTTCAACTGGGTTTCCGCCTGTCGAGTTAGTCTTCAAGTTAGAAGTAAAGCCAAAATTAGAGTTAAAGTTCGAGTTGAGTTTAGAATTGAAATTCGAGTTTAAGTAACATTTAAAGGTAGAGTTGGAGTTGAAATTCTAGTTAGAATTCGAGTTATTAGATATCAGTTCGTATTAAATTTTCTATTGCGGATTCTTGGCTTTCGCTTGGGCTTTCGAAAAGGGGACTGAGGGGCATGCGTACATTATGGGGGACCGACAGTCAAACATAAGAAAAATAGTACACAAAAAAAATAAAAATTTGGGAATGCACCCCGCCCAAATGTTCCATCAGCTATTTTTTTCAATAATCATTTGCACACAAATCGTTAAGATAAATTTTTTCCAGTGTTACACGAACGCCACCATAACGGGCGTGATCTCGGTTGCTCCGGAAGGTAATCAGATCCTGCTCCACATGTGCAACCCGTGGTGTTGTTCATGTAACTAAAGACCGGTGATAAGTCTCATTAGACTAAGAGAGGACGGGATTGTTGTTACGACAATTGAAATATATCTGTCGTCATCTTTGAAACAAATATTCCTAAAACATGTTTTTTAAGGATGTTCGCTACTCTGTTTCAAAATAACAAGCTTTTTAAAAGACTATTATAAATTTATAGTATATAAATAAATGAACTGAAAAAGCAGAAAAAAATGTAGGGTCCATGTGCTTGTTTTCGAGATATAAGCCATGGAAAATTTGGTGGGAAATAATTCTCTCTAGATTTTTCATACATTTAACATTGGCACCTTTTTTCTTTCAAAAACAATGAAAAAATAACAAGGATTCTATAAGATTTTCAAATATGGCTTTTAAACTATATGTAATAAAATTATGAAAAGAAAAGTGTGGTTTTGTGGACAAAATTATTTAATGGCCAAACATGGATAAAACCAGAGGATTCCGAAAATTTGGCAAAATTCAAACATCCTTAAGTGCGAGGTATATCAGAATATATTCGAATATGTCAAATGATTATACGCGCTAAAACATCAGGGAATTGTTATCATATAAAATTGATGCTTTGTCCATTAGTGCGATCCCCCCGTTTCCCTTCCGGTGCCGTCAACATTTAGGTTAAGTCTGAGGTTATAGATTTGTTTTTTAGACATCAATAACTTTTTTATGAGATTAGGATAAAAGTTTTTTTATAAAAATATTTATTTTCTTTTTTCTGCATTTTACAGGTGAATGGATTTAAATTTTTACACTTAACATATAAATACAGCCTGAGGTTAAAGTTTTTCATTCATCAATAACTTTGTTATACAACATAGACAGACGGGTTTTATTTTACCAAAAGATAGTATCTAGAATAAAATTTATGAAATATTTATCTTTTTTTTTCCGTATTCAATTGATAAAATGACTTATTTTTTGGCAGTCAACAAGTTTATACAATCTGTGGTTGAAGTTTGTTATACATCAATTACTTTGTCAACCTAAATAGAGTTTTTACACAAAGAAATATGTCAATTGGACCTGCTTTGATACGATAACTGAACTTGAATTTTTACTAAAAAAACATTTTTGTTCGCTATGAAGATTCCGTATGTTGTCAAGTTATCGGAATTCCAATGAGGAATAACTGTGCACCACTTATTGCGGATCTGTTTCTGCATTTTTATGAGTTTCAATTTATGACTAAAATCAGCAAAGACCCATCGAAACAACATCTGTTACAAAAATTTAATAACACTTTTAGATATTTGGATGATATATTGGCTCTCAATAATGACGACTTCAGTCTGTGCACTAAAAAGATTTATCCTGCTGAACTGACTTTAAATAAAGCTAATACTGACAATGAACACTGTCATTTCCTGGATCTTGATATCTATATCTTTAACTGGAATCTTAATACCAACATTTACGATAAATAAAGGCAACAGTAGTGTACCGCTGTTCAAGATAAAAGAGATGATTTTTCATTTCCTAGTTTTTATTATCCTTTTTTAGATGGTGACGTTCCCTTGTCACCGTCTTATGGTGTTAATATATCTCAACGTGTTCGATTCGCTCGTGTATATAACAATGTATTTGATTTTAACGAAAGAAATCTCTGTAATACTGAAAAATTATTACACCAGGGTTTACGATATCACAAAACATTTACTAAATTTTAACATCGGTACAAGGACATCATTCGTAAATATAAATCAACATGCAGACATCTTATACGTTCAGGTATTTGACATCCAATCTTTTTTGGTAATATTCTATACAAAGCACAAAAATATCATCATTCTCTCTTCAAAAGCTAACCAAACCTTTAAACAGACTTATTCAGAAGGGATATAGTTACGATACTGTTGTCAGGTCATTAAAGATGGCATATATTGGAATTAATATTGATTCACTCATAGGGTCTTTGCATCGGAAATAAAAACATTTATTCTAACACCAATTGTTTGCATGATACGTGTTATGTTCTTCTCATATATTTTATGATGGTATGTTACTAAACCCCTAACGGGAGGGATTGTGCTTGATTTTCATATGATTATGACATAATCTTTCAATCAGTTTAATTGAGGTCTGAAGCTGGAATGTCAGTAACTGTTAGTATGCCTTTGTTAATTTATGTATCATTGTCATTTTGTTTAGTTTCTTCTGTTACCTATTCTGACATCGGACTCGGACTTCTTTTAAACTGAGTTTTACTGTGCGTACTTCTGTGTGTTTGTTTATTCTACATTGCCTAGAGATATAGGGGGAGGGTTGAGATCTCACAAAACATGTTTAACTCCGCCGCTTTTTTGCGTCTGTCCCAAGTCAGGAGCCTCTGGCCTTTGTTAGTCTTGTAGTTTTTTAAATTTTAGTTCTATTATGTTTTGGACGTCCCTTTTCACTGAACTAGTACACATTTTTATTTAGGGGCCAGCTGGAGTCCGCCTCCGGGTGCGGGATTTTCTTGCTGTGATGAAGATCCATTGGTGGCCTTCGGCTGTTTTCTGCTCTTTGGTCGGGTTGTTGTCTCTTTGACACATTCCCCATTTCCATTCTTAATTTCATTATTAAACTTTCAATTGGCAGAAGCTTTTTTATGAGAGAGATAATGTCTGAAGCAAAGTTTTGCTATTATATTAGTCATAACTTTTTAATATTTTACTGATAGTTGGACTTATTTCTTTGCAGCAAACATTTACCTAATTAATCTTTTTTGACATGATAAAATTTTAACCAGACTTCTTTGATTGTTATAAAACTTGGACAGAAGCTTATCCTTAAGATAATAAAAATCATCGAAAGAATTTTTTTTTTCTAGTAAATGGAGTCAACATTACACTTTTTCACTGACAGCAGTAATCGCAGGCGAGACACAGGGTTCCGCGGAAACATTACGATGATTTCTAACTATGATACTACTTGATATCATATTGATTAATGACAAAACTATATAACGAAATAACAAAACCATATAAAGTAATGACAAAACCATATTAAGTAATGACAAAACCATATAAAGTAATGACAAAACCATATTAAGTGATGACAAAATCATATAAAGTAATGACAAAACCATATTAAGTAATGACAAACCATAGTGAGTAATGACAAAACCATAGTAAGTAAATACAAAACCATAGTAAGTAATGACAAAACCATATTAAGTGATGACAAAACCATATCCAGTAATGAAAAAAACATATGAAGTAATGACAAAACCATATTAAATAATGTCAAATCCATATTAAGTAATGACAAAACCATATAAGTTATGTCAAAACCACATTTAGTTATCACAAAACCATATAAGTTATGTCAAAACCACATTTAGTTATCACAAAACCATATTAAAGACAAAACAATATTAAGTAATGTCAAAACCATAGAAATGACAAAACCATATTAATGACAAAACCATATAAAGTAATGGCAAACCCATATTAAGTTATGACAAAACCATATTAAGTAATGAGAAAAACCGTATAAATATATATCAAAACAATATTAAGTAATGACAAAACCATATTAAGTAATGACAAACCCTTATTACGTAATGTAAAACCATATTAAGTAAAGCCAAAACCATATATAGTAATGACAAAACCATATTAAGTAATGTCAAAACCATATTAAGTAATGTCATAACCATATCTAGTCAATACGAAACCATGTCATATAAAATCGAAATATCATTAAGTAACGACTATACCATATTGAGTAATATCAGAAAATCATTAATTAATGTCAAAACCATATTATGTAAAGACAAAATGTCAGCAAGTAATAATAAAACCAAATTACCTAATTTCAGAGTACAGCATTAGACAGCTGTGGCGTTAAATATAAAATACCAAAGGGATATTCAATCCCGTAAGTCAAAGACAAGGTAACAACGTCCTGGCAACAAAACGAAAAACGACTAAATGAATAACATCATTTCATAAAACACAACATAGACAACTTAAGACTAGACAACAATAGAATGTTTAAAAAAGATAAAAGCAACAAACATCTGTATGCATTTCGTTCCAAAATCAAATTGTTAATATACAAAAATATACGTATGCCGCAATCTAAACCTATTTGTCCAAGAAAAACAATTCAATGGCCTCAAGAGCAAAAAACGTTGTTTTAACAGGCTATGGCCCAATGTTCATTGCACATGTAACTTTGTATTGGCTTCAAAATTTTAAAGATTTTTCTAAATGACTACTTTGAATCTAATTCTAAATTTCAAATAAGTTTTTGACATGGATTTCTAATATCTAGATGTCAACTTAGAAATGCTAATTTTGAGACAAATCTTCATAAAACGTGCAATAATAGACCACTTTAAAAATTCTAAAAAACAATTGTTCTGAGATCAAGTGAGGTCTTTCCACCCGAATTCAATTAAGATAAGCAAATTTGGATAATAAATATTATGTCTGCTGTTATCAGATAGCTCATCTAAATTTGAGTCCAAAAATTCAAAACTCAAGACACTTCTCTCATATATAAAGGGAGAAAATAAGTCATTTCCGGTTCAATCAAAGTACTTCCGGTGTCAATTAATAGCTTATATTGCGCTGATTCCAAAAATATATAGTTTCTATATACTCTTGCTTGAAATAAGGGTGATAAGTTGTTACTTCCGATTAACACAATTTAAGATTCCAGTATAATATGATAGCTTACATCATACTAATTCCAAAAATATATTATTCTACGTATTTTTTTTTGTGAAATCGGTGCAGGAAAGGACTACTTCCGGTTTATGAAAGGTCACGTCTGGCTGACCTTTTCAAGGTCATATGTCTACCAACCTAAGGAAAAAAAACCAAGGCTTTATCATGTATAAATATTAATTATGGTAAAAATAAATATCTATAGCGTAAAATTTACCTTTGACCTTGACCTGAATTTCAAGGTCAAAAAGCTAGGACCTCAAATCAAATGACCCTAAGACTCTACTATATAATGGTTGATCTCTTCTATATATGGTTACTGAGTTTTATCACAATACAGCTTATTCTAAACATTAGAAGGAAGAAAAGTCCCACGAAATGTCAACGCACCCTGATAACCGAAATATATATGTTATGACATGTCGCAACAAACAGCTTAGTAAATGCATTTTGTCGATATCTTGTACAATTTCTGAGGAGAAGAGACAATAAGCCAAAACATAAATTGGAAATGACATTGACCTTTGACCTTGATCTCAATCTTTTTGGTGGACCAAGGACCAAAAATCAAAAAACCCAGATCTCTATCACTTATGGTTTGCCAGTTACAAATACATTTCACTTATATCAAATACAGAAGGGGGAATAACTCTCATATACATATCTTGAAGATGTAACGATCAATTTGCAAAAAAAAAGTTGTCAATTTAATTTACAGTTGCGAAGGAATAGACATAACAGAATAACTCTTACAAAGAAAAGTGTTCGGTTAAGGTTGTAAGTTTGAAATATATACGAATCACGGATCGTATACGGACCAACTATGAAAAAATTCCGTATTATTACGATTATAAGAACAGAAGCACGAATGACAGTGCTAACAAAAGTGAAAAATACGCATTCCACACGAATTAACAGACATTTATTGTATCCCCTTAGTTAGATGTATATATTTCAATGCATGTGCATTGTTTTATTTATTGATATACTTTAAATATTTAAAGTTAGATACTTTATATATCTTTTTTAAACGAGAAGCATTCAACTTTTGATACAGTTAGGTATTTGAAATTATAATGTGAGTGATACCATTGAAATTTAGAAACTTTAGTGTCATTGTTGGTTATAAATGTTGTTATTATAAGACAAAATATGTTCAATCTGAATCTGGATTCTAATTGATTCACTGTTTTAATTGCTATTTAAATATGAAATGGTAACAAAAGATCAAAAATAAACATATAAAACTCTGCAATGATATGAAATATATGCATTACACATGTACAATGTGCCTGAATGCATGATTTCATATAAAAAAAGGGCAATGTATAATGATGCGATTTTAACCGATAGTCGGTTGGTTTATGTCAACCGATTGTAATAGATAATCAGTTGGTAATTTCAACCGATTAGCCAACACTGGTATTGGGAATAATCCAGGTCAACGTTGTCGAAAGAAACCTTTAGCGTACATGATTAGAAACACTACTAAATGAATATAAAGAGAGTGAAGATATAATGCAAGAACGAATTATTGTTATATGTGATGTTAAAGATTAAATCCTTTGCTGTATTCAATTATAAACACCAACCGATTCACCTACCACTAACAATGTAGATTGTTTCCAGAAAGATCTTGTCGAATAGCAAAGGAAATCGTATTACTGCCAATAAAGAAGATATCTTTTAAGTTTGTAGGTGAGAAACCTTTGTTAGTTGATATATATCGATATTTGTAGTTGATGGTGGATGGTCACCTTTCGAATCATGGTCTGATTGGACTCAATGTAACCGAAGTTGTGGAGGAGGATTGAGAGAGAGAACCCGAAATAGATCTTGTACAAACCCTATGCCTTTGCATGGTGGCGAAAAATGTGATGGACTTGATGAGGATATCGCGATTGAAGATTGCAATACATTGAAATGTCCAAGTAAGTATTTACTGTACCAGCGTTATGATATCATTTGAAATTATCATCACTTGACGACTGTCGTCGTCCGTTAACTTTTACAAAAATCTTCTCCCCTAAAACTACTTGCATGACCAAAAATACAACAAGCATTGTCGAAATCGTCAGACGGATCCTTACAGGAGTAATTGCGCTTAAATGACAATTTTTGCCATTTTTTTTCTTCAAATTTACCTATAATCTTGAAAACGGTAATATTTAGAATGAAACTTTATATAGAAAAAACTAATAAACAAAACAAGATATACAAATAAGTCGACATGACAATATTGAGACAAATCTTCATAAAACGTGCAATAAAGGACCAAATGAAATACATCTAAAACCAATTATCCAGAGAACAATTGAAGGTCTTTCCACTCAAATTCACTTAAGACAGGCAAATTTGCATAAAAAATAGTATGTCTGCTGTTTTAATTGCTATTTAAATATGTAAAGGAAACAAAAGATCAAAAATGAACATTCGGTTTGAGCCAAGGGTCCGTGTTGAAGACTGTACTGTGACCTATAATGGTTTACTTTTATAAATTTTTACTTGGATGGAGAGTTGTCTCATTGGCACTCATACCACACATCTTCTTATATCTATACAAAACTCTGCAATGATATGAAATATAGGTGTAGGAATCAAATCTATGGCGGGTTCCAAATCTATGGCAGATTCCTAATCTGTGGCAAATGTGACGTTACAAACGTCAAACAAATCAAATCTATGGCAGATTTTTGTTTTTTTTCCAAATCTATGGTAGATCTTGAAATTGTATAATTTCCCGGGAAAAAGAATAACATATAACGTCACAATATTGAATAACGTCATATTACACCATGATCGCCGCTGCTAATGATGGCGGAACCAATAGATCAGAACGCCATTCCAGATGAAGGTATTTTCCTTCACATTAATTTGCGGATGGTTTAAAGGAAGATTTGACCTATCATCCAGAAGAGGGACAAATTGTGCTGTAGCGGCCTAAGCCCGCGATGAAAAAGGGCACCGCTGTTTTCAGTACCGGATATTTTAGAAAAGTAGTCAGTATAGTAAATATTTTACCGTCTACGGCTGGCAAAGTTTATAAAGTGAAAGATAAAATTACCGGATACCAATTTGATTAAAAATGTCATCAAATACAAAAGATGTACTAACGATGAAATAAATATTATTACACATCTGTTCATTGAAATCTTGAAGTCTGTATTATTGTATATGAATTCATCATTTACGAAATTTTTTGGTTGCCATTACCGTTTGGTTGATCATTATGGAATGTTTATTTCACAAATGTTTAAAGACATGTTCCCGTTGTCGTACATTTCCACTGGTTTAAGACCAGTCATTGGTCGTATATGTTATGCATTGTTTTCCGTTTGCACAAAATTTGACATAGATTTGGGAACAACAAAAATTCGCCATAGATTTGGGAACAACAAAAATCCGCCATAGATTAGGAAATATCAAACTTGCCATAGATTGGGATTGTAAAAAATCTGCCATAGATTTAGAATGGCATGACGTCACATTTGCCATAGATTAGGAATCTGCCATAGATTTGGAACCCGCCATAGATTTGAGTCCTACATTATGGCGGGTTCCAAATATATGGCAGATTCCTAATCTGTGGCAAATGTGACGTTACAAACGTCAAACAAATCAAATCTATGGTAGTTTTTTGTTTTTTCCAAATCTATGGTAGATCTTAAAATTGTATAATTTCCCGGGAAAAAGAATAACATATAACGTCACAATATTGAATGACGTCATATTACACCATGATCGCCGCTGCTAACGATGGCGGAACCAATAGATCAGAACACCATTCCAGATGAAGGTATTTTCCTTCACATTAATTTGCGGATGGTTTAAAGGAAGATTTGACCTATTATCTAGAAGAGGAACAAATTGTGCTGTAGCGGCCTAAGCCCGCGATGAAAAAGGGCACCGCTGTTTTCAGTACCGGATATTTTAGAAAAGTAGTCAGTATAGTAAATATTTTACCGTCTACGGCTGGCAAAGTTTATAAAGTGAAAGATAAAATTACCGGATACCAATTTGATTAAAATTGTCATCAAATACAAAAGATGTACTAACGATGAAATAAATATTATTTCACATCTGCTCATTGCAATCTTGAAGTCTGTATTATTGTATATGAATTCATCACTTACGAAATTTTTTGGTTGCCATTACCGTTTGGTTGATCATTATGGAATGTTTATTTCACAAATGTTTAAAGACATGCTCCCGTTGTCGTACATTTCCACTGGTTTAAGACCAGTCATTGGTCGTATATGTACTGCATTGTTTTCCATTTGCACAAAATTTGACATATATTTGGGAACAACAAAAATTCGCCATAGATTTGGGAACAACAAAAATCCGCCATAGATTAGGAATCTGCAATAGATTTGGAACCCGCCAGAGATTTGAGTCCTACATTATGGCGGGTTCCAAATCTATGGCAGATTCCTAATCTGTGGCAAATGTGACGTTACAAACGTCAAACAAATCAAATCTATGGCAGATTTTAGTTTTTTCCAAATCTATGGTAGATCTTGAAATTGTATAATTTCCCGGGAAAAAGAATAACATAAAACGTCACAATATTGAATAACGTCATATTACACCATGATCGCCGCTGCTAACGATGGCGGAACCAATAGATCAGAACACCATTCCAGATGAAGGTATTTTCCTTCACATTAATTTCCGGATGGTTTAAAGGAAGATTTGACCTATTATCCAGAAGAGGGACAAATTATGCTGTAGCGGCCTAAGCCCGCGATGAAAAAGGGCACCGCTGTTTTCAGTACCGGATATTGTAGAAAAGTAGTCAGTATAGTAAATATTTTACCGTCTACGGCTGGCAAAGTTTATAAAGTGAAAGATAAAATTACCGGATACCAATTTGATTAAAATTGTCATCAAATACAAAAGATGTACTAACGATGAAATAAATATTATTTCACATCTGTTCATTGCAACCTTGAAGTCTGTATTATTGTATATGAATTCATCATTTACGAAATTTTTTGGTTGCCATTACCGTTTGGTTGATCATTATGGAATGTTTATTTCACAAATGTTTAAAGACATGCTCCCGTTGTCGTACATTTCCACTGGTTTAAGACCAGTCATTGGTCGTATATGTACTGCATTGTTTTCCATTTGCACAAAATTTGACATAGATTTGGGAACAACAAAAATTCGCCATAGATTTGGGAACAACAAAAATCCGCCATAGATTAGGAAATTACAAAACTTGCCATAGATTGGGATTGTAAAAAATCTGCCATAAATTTGGAATGGCATGACGTCACATTTGCAATAGATTAGGAATCTGCCATAGATTTGGAACCCACCATAGATTTGAGTCCTGCATATGCATTACACATGATCAATGTGCCTGAATGCATAAGTTCATATAAAAAAGGGCGGGTTATAATGATGCGATTTTAACCGATAGTCGGTTGGTTGATGTCAACCGATTGTAATAGATAATTAGTTGGTAATTTCAACCGATTAGCCAACACTAGTATTGGGAATAATCCATGTCAGCGTTGTCGAAAGAAACCTTTAGCGTACATGATTATAAACACTACTAAATGAATATTTAGAGAGTGAAGATATTATGTAAGAACGAATTATTGTTATTTGTGATGTTAAAGATTAAAATTTTTGTTGTATTCCTTTATTTTTCCTAAATAAATTGTTTTGAAAGAATTTTGTCGAATAACGAAGGAAACAGTACAACAGAGAGTCTAGAAGATATACTCTTAATAAAATTAAAACGTGTATTCATCGTCCATGCATGCATGGAATAATCTTAGTTCCAAAGTTTTCATGTTTACATAACATGAAAAGGTTTAGCCAAACTATCAACTGTTTGCAATTTATTTCTTAAAGTAAGTTATAATGCACAATATGTCTTTAAATCATAATAAATAGGTTGAATTTGTAAAAAAATCAACTAAAAGAAAAAAAAATGATATTTACATGAAATTAAAAAATAATCTAACTTACATCATGAAATTAAGCGGTAAGAAGAAATGGAGGTTTTCAAAACTTAATGTTGATTTCCAGTTTTATTTAATACCTTGTTCAATGTAGATTGTTTCCAGAAAGATCTTGTCGAATAACAAAGGAAATCGTATTACTGCCAATATAGAAGATATTTTTTAAGTTTGTAGGTGAAAAACCTTTGTTAGTTGATATATATCGATGTTTGTAGTTGATGGCGGATGGTCACCTTTCGAATCATGGTCTGATTGGACTCAATGTAACCGAAGTTGTGGAGGAGGATCAAGAGAGAGAACCCAAAATAGATCTTGTACAAACCCTATGCCTTTGCATGGTGGCGAAAAATGTGATGGACTTGATGAGGATATCGCGTTTGAAGATTGCAATACACTGAAATGTCCAAGTAAGTATTTACTGTACCAGCGTTATGTTATCATTTGAAATTATCGTCACTTGACGACTGTCGTCGTCCGTTAACTTTTACAAAATTTTTCTCCTCTGAAACTACTTGACCAAAAACAAACAAGCATTGTCGAATTCGTCCGACGGATCAATACAGGAGTTATCGCGCTTAAATGACAATTTTTACAATTTTTTTTTTAATTAACCTATTATCTGGAAAACGGTAATAGATGGAAAGAAACTTTATATAGCAAAACTAATAAACAAAACAAGATATACAAATAAGTCGACATGACAATATTGAGACAAATCTTCATAAAACGTGCAATAAAGGACCACATGAAATACATCTAAAACCAATTGTTCAGAGAACAATTGAAGGTCTACTAAATTCACTTAAGATAAGAAAATTTGCATAAAAAATAGTATGTCTGCTGTTATTAGATAGCTCATCTCAATATCAGTAAAACTAAACAATGCTTTAGACACTTCTGTCATACATAAAGGGTGGAAGATAAGTCCTTTCCGGTGTCAATTAATAGCTAACAGTGCGCTGATTCCAAAAAGATATAGTTTCTATATACTCTTGCTTGAAATAAGGGAGATAAGTTGTTACTTCCGATTAACACAATTTCACTTCCTGTATCATCTGATAGCTTACATCACACTTATTCCAAAAATATATTGTTCTACGTACAATTTTTCATGAAATCAGTGCAGGAAAGAACTACTTCTGGTTTACGAAAGGTCACGTCTGGCTGACCTTTTCAAGGTCATATGTCTACCAACCTAATGCAAAAAAACCAAGGCTTTATCATGTATAAATAATAATTATTGTAAAGATCAATATTGGACTCTACTATATATGGTAAATGAGTTTTATCACAGTACAGCTTTTTCTAAACATTAGAAGGAAGAAAACTCCCACTAAATGTCAACGCACCCTAATATCCAAAATATATATGTTATGACATGTCGCAACAAACAGCTTAGTAAAAATATTTTGTCGATATCTTGTACAATTTCTGATGAGAAGAGATGATAAGCCACATTATAAATTTAGAAATGACATTGCTCTTTGACCTTAACCTCAATTTTTTTGGTGGACCAAGAACCTAAAATTAAAAAAAACCCAGGTCTCTATTACTTATGGTTTGACAGTTACAAATACATTCCACTTATATCAAATACAGAAGGTGGAATAACTCTCATATAAATATCTTGAGGATTTAAGGATTAAACGATCAATTTGCCAAAAAAAATTGTCAATTTCATTTACAGTTATAAATGAATAGACATTACAGAATTGTGTTCATGGAGATAACTCTTACAAAGAAAAGTGTTCGGTTAAGTGTTGTAAGTTTCAAAAGGGCTGAAACTATTCGATATCATATACCAAATATATAGTAAGCGACATCATGCGAAAGATACAAACAACGCAAGAAATAAATTTGGCGGAAGAAAAAATAATAACCAGAACAAAATCAATTGGTCTTTCAATGGAAAAGTAGAAAGAACTAATAAATGTATTGGACCAACTTATGGTGGAACAGTTTGAAGGGTGTTTTAGGAATAATCCATGTCAGCGTTGGCGAAAGAAACCTTTAGCGTACATGATTAGAAAACACTACTAAATGAATATATGGAGAATGTACATATTATATCAGAACGAGTTATTGTTATATGTGATGTTAAAGGTTAATTTTTTGCTGTATTCTTTTATTTCTCCTTAATAAATTGTTTCGAAAGAATCTTGTCGAATAACAAAGACAACAGTATATCATAAAGTCTTGAAGATATACTCTCTATACAACTAAAACGTATATTTATCGTAAGCTTCTTAAAACATTAAATGCGAATGAAAAGTATTTTTAACACCACCCGCTCCTCCTACCACTACCAATGTAGATTGTTTCCAGAAAAATTTTGTCGAAGGAAATCGTACTACTGTCAAACTAGAAGATATTTTTTTAAGTTTGTTGGTGAGAAACCTTTGTTAGTTGATATTCATCGATATTTGTAGTTGATGGTGGATGGTCACCTTTCGAATTATGGTCTGATTGGACTCAATGTAACCGAAGTTGTGGAGGAGGATTAAGAGAGAGAACCCGATATAGATCTTGTACAAACCCTATGCCTTTGCATGGTGGCGAAAAATGTAATGGACTTGATAAGGACATCGCGTTTGAAGATTGCAATACACTGAAATGTCCAAGTAAGTATTTACTGTACCAGCGTTATGATATCATTACAGGAGTTATTGCGCTTAAATGACAATTTTTATTTTTTCCAAATTTACCTTTTATCTTGAAAACGGTAAATTATAGAAAGACACTTTATATAGCAAAAATTTTCAACAAAACAAGATATATAAATAAGTCGACATGGCCGAAATCGTCAAGAGACTCATTATAGGAGTTATCTGTCGATGTTTACCATTTTTATCTTTTATTTTTAAAAACTATTATAAAAGGAATGAAACTTTAAATCACAAAAATGATCAGCAAAGCAAGATCCACAAATAGATCAACTTAATCGAAGTCAAGTTTTTATAGGTAATATTAAAATGACGATCTTAACCATTTGTGTGCGCTTATAAAAATAATAAGGAGATGTGGTATGATTGCCAATGAGACAAGTATCCATCAGAGTTCAAATGACGAATACAACAGCAATTTTAGTAGACCCCATACCGCATATTCAACTATACAGATCCCGAATTGAAAAAATTAACAACAATTCAAACGAGAGAACTAACTGCCTAATCTATACAATAATCTTTACGAAAATATATATAACAGACAGGTCGTGCTCCTTGTAAAAGACAGAGTTATTTGGAAAAACTACTAAAATCGACAATACATACGTTTCATGGTCACTTCATGAATTGGTTTACCGACACTATGTATCTGTGTCTTTAGTAAATGGCGACATATTTTTGCGGGATACGTTGTTTGGATACTGGAATATAATACATGGCAGGAGATGCTTGCACAGTCAACGCACCCTGTCGTTCCTTTTGTCGTGCATGCGAATCCCTCAGTTTTCGTTAGTTACCTTGATGTGTATCTCCTTAATCGGCTAATGAGATTTGAATATAGGTAAACAAAACTTGTGTCTACATTTCGCCATCTTAATCATCCTCACAAAATCGTGACAAAAAAAAAAAAACAACAATATATAGGGAATGTCATTTAGTCTTAACATTTAATCATATTTTGTTATTTTTGTTACCGATTAGGAATTGTCATGATTTATTAGCACTAGTTGGTTTATCATCGTCTTTGAATACAGAAACACAGTTGTGACAAGGATAATGTTGTAAAATTGAAAGAGTAATAAGTAAAGTTATTGATAATGTATTAATAAATAGTACCGACTTTAAATTTTTATTTTGATTTTACACACACGCCAACTTCATTAAACATAGCTTTACTGTTCAGAGAAAATATTGTTAAAACATGGGAATTTTCATCATTTTTGTTCCGTTTGTGTATTCCTATGCGACAGTTTTTTTTTAAACTAATATTTTCCCAATGATAGAATATAAAAAGTTATCACCCGTACACCATGAATTTGACTTATTTCGACATTTATATTCAGTAAGAGTAATTTTCAGTTATCTCCCTTTAAAGAAGAGTTTATGTCGAACTCAAAATACTGTAAGCTATTTTTTCATCGGATAACATTTATTTAAACAACAACAAAATTCTGTAAATTTCGTCCATATTACGGAATTACTAAACTGGTATGTCATTACATTGACTGAGACAACAAAAAATGTAAAAAGCTTTTAAAGAGGCATTATCTGTCAAATTCGTGTTCACCAATTTGACCAACAGCCTTATTTTTAATTTTCAACGTACTAAAACGTATTTCTAACTGACAAAAAAATCCAAAAAGTCGTTATAATTATATGCTATTCGTGCAATTTTAAACTAGACGCTAACTTATTATTCATCATGGTGATCTTCGAAAACTGCCGATGGTTATATATATATTGTTTGGTTTAATTTTTGCCCTTTAAAATAAGTGATACATTTATATCATAACGTTATATTCCCGAAACCAAATATTTCAGATCCAAAGATATCAAATAATGAACAGAAAATCCCCTCACAAAAGCGACGCAATCCCAATTTAGATAGGAAACCTGAAATATGATTTGTAATTGTTTTGTTATTAATCGGGCAGTTAGTTTTCGCAATTGAATTGTTTCATATTTTTCATGTCGGGACCTTTAATAGCCGACTTTACGGTATGGGGTTTTCACATTGTTGAAGGCCGTACAGTTGCCTATAAGTGCTTACATCCACTTTATTTGAACTCTAGTAGATAATTGTTTCGTTGGCAATCATACCACATCTCCTTATTTTTATATATTTGTAGTGTCTCTATTGGAAGTTAAGCAAATGTTTTCTTAATGATGTTCGCTACTCTTATTTTTGACTTTCTCTCTGATATTCGGAATCCTCTAGTTTTATCCATGTATTGCCAATAAATATTTTGCCCGCTAACCCCTACTACTTTTCATAATTTAATTACATTCAGTTTAAAAAAGCCATTTTTTGAAATCCTATAAATTCCTTGGTATTTTTTCATAGTTTTTGAAAGAAAAAAAGGCTAATGTTAAATGTATGCAAAATCTAGAGAAAATAATTTCCCGCCGAAGTTTAATTGATTATATATCAAAAACAAAATCACGGACCTGTTATTTTTTTCTTACTGCTTAAGTTCCGTTATTTATATACTATCAATTTATGACAGTCTTTCTAAAAGCTTTTTATTTTTAAACAGGAGAGGAAACTTCCTTAACACTGTTTTGTGGCAATTTAAATTAAACTGAAGGGATTCCTCAACACGAAAATAACTCTTTTTCTTATTGGTTGTAGTTTATGTGGATTTGTGTTGAGTTACATGGTAATTTGAAGATAAGCAATAATTCGAAATGTATCATTAACGTATACCTCACATTCCCCTTATTTGATAGTAAAAGCCAAAATTTATTAAAACGCACAAATGGTATCATTATGACGGTTGTGCACAAAGTGACGGTTGTGCACAAAGAAAAGGAGGTTGCTGATTTGATCTCTTGTCGGGTAAATATTCAGATAAAATGTTGTCAACTTTATTTGGTTAAAAATTATACCTGATGGACGTTAAAAACAAAATCTTCTATTATTTCCAATCTATTTTTCTGTTGATATGAAATTTTGTTTAATCTCAAGGTTTTTGCACATGTTCAGGATATGGTGGGATCCATTACAACACACCAGATGGCGCAGATATACATTTTATGCGAAAATCTAAATATATCTTGTGGGAGTCTACATTTCCAATGCATCCATGTTCATTTAGAGTTGAAACGAAAAACAAGAGAAGATATGGTTATAAGCATGCTTTCTACACTTTGTTGATTGATTTATATATCATGAATACAACAATTCGTATACTGCAAAAAGACACTACTATGGTAAGTTTTGTTTGTTTATTTCCTCTGAATTAAGTACCTTAATCAGTTACACAAGTGCTAGTCTAGTTTATAAAATCTAAAGAAAAACAGGTTATCCTAGCGGAGAAAACATAATATTTTGGGGTTTAATGTAACCTCTTTAAATTTCAATCCAGTAAAACATTTGACGAATAATTACATCCATGCAACTATGAAAGCATTCATATAGTTACGTATAAGTATTATGTACATCAGTACTTTTCATCAGAAGGTTCTTATATAGATATAAGAAGATGTGGTATGAGTGCCAATGAGACAACTCTCCATCCAAGTCAAAATTTATAAAAGTAAACCATTATAGGTCACAGTACAGTCTTCAACACGGAGCCTTGGGTCACACCGAACAGTAAGCTAGAAAGGGCCCCAAAAATTACTAGTGTAAAACCATTCAAACGGGAAAACCAACGGTCTAATCTATATAAAAAACGAGAAACGAGAAATACTTATGAACCACATCAACAAACGACAACTACTGAACATTATACCTTTATTCTCAAATGCACAAACATCCTTCGATTAGGATCTTATAACCTCTTAAAATAATAGATGCTTACATATTGAAGTTAAAAAATCATGTTCAAACAAACAAATTCTGCATCTTCAACATTTTTTGTATTTGGGACAATGGGCGCAATTCATTTCAGGTAGAGAGTAATAGTTATATTTAAATCAATCTGTCCATATCATTATATTTGATAAGTATGACGACTAGAAGCTGTTATATTTCCACATATGTGGTTAAATTCTTGGCTACATTGTGCGATTCAAATTTCCATAATTCTACAAACTCCGAAATGCGGTTTCTTTTAGAGAAAAATAAATTATTTTGAAAGTCAGTTCTATTGAAAAAATTTTAAACCATAGTTTTGACATCTTTATTATCTGGCCCCCTGCTCGTCAAAACAGCACAAATCGTAAATCAATTATAATTATTAATGACAGCAACATGTTTGATATCATTCCAAATACATTTTGTGTTTCCATATTATAATTCTGTGTGCCTCAATTTGAGGCGCATACAGGATGTTCAGCTATTTGAAAATATTCAAGAAAGTATAAAAGTTTGGACATTATTTTTGGAAATCAACATTTTTTTGTTGTAAACTGATTTCTATGAAAAAAAATGAAAACAACACGTCCGTGCATTATCATCTAAAATATTTGATAATTGCCAAAATTTCGCTATCAATATTTTAGAAAAGCAATTCAACCTTTTTGTCACCAAAATGTTCGAAAAGGATACTTGAAATGCAAACAAAACCAATTAATTGTAAATAATAACTGTATATAACTTATCCAACTTTGCAGGCATTAATTCATTATCATAAAAAATGCCTTTTTTTGTAGTTTTACAATAAAATAATTCAACATTTTATAAAGAGAAAATTTACAAAATATGAAAAAATGAAATGTCATGTCAACATAAAAGTGCTGACAGCTGAAAAAAAACATGAATGGGCCCAAAAAAAATTTCAAGCATTAACAAATTTTATTGTAAAGGTTAAATGATTACAGGAAGTGTACATTTGTCTAATCTATGATATGTAACAAAAACCAAGACGTTTCTACAAGCAGGCAATGATTGCCTTAGCCGTATATGGTACACTGTTTTTGTCTCAATTTCAATTAAACATGGCGAGATCTTCTTTCTACCATGTCGTTCAACCGAAATTACATTATCGATTAATCGAAATCAATAATACTGAGATTAACAGCCCATTCAAATTAAAAAATCCAGAAAAAAATATAAGATTTATTATGGTCACAAGGAATTTCTAATATGATAAAATAAGGAAACAATTAATAAGTTTCATTAAATATACAGATATTTATAGTCCTTAATAAAGATTTGTAAAATTCCTGATCTAGAAATATTTGATAAGAAAATATTTGTGTTTTCCTTAAAATAAACACAACTGCATGTTGGACTTGTACCTTAGGTAAACGGCATAGCTATAGAACTACCAACTTTACTGGTAAATAAATCCATAGAGATAACAAGAAGTGGAAGTTTCATCACTGCAATTCATTCCAAATGTAACATACGAGTCCAGTTTGATGGTGATCACATGATTAACGTGAAGGTTTCTAAAAATCTTTTTGCTGGAAAGTTAACTGGTCTTTGCGGAAACTGTAATGGAAATAAACAGGATGACTACCAGACCAAAGTTTTTGATGCTGGTGACCAACCATTCTTTAAGTAAGAAAATGTACAAATATAGCTTGTAATCTTATCTTTTCAAGAAATTTTTATTATTTGGCGTTTTGTCTTCAAATTGTATTCTAAGTAAATAATTCCTTTTTAAATACTCGTTAGTCACAGCTGCTTTAGTACTCTTTGACGAAGAATTACATTGACGTCCCTTTCTTTTCAAAACGAAAATTGCTTGCATTAGGTAAAAAATTGTAATTGCTGAAAATAGTTAGAGATTATATATTGATTTAATATTTTACGAATCAGTTTAAGCGATTGAAAAAAAAATGTTTACATTATTTTGGATTAAATATTCTGATAGAAGGGTCATCTGGAAATAGAAAACGTAATTATATACCTTGAATTGTGTTAATGTTCAATCTTCTCAACAGTTTAGTTGGTGTTCATGTCCCACGTAAATGTTTGGTGAAAGATCAAGAACGTACTAAGAAGGATGATTATTGCTGGTACCTTATATCAAAATCCAGTCCATTCAAGTTTTGTAGAGAATCAAAGAAAGTAGATTTTGTAAAGATGTACTCTAGCTGTGAATTTGACGTTTGTTTCTCTGATCAGGATAATGCACATTGTCCAACATTACAGCATACTGCATTTGAATGTAGTCAACATGGATATATAGTTAAATGGAGAAACTTAGAGTTTTGTCGTAAGTCTTTAACTGTTATGAAAAATGTTTGCCAAAACATTTTATGATATAGACAGACATGCACTAGTCACCTTTGTAGAAACGCTTTTCATTATATGAGTTAAAATCAAAAGTGAATACTTCTTTTACATTTTTAATAGACCGTCTGGAGAACCAAAATGACTTACATGCGAAAATGTTTCAATTGTCTTGACCACAATGCCGTCTTATTTTCCTTTAATGTGACATCACCGAAGCGTTACTTACACGGGGAACACGACGATTGTCACACCGGATATCCCACCCTTTTTTGGGGGGAAGGGGGGGAGGGCGTGTTCGAGTTGCTCAGTTTTTAGTTTTTTGTGTTGTTATTTGTTATTTGAAGACAGTTGTGTGTCTTTTGGTCTTTATTCGTATTTTGCCATGATGTCGTCGGTTTGTCTTCGAGTATGGGTTTGAATATCCCTTTGGTTTATTCAGACTCTCTTTTACGCATAAATTATATTGAATGTTAGGAAAGCCAAGGAAAATAAAATAAATTTCACTGTCATTTGTATCTTTGAAAATTTTCAGAAAATCGACTATGTCTTATTTTTCGATAGACGTCTTTTACAAAATTGTTTCGACAGAGTTATGATGAACAACGACTGAAAATCACCATAACTGTACAATTTTTCTTGTCTCAACTCACAAGCGACATGTTTTTGCGGTACAATATATTTAGCTACCAGAATACTCTTCTGATCCCGAAGTGTCATTTTGGTATGCGATGCATGCAATATCAGGATATGCTTACTATGTCGACGCTACCGGTTTCTGTCATTTTATAGTTCATGTGCGGGGTTTTTTGGGGGAGGTATGGGGAAAGGGGCTTGTTTGCCTTGATTTGTTTCTTTTTAAAGAATTTTTGAGATTTGGATGCTATTACGTGGTATCTTTGATGAGTTTTTTTAACCTCTAGGTTGACGCCACTGCTGTTGGACGTTTTGTATTCAATGGTATCACTATCACAGTAATACGTTTCTGTGCTGTGTGAAATATTATTGATACAAGCATTTTCGTTAATATATAGTTATAGATAATGTTGAATTATTGAAAACACTGAGGGTTTGCTATCACTAGATATAGGACTTTTAAAAGACAAATTTAGCACGTCATTTAAGAATTTTTTGGCTGTCAACTGTTTTTGAACGTCACTGATGTAGGCGAAACCCGCGTGTGGCGAATGCATCATAGTCTTACATTTTTGATAAGTTTAATGTGCATTTCATGATTAAACTACACCTAAAACGAAAAGGGCAAAAAAAAAAGAAAATCAAACATAAAAATATGCATAGGAATTATCAAACAGAGTATTTTCAATTTCTAATGTAATCATTTTCAAATGAAATATCGATCGCATAGCTTATCCTCTCATATTTAGCAATTCTTATAATATGCGTTGGAATAGTCATGTCAAGCTTGTCATAGTCTAACTTTACTAACAGATTATCAACTAACAATAGATACACTACCAATAATTTTACAGCCTTAACTTGCAAAGATGATTTTGTCTACAAAACGTCAGTTTCCTGTACGAATACATGTGACAATCCCACTGCCACTCAGAATTGCCAGGATCCACCTGTCGACGGCTGTACATGTCCTGATAAAACCTATTTAAAGGACGACAAATGTGTAACTATTGATAAATGTGGATCATGTTTTGTAAATATTGGAGGCATAATATCAAAATTGGCAGTAAGTGTTACTTTTATGAGTGCTTTTTTAAGCAATTGAAAACTAGGATACATATAAACAAAACCTGCAGATATACATAGGTGTTGAACTAAGTTTCCTTATAGAAAACTTAATGTATGTCTTTCAAGGTAATAGTAAACATTGAAATAATTCTTGTTATGCATGAGAAAGAAGAACCACATTTTGGAATTGTCCCGTGATAATTCTTTCCCATATTATGGATATAACAGTGGAATATTGCACCCTCTGGATTTCTTATTCTTGAACGCTTATCATCTGTTCAGTAAAAGTCTACAAGACAAAAGTAAAATAACAAAAATACCGAACACCAGCGATGAGCTTCGCCAGTCAGTAAAATGGGTCTTATTTTTCACCATTGCATTGTTAGTTATATTATTTTACAATGTCTCGTGTCTATCCGTTTAAATCGACAACCTTCAAGAATAGGACTAAAAAAGAAAATGAATAGGAATTTTCGCAAAATATGCCAGAAACAATGATTAATATAGGGAAAATGTGAAACAGGTAGATGAGTGTTAAGGCTAAAGCCTGAAATCTTATTTTTCCTATAAACAAATGTTGTCAGCAAAGATGCCCAATAAATGTTACACAGCAGAATAACTCGTATAAAGGACAAAAAGCAAATTAACATGAAACTTAAGAAACTACCACAACAGACATTAAAAATATATTTCAAATATTAAACGAACTAGATTTTACAGTTTGTTCTTATGTTGTGATTTTACACCAATCAGGTTTGGGGAGGGTTGAGCACTCACAAACATGATTAAACCCTCATCATTGTTTATTTGCCTGTTCCAAGGCAGGAGCCTGTAGTTCAGTGGTTGTCGGTGGTTCATGTCCGGCATTTTTGTGTTTGTATGAATTAGGCTGTTAGTTTTCTATCTTGTATTGTTTCACATTTCTATGTCGGGCCTTTTTTAGCCGACAATACGGTATGGGTTTTCTCATTGTTGAAGGCTGTATGGTTGCCTTTAATTTCTTACATCCACTTCATTTGAAAACTGGTGGATAGTTGTCTCATTGGCAATCATACCATATCTCTTTATCTTTATAATGATAGATTATCAATATATTATTCATTCATCTCTCAATGTGTTTTTAGTCGGTAACATTGATAATGTGCGAGAAATCCCAAATATTTCTGTAATAACAATTACCCCTAATGTGCCTCATCATGATCAGCTCTATATAGAAATCCTTACCGATTTACATACGATACGTTTAAATGGGTATTATTTCAAATAATAGATTATTGAAAATCAATGTCCGGCAAATTTAATTCGAAAACTGAAGTAATTTAAAACTTTATTACTAAATGTCGTAATTAAAAACATGTGCTTCATAGGCCAATTTGTGGTGTGTGTTTTCTCTTACTTACGTTCATTAGAATCCTGACAATGACATAAAACATATTTTTTTCATTTGTATCTATAAATAATGCGGATGTTCAGTGATCACTTCAAAACCTGAATTTCGTAGGTACTGCTTCTTTAAATTGGTAATTATTGTCATTGTTTGAATCTTTGCAGGTGGGCGATTTCTATCCAAAAGGTAACTGTACTGTGTTACAAAAGTGTGTCATGGTAAATAAAACCTTCGTATTGGTACCTATTCAGCCGGCGAAAATCTGTAAAGTAGATGAATTGTGCACATCGAACAACTTTGGAATATATGATTGTACAAAGAATTCTAGTAAGTTTTGATTGTGCAACGTGAATTTGACAATCAGCACTCAGTCTTCAAAGACACAGTGTAACAAATTGACTATATCAATCTATGTTATGCCATATGCAAATATAAGACACATTAAATCTCAAAGTCACAAACACTTGATAAAACAATGGTGTACATAACTTAAGAATAACACTTGTATCGCATATTTGCCAGCAGACACTCCCTTTAAAACTAGGACTACAATAAGCCTGTACGCTATAGTCAGCATATCATAATACGCATGCAATCATATCGTACTACCTTGCAGTAGAAGCAAGCAATTGTCCATATACAGTCATCTTTAAGATTGAAGCAATAGGTTTCCGGTCATGAAGTTAGTCGGCCATGAAAGAGATGAAATAGACTAGAAATGAAGCACACAGTTAAATAACTGTGCTGTTAATGAGTCTAACAGATCTTTAAAAGCACCTTCATCTTCTGAAAGCGAGACTATAAGAATGAAAAATTAGAATTAATATGACGAATGTTGACCAAATAGATATTATTATACCCCACGCAACGAGTTGCGGAGGGTATAATGTTTTTGACCCGTCCGTCCGTCTGTCCGTCCGTCTGTCCGTCCGTCTGTCCGTCTGTCCGTCTGTCCGTCCGTCAGTCCGTCAGTCCTGTTTCTTGTCATCGCAACTCCTCTCAAACCACACAACAGAAATTCACGAAACCTTTTTAGATAATAAGGACATACTATGTAGTTGTGCATATCGACAGTAAATTATGATTCAATTTTTTTTCTAGGAGTTACGCCCCTTTGAACTTATTTGCTTCAATATACCTCTGCAACAGTTTGTCATCGCAACTCCTCTGAAACCACACAACAGAATTTCATGAAACTTTGTAGATAATAAGGACATACTATGTAGATGTGCATATCGACAGGAAATTATGATTCAATTTTTTTTAGGAGTTACGCCCCTTTGAACTTATTTACTTTAATGTACTACTGCAACAGTTTGTCATCTCAACTCCTCTGAAACCACACAACAAAATTTCATGAAACTTTGTAGATAATAAGGACATACTACGTAGATGTGCATATCGACAGGAAATTACGATTCAATTTTTTTTCCAGGAGTTACGCCCCATTGAACTTATTTGCCCAATATACTACTGCAACCTTTTGTCATCGCAACTCCTCTCAAACCACACAATAGAATTTCATGAAACCTTTTCAGATAATAAGGACATACTACGTAGATGTGCATATCGACAGGAAATTACAATTCAATTTTTTTTCTAGGAGTTACGCCCCTTTGAACTTATTTGCTTCAATATACCTCTGCAACAGTTTGTCATCGCAACTCCTCTGAAACCACACAACAGAATTTCATGAAACTTTGTAGATAATAAGGACATACTATGTAGATGTGCATATCGACAGGAAATTATGATTCAATTTTTTTTTCTTATACAATTTTTTTTTCTTACAGTTATTTTATTTCTCCAGTGATAATGTGGGGACGTGGGGTATGTGAGCGTGCTCACTAAGGTTCTTTAATTCTGAAAAATGTTTTGCAAAAACGACACATTTTAAAAAAATAATAATAATGATATCTGATATCAGACGGCTTGTTTAATCTATTCAGTATGTTGAATTACTGAAAATGAAATGAATTTAAAATTTGTAATACAATTTCTATATACAAGTATTTTATTATATGTAATTTGATTTTTTTTTGCATAAGAAAATATTTAAGTTTGATTTTTAAGCTTTTTCAATAAAATTTTGTTGACCTGGGTCTAATTAGAAGACGTGCGGAGACCTTTTCAATCGTAAACAGAATTGAGTTTAAATCATTTTAATAGCATTATGTGAAATAAAATGTTTGTGCTTTCCTGATTAAGGTAATTCTACGAAAATTGCTTCCAACGCAATATATATATATATATATATATAAGTGTTATTTTCATTCTCATACATCAAGTCAATTGCTTTCACTGCTGCAAAATGCGCATTTGTACGTGTAAAGTAGGCTTATATAAAGATTTTTATTATCATATTACCAGTAAGTCAATTTCGTGTTTGTTTTTCAATAACAACAGAAAAAATTCAAAAAGAAAACTTATCATTTTTGCTAACACTGCTTTAGAACTTGAAGACATCTCGACCACTACCAGAAAAAAAATTGCAGCTGTATCATCCCAAATCTCATCACTTTCGAATAAGTCAGTAACAGAAAAAGAGGAAGTATTAAAGACGGAATCAACTTCAAAAGAAGACAATTTTCCAGCCACTACAATTACAGTGAATGACACTTTATCGCCATTTATCCCTGTTAAAAATCGAGCGAATTTACTTGCGAGCACTCAAAGCACTTTACAGGATCACACAACCAAATACACGACATCTGAAGCAAAACAATTTACTCGAAATTTTGCAAACATAACGGAAGATAACAATTTAGAAGCAACAACGACGAGTGAGTCAAATATTTTTTCAAAGCAACAAACGTCTTTAATAACTGAAGAAGCTCTAACTGAGGTTACTACATTAAATAATACGAGTCCGGTCAATGGTGAATCTCCAGTTGAAAAACATGAAAGACATGAAGTTACAGCATCCAGTTTGAATTTAACAACAGAGGGCCAACACATTGAAACTACTACTGCTAACACTGTCAATATAAATAGCAAACAGAAAAACGAATATGAAACAACAAGTGAATCGGTTGGGATTACAAATTTTATCTTCACCACAAACACTGATTATGAACAATTAGATAAAACCACTACTAGTTTAATTGAAAAACTTCAGTTTCATACTATGTCGGCAATAGAAGATACGACAGTCGAAACACATAATGAAAAATCGAGTACAACGGCAGATATATTTGGTATAGACGCAGCATCAATATTGAACACAACAACATATTCGCTTACCACAATTACGGACCATACAAAACAGAGAACTAGAATGTCTACGCCACGGATGTTGACAATGTCTGAAGATCTATCAGAATCAGGTATATTGTAAAATAGTCCTTGTCAAATTTGTTTTTGTCTACTGAATTTATTTTCTCTGTAATAATAAAAAGGTTTAATTGTATTACCATTCTAAATGAGCTGTGACATAAGGAAAAAACGAGCATTGTGATATATCAGTTACCAAATAATAAACAAAAGGAATGTTTTGTTTCAACGACCAAAGGATAAATTTTTGTAGTTTGTATTTTACCCATATGTTGAACCAGGAAGAGAGAGGCCGGAAAAGTTTTGTGCGCTTTTAATAGAAAAATCTGGATAAAATATTAAATGAGCATTAGCTATCAAATTCATGTTCACCGATTTGACTCAAATTCTTATATTCGACTTATATTATTTTAGACTTTTTATAACATACTAAAACGCATATCCAAATTATAAAAAGTCTAAAATAAACAATTTACGATGCATAGGCTCGATAGTATAAATCAGCATTTCGTGTGTATTTTAGTCTAGACGCCATCTAATTAACCATCGAGGTGATCTCCGAAGACTGCCGACGGTAATATAACCCGATATAAACATAGATATAAATAGATTGCGAACTCGTGCAATTGGACTTTTCTAGGTCTGTTTGATTTCATATTATAGGTTAAGCAAATATGTTAATAATCGTTTTTTATAAATATAAAATAAGAATGAGTTTTTCTAGATCGAATCAGTCAACCAAATGGTTTAGTCTTGTTTTACTCTCAATGTTTACATTATTTTCCATTAAATAAGTAAACACGCCTAGTTCATGCGTAACCCATCTCTAGCTATAGGGATCAATTAAAGTTCACATGAATACGGATTCAATGATGTCGAATTATTCACTTGCGAGAGAATAATTCATTAGCAATGTTTATTTGCTTAATTTGACATAACTGAACCAAACTGGCTGTTAAAAAGCGAATTATTATTTCACTATTTCACTTTCATTAATGATTGAACAAAAAAAAAAAATGTCATTTTTATATCTCGTAGCTAATGCCCCTTTAACAATTGAGAAATTCATTTTATGTGAAATTTTAAAAGGATGGAACACTTGCCTCTCATTTATCATACAACGTAAATCATTAAATGATATTAGAAAATCAAATTACAAGATCCTTTAAAAACTCAACTATTATGACGTATTGCTGATTGATCTTTTTTGGGGAAAATATAATGTAGAGATGTAAATCTAAAAGTTAACTTTGTACGTCAGAAGCTTTTATAATATGACATTGATCATTATTCGTAGTAGACGGCGGTTGGTCATCTTTCAAATCATGGTCTGCATGGACTCACTGTAGCCGAAGTTGTGGAGGAGGAATGAGGGAGAGAATCCGGTATAGATCTTGTACAAAACCTTCACTTATGCATGGTGGCAAAATATGTAACGGACTTGATAAGGATATCGTTTTTGAAGATTGCAATACCATGAAATGTATAAGTGAGTATTTATCAAAACAACCTTGAAGATCATCATGTGATTTTGCATTAATACTTGGTTTCCGTCTGTGAACAACTACATCCAATAATTCAGCCTTCTAAAATGAGCAAACCCATACCGTAAAGTAAAATATGAAAGGTATTGAGAGCGGAAAAATATACGATAAAATGCAGAAGAAAAAACTAACAAACCTTTAAATATTAATATAGTGATCAATTATGACATACAACTACCAGAGACAGCTCCTGGCTTTGGCTGTTTTGAAAAGTATGTAACTGTATAAATGGTTGCATTAATGTTTGCTACCTACGTCTGCAGTCTTATTCCTTTACCAAATACTTGCATACTCTGATTGGCTAACATTTCAATGACTTTTTCCGTCCTTTCTTTTATTGTCGAAAATATTTTCCTGAGAACCGCTGCATATGGGACATGTAGAAAATAAACATAATTGATCAAAAGTGGTTAACAGGCTTAAAAAAAGTCTTATATCTTAAGTTCCGCTAGGAAAAACATTATGTGAAGATAATTTTAGTACGAGCAGGCCAATGTGAGCATTGGAAACTGTACTTCTTGAGGAAAGCTCTATCGATTTAAACAGATAAGTTCCATGTTTAAAATTTATGTTTATTCCATCGGATGTTCTGTTATTAAAAATTCCTTTAGAATCATTTTCATCAGAACTGTCGCAATAGTTACAAACTATATATATAATATATGGAAGAATATTTGTGAACTGGCGACTAATAATTTTTCTTGGTGCAATTCAACCAACCCATATATATATATATATGTTTAGTCTAGGTGGCCGAGTGGTCTAGAGCGCTAGACACTGTGCAGGCGGTGTTGTCTCGATATCCCAAAAGCATGAGTTCGAATCCCGGCTAGGGAAGAACAAAAATTTGCTTCCGCAATATATATAATTTCTCTGAATATCAGCACAATGTTAAATCTGCAAATTTGCGGAAGCAAATTTTTGTTCTTCCCTCGCCGGGATTCGAACTCATGCTATTGGGATATCGAGACAACACGGCCTGCACCGTGTTCAGCGCTCTAGACCACTCGGCCACCTAGACTGAACTAAAAATTCAGCTTTCGGTGGCCTAGTGTTACCTTTCCTCGTCGGTAGAATCTAGAGTTGTAACACAGTACATGATATATTAGGCATGAAGATGGAATTGATTGCAGATTAGCTAAGTTATCTGTACTAAAGGATCGTATGATGCAGTCACAGAAATAATTAGTTTGATAATTACGTCTAAACAAGTGATAACTCTAGGACAGTTCCACCCATTGGATCACCAGTGAAGGTGATACACGGCTGAAAACACATATTATATACGTATATATATATTAATTGTCGAATTCTGGATATGGGGTACTAATTTTTGCATGTTTTGTTTGCGGTGTACCATCTTTTCCGCAAGTTTATTGTTTTCTGTTTGGTATTAAATCAATAGTTAAGATCCATTTTGTTACATCTGGTGATCCGTTTATTTGACAATCGCCAATGGCAGTCAGCAGGGTTTAAGAACATCCGTTGCTCGACCTGCTAGTCAAATGCGTTTTGTTAAAATATACTTTTTCACTTTTTTTGTCTTTTGGAAAATGTTGTTTGTGCTGTATTTAGACCCCTCTACCAAGAAATTTGTTTTGCATGCACACGTCTAAAAATATGCGTGTTTTATCCAACGCAATCATAGGTTTGAACGTTGTTTTCAATTTAGAATTGTTTATATATATATATATATATATATATATATATATATATATATATAAGTCTAGAGATTTGCACAACGATACTAATATAAGATGGTATTATACGAAGATGTTGTTAATAAATCGTGTTGACAAATATTTCGGCTTAACAAATAGCCTTCTTCGGTGTCAATTATTTTAACAATACTGATAACATGTATAAAAATAGCTCAATAATACAGGTAAGTTTTGGTCTATTGATTTAATCCAAAATCCTGAACATCATAATATAAAACAAAACTCAATACTCAAATATACGTGACTGTGTATATTTACAACCCAAAATGAGTGAACAATAAAACTTAGTATTTTTTATTGATGCCGTTTGGATGATGTACATTTAGTTCCTTTATCCAAAAGCTTTCCCGAACCTGTCGCTGGGCATCACTCCAGTGAATGTTATGTTCAATCACTAGGATCTTCATGCGGTTAAAGTCATCAAGTGTGTGACCAGACTGTCTGAAATGCTGAGAAACTGGGAGAAGTGGCTTCTTAGAGATATCACTCCTATGGCCATTGAGGCGTTTGTGGAAAGGCTGCTTTGACTCACCAACATATTGGAGGCCACAAACCGAACATTCTAGAATGTAAATAACATTCATACTTTTGCAGTTAACATTGCAAAATATCTTATAGTTATTTTCGGTTGCCTTACTGTGAAAAGTTGATGAGTGATGCATCTGTAGGCAGCATTTGCAGCGTTTTTCATCACACGAACGACATTCTCCAGAAGTACTTCTATTATCAGACACTTCAGCCCGCACCAGCAGGTTACGCAGACTATTGGGTTGCCTAAAAGCTATCATGGGAGGCTCGGGAAAAATCTTGGATAGTTTGGAATTCTTTTCAACTGTTTTCCAATGCTCACGAATGACACCGAAGCTGTTTTTGAGAGATGGGTGGTAAGTAAGAACACATGGAGTCCTTTTATTTTTCTTTTTATATTTGTATTCTAACAGTTTACTCCTTGGAATAGTTTCCGCTTTCTGAAAGCCTTTTTGGATAGTTTTGTGTTTGTAGCCCCTTCTCTTCAAGCGGGTTTCGAGTTGACGTAGTTGTTTTTTTGTTGTTTCTGAGTTGGAACATATTCGCTTGACTCTGAGTGCCTGACTGTACGGGATGCTCTTAGTACAATGAGCAGGATGGCAACTTTTAGGGGACAGATATTGGTGAGTGTCAGTAGGCTTAGAATATAGATCAGTGGATATGATGCCATCTGTGAGCGAGCTGGAGGTATCGAGGAAGGTGATTTTGGATTTAGATTTCTCATGAGTAAATTTGATACTTGGATGTATGTTGTTGGCATGAGTGATGAATGTATCTAAATCCTCGTCACTTTTATTCCATTTCATATCCACATCATCTATAAATCTAAACCAGGAAAGCGGTTTTTCGATGGAAGATTCAAGGAGTTGTTTTTCTAATTTGCCCATAAATACGTTGGCATATGATGGAGCCATTTTGGTGCCCATAGCAGTTCCATTAACTTGCAGATAATGGTCTCCATCAAAAGTGAAGTTGTTGTTTTTGAGTACCAGCGTGAGCATTTTGACCAGGCATTCAGTAGGTGGATATTTCACTGGTCGGGAATTCCAAACTTCTTTACATGCATCAATGCCATCTGCATGTGGAATATTCGTGTAGAGGGAGGTGACGTCCATAGAGACAAGTGTCGTGTCGGAGGGGAGTGGATTTAAGGCCTGCAATTTTCTAAGATAATCGGTAGTATCTTTGATGTGAGATGGTAAGTCCTCAACATGTTGACGAAGATGGAAGTCGACGAATTCCGATATTTTTTCCGTCGGATGACCGTTCGCTGAAACTATAGGTCTTCCTGGGTTATTGGCCTTATGAATTTTAGGTAAAAGATAAAATCTGCCCGGTTTTGGATTTTCTGGTTTCAGATATTCTAGAGTCTTTTCATCGATGAAACCATCGTTGTGCATTTCTACCAAACTATCAGTTATTTCTCTGCTAAAAGATGTAGTAGGATCAGAGTCTAGTTTTTGGTAGAACCTTGCATCGCCAAGTTGTCGTTCAGCCTCTTGAATATAGGCAGATTTATCCATGACAACCACTGCACTGCCTTTGTCTGCAGGTTTAATGACGATATTGTCGTTAGATCGTAAGTTTTTCAGTGCAGTTCGTTCTTCATTGGTAAGATTGTCAAAAGGTTTATTGTTATTTCTAGTATTTCTAATAATGTCCGACTTAAAATTGTCAATAAATGATTCCAAGGTGGCATTTTTGCTCGGTTTAGGGATCCAAGTACTGTTTTTTATAAATTTGTAGTTGTTTTCGTCTTCTGAAATTTCTGAGTCGCTATCCGAGCATCTGTTGTTGTTCTCCTTCGACGCGAAATATTCCTTAATGCGTAGACTTCTGGCAAAATTGTCAAGGTCTTCCGACAATTTAGTTTCATTGACAGGGGTAGGTAAAGGACAGAAATTTAAGCCTCTCGAGAGAAGAGATGTTTCAGCTTCCGTTAACTGGTGTTTGGAAAGATTGACCACAATGTTGGAGGGCGAATCAGTCTCTAATGACCTACGTTTAAAGCGCCTTACTCGTTTTCTCTTTTTTTCAGATGGTAAAGAAGGATTGATATGTTCGATGCCATCCCTACGGAATTTTCTTTTCTGCCTTTCACTCAAATTTTGAGATTGTATGGTTGTTATGTCTTTAAGGCGAGCACTGATAGCATCACAATTGTCAGATGTGAGATCTTTTTTGCAGCGATTTGAAAGGGTGTTAAATTCGCCAGTAAGAGTTTTCAGATATTCTTCGCAGTGTTGTTTGAGGAGGACCATTAACCGCTTGGAACAATGGTAGAGGGTTTGATCCCATTTGCGAAGTAATGTGTTGGATAAATTGCCAGGTGTTTGTGGCATTCGTCAACATGTTGAGGACTTACCATCTCACATCAAAGATACTACCGATTATCTTAGAAAATTGCAGGCCTTAAATCCACTCCCCTCCGACACGACACTTGTCTCTATGGACGTCACCTCCCTCTACACGAATATTCCACATGCAGATGGCATTGATGCATGTAAAGAAGTTTGGAATTCCCGACCAGTGAAATATCCACCTACTGAATGCCTGGTCAAAATGCTCACGCTGGTACTCAAAAACAACAACTTCACTTTTGATGGAGACCATTATCTGCAAGGTAATGGAACTGCTATGGGCACCAAAATGGCTCCATCATATGCCAACATATTTATGGGCAAATTAGAAAAACAACTCCTTGAATCTTCCATCGAAAAACCGCTTTCCTGGTTTAGATTTATAGATGATGTGGATATGAAATGGAATAAAAGTGACGAGGATTTAGATACATTCATCACTCATGCCAACAACATACATCCAAGTATCAAATTTACTCATGAGAAATCTAAATCCAAAATCACCTTCCTCGATACCTCCAGCTCGCTCACAGATGGCATCATATCCACTGATCTATATTCTAAGCCTACTGACACTCACCAATATCTGTCCCCTAAAAGTTGCCATCCTGCTCATTGTACTAAGAGCATCCCGTACAGTCAGGCACTCAGAGTCAAGCGAATATGTTCCAACTCAGAAACAACAAAAAAACAACTACGTCAACTCGAAACCCGCTTGAAGAGAAGGGGCTACAAACACAAAACTATCCAAAAAGGCTTTCAGAAAGCGGAAACTATTCCAAGGAGTAAACTGTTAGAATACAAATATAAAAAGAAAAATAAAAGGACTCCATGTGTTCTTACTTACCACCCATCTCTCAAAAACAGCTTCGGTGTCATTCGTGAGCATTGGAAAACAGTTGAAAAGAATTCCAAACTATCCAAGATTTTTCCCGAGCCTCCCATGATAGCTTTTAGGCAACCCAATAGTCTGCGTAACCTGCTGGTGCGGGCTGAAGTGTCTGATAATAGAAGTACTTCTGGAGAATGTCGTTCGTGTGATGAAAAACGCTGCAAATGCTGCCTACAGATGCATCACTCATCAACTTTTCACAGTAAGGCAACCGAAAATAACTATAAGATATTTTGCAATGTTAACTGCAAAAGTATGAATGTTATTTACATTCTAGAATGTTCGGTTTGTGGCCTCCAATATGTTGGTGAGTCAAAGCAGCCTTTCCACAAACGCCTCAATGGCCATAGGAGTGATATCTCTAAGAAGCCACTTCTCCCAGTTTCTCAGCATTTCAGACAGTCTGGTCACACACTTGATGACTTTAACCGCATGAAGATCCTAGTGATTGAACAGAACATTCACTGGAGTGATGCCCAGCGACAGGTTCGGGAAAGCTTTTGGATAAAGGAACTAAATGTACATCATCCAAACGGCATCAATAAAAAATACTAAGTTTTATTGTTCACTCATTTTGGGTTGTAAATATACACAGTCACGTATATTTGAGTATTGAGTTTTGTTTTATATTATGATGTTCAGGATTTTGGATTAAATCAATAGACCAAAACTTACCTGTATTATTGAGCTATTTTTATACATGTTATCAGTATTGTTAAAATAATTGACACCGAAGAAGGCTATTTGTTAAGCCGAAATATTTGTCAACACGATTTATTAACAACATCTTCGTATAATACCATCTTATATTAGTATCGTTGTGCAAATCTCTAGACTTATATAATTTTTTCCTTATCTGCACAGTATCGTCTATTCTAGACGATCCGGTACATAGTAAATTTGCTGGTTGGTCCTTTTTATAGACTTCTATATATATATATATATATAGATTGCCTAACAATGTAATTTTAACACACTATTTAGTATGTAAATATAAGAATGTTTAAAATATTTACAAAATGATGAAAATAAACGCAATATTTCGCTAGACTAACTAGCTTTATCAAGCGTGCATCTATCCAGGTGAAATCGGATGTAGATGATAAGAAACTTTTGCAGCTCAATGTATATGTTGCACTTGAATTTAGCTGCCTTGAAAATAATACATAATTTGGATGAAGTTCAAGATTTTTACAAAATTGGTAGTTGAAGTTAGCAACGTCCATTGGCCAATATTACAGGATAAAAAGGACGATGCTGTGTACTAAATTATTCTTTATCTTTCCTGTATCTTTTCTCATCTTTTTCGTTAAGACCATCAGGTTCTAAAGTGTGGAGTTGGTGGATCCAAAAATTTTCTCTTCTCCTTCTCGCCGTGGTGTCCCACTCGGTGTTGACTTCTATGATTTGGAAGGTAACATTATCAAAAGAATGTTTCGTTGAACGAAGATGTCTTGTGAGAGGACAGTTTTTGTTGGTTTTGTACCATGAACGATGGTTATTGAGCCGAATATTAAATTTGTCCATTGTTTCTCCCACATACTGAATGCCACATGTGTCACATGTTAATATATAAATTGAGTTCTCCGTTTTACAGTTGGAATTTGAGTAGATGGTATACTTTTGTTTAGTAACGGAGCTGATGAAAGAACTGCTTGTATTGGCAGTTCCTTCGACCACATTGTTTGTAGCAACCGGGAGATGGAGTAGGCTGCTTTGCTAATACAGATGTCACTAATTTGTCACGGATGTTTTAAGGTCTTCTGAAGGCCATGACTGGTGGTGAGGAAAATACTTTTTTAAGATTTGAATCATTTTCTATAATTTTCCAATGCTTCTGAACAATGGAAGACACATTTTTAAAATCAGGATGGTAAGTGAGTACAAGGGGTGTTCTGTTAGCTGCTTTATTCTTATCTTTGTACTCTAGAAGTTCTTGGCGACTAGTTTTGTTTGCTCTTTCGAAAGCGCTATCAATGATGTTGTTATTGTATCCTCGAACAACTAGATGTTTACGTAGTTGTCCAAGTCTAGCATTTTGCGTATTTTCAGTAGAGCATATTCTCTTGATTCGCAATGCCTGGCTGAATGGGATGCCACGGGAGCAGTGTTTAGGATGGTAACTTTTAGGAGAAAGAAATTGATGTTTGTCCGTTTGTTTGGTATGAAGGTCCGTTATAATGGTTCCGTTCTTGATGTAACTCGTAGTGTCGAGGAAGTTTATTTTCTCCATAGATGATTCATATGTAAATTTTATTGAATGGTGGAAAGAGTTACAGTGTCCTAGAAATTCATTAAGATGTTCTTGTGAATCTGTCCATTTGAAATCAATATCGTCAATGAATCGGAACCATGATAAGGGCTGGTATGGAGCACTAGCCAAGAGGCGTTTTTCAAGTTGGCTCATAAATATGTTGGCATATGACGGGGCCATTTTTGTGCCCATACTAGTACCGTCTATCTGGAGATAATGTTTTTCATTGAAAGAGAAGTTGTTGTTCCCTAGCACTAGTTTCAGAAGTGTAACAAGGCACTCAGTTGGAGGATTTTTTTCACTACGGGTGTTCCATACCTCTTCACACGCTGCTATTCCTTCGTCTTGTGGAATGTTGGTATATAAAGAAGACACGTCCATGGATGCAAGTATAGTATTGCTTGGTAGAGGATTGAGGCTTTCCATTTTCTTTAGATAATCAGTCGGATCTTGAATGTAAGAGGGAAGTTCTTTCACATGAGGTCTTAGATGATGGTCTAAAAATTCTGATATCTTTTCAGTTGGATGACTATTTGCTGAAACAATTGGTCGACCTGGATTGCCCGTTTTATGTATTTTAGGCAACATATAGAATCTTCCGGCTTTTGCTTCGTTCTCAAGAGGTCGGAGATAATCAAAGGTGTCATTGTCTATATGCTTTTTGTCGAACATCTCTTGAAGGATGGTGTTGATCTTTCGAATATTATTTAGTGTTGGATCTGTGGTTAATTGTTTATAAAAAATGGAGTTTGAAAGTTGGCGATTTCCCTCTGCTATGTAATCTGTTTTATTCATGACAACCACAGCGCCCCCTTTGTCGGCAGGTTTTATTACGATATCCTCGTATATATATATATTGTTTATATATATATATTGTTTATATATATATATTGTTTATATATATATATATATTAATATTAAAGGTTGTGAACCTTTATTTGGTTCAAAAACTACCTGATGGGCGTTAAAACCCAATACTGCTATTAACTCCAATGTATTTTTCTGTTGATTTGATTTTTCTTTAATCTCAAGGTTTTTGCACATGCTCAGGATATGGTGGGTTCCATTACAACACACCTGATGGCGCAGATATACATTTCATGCGAACATCTAAATATATCTTGTGGGAGTCTACATTTCAAAATGATCCATGTTCATTTAGAGTTGAAACGAAAAACAAGAGAAGATATGGTTATAAGCATGCTTTCTACACTCTGTTGATTGATTTATATATTGTGAATACAACAATTGGCATACTGCAAAACGAAACTACTATGGTAAGTTTTGTTTGTTTATTATCTCTGAATATAGTACCTTAATCAGTGACACAAGTGCTAGTCTAGTTTTACAGTTCTGAAGAAAAATAGGTTATCCCCAGGTTATCCAAGCGACGAAAAACATATTTTGTTTGTGAATAATGTAACCTCCTTAAATCTAAATCCAGTAAAAAAATTGAAGAATAATTACATCCATTCTAGATACGCATACACAACTATGAAAGCATTCATATAGATAACTGTTAGTATTATATCCTTACGTCAGTACTTTTCAACAGAAGGTTCTTATACCTTTATACTCAAAACCACTAACAGCCTTCGACCCGGACCCTATAACGTCTGGAAACAATAGATGCTTACATATTAAAGTTAAACATTCATGTTCAAACAAACAGATTCTGCATACTCACATTTTTATCATTTGAGACAATATGCGCAATTCCTTCCAAGTAGACAGTAATAGTTATATTTTACTATTATTTTCTGTCCATATCATTTTATTCGATATGTATGATGGCTCGAAGCTGTTATATTTTTACGTATGTAGTTAAATTTTGAGTACATATTGTGATTCAAATTACCAACATTCTACGAACTCCGAAATGGTCTTTGTAATGCGGTTTCTCTGAGAGAAAATTAAATTATTTTGAAAGTCATTTCTGATGCAAACATTTTATACCCCTAGTTTTGACATCTTTATTATCTGGTCCTCTCCTCGTCAAAACAGCACAAATGGTAAATGAATTATAATTATTAATGACAGCAACATGTTCGATATCATTCCAAATATATTTGTACTTCCATATTATCATTCTGTGTGTCTCAATTTGAGGTTGAGCTACTTGAAAATATTCAAGAAAGTATAACAATTTGGACATTATTTTTGGAAATTAACAATTTCCTTGTTGTAAAATGATTTCTATGGAAGAATGAAAACAACATGTTATAAACTTTTGGAAATTCGGGAACATAAAATAAGTACGATCAGCTAAAATTACGGTTTTGATTTTATACATATGATAGATTACAAAAAGGACACCTCCTGTAATCAACTCTGTACACTATCATTTAGAATATTTAATAACTGCCAGAATGTCGCTATCAATATTTCAAAAAAAACGCGATTCAACCTTTTCGTCACCAAAATGTTCGAAAAGGATACTTTAAATGCAAACAAAAACAATTAATTGTAAATAATTACTATATATACATGATTCAACTTAGCAGGCATTAAAAAGTAAAATAATAAAAATACCGAACTCCAAGGAAACTTCAAAACGTCCCTCATCAAATGGCAAAATCAAAAGCTCAGACACATTAAACGAATGGAAAACAACTGTCATATTCCTGACTTGGTACACACATTTCCCTATGTAGAAAATAGTGGATTAAACCAGATGTTATAGCTAGTTAACCTCTCACTTGTATGACAGTCGCATAAAATTCCATTAAATTGAAAACAATTTGTGAACAAAACAAACAGACATAATAGGAAAATACATTATTATAAAAAAAAAAAATTTTTGTAGTTTTACCAAAAAAAAAATTAACATTTATAAAGAGAAAATTTACAAAACATAACAAAATAATATGTCATGTCAACATAAAAGTGCTGATAGCTGAAAAAAAACATGAATCGGCCAAAAATATTTATAAAGCATTAACAAATTTTATTATAAAAATTAAATGATTACAGGAAGAGTACAATTGTCTAATCTATGATATGTAACAAAAACCAAGATGTTTCTACAAGCAGGCAATGATTGCCGTGGCCGTATATGGCACACTTTTTTTTCTCAATTTCAATTAAACATGGCGAGATCTTCTTCTATCATGTCGTCCAACCGAAATTACATAATCGATTAATCGAAATCAAAAATACTGAGAATACCAGCCTCTACAATTTCAAAAAGCCAAACAAAAATAAGACGTATTATGGTTACATGGAATTTCTTATATGATAATTATCTGGCAGCTGGTGACCTACCGGTTTTTTTATGACGAAAATTAAGGAAACAATGTAATAAGCTTTATTAAATATACAGATATTCATAATCCTTGAAAAGGTTTGCAAAATCCCTGATCTAGAAAATATTTGTATGTTTGCTTTAAAATAAACACACCTGCATGTTGGACTTGTACCTTAGGTAAACGGCATAGCTATAGAACTACCAACAGTACTGGTAAATAAATCCATAGAGATAACAAGAAGTGGAAGTTTCATCACTGCAATTCATTCCAAATGTAACATCAGAGTCCAGTTTGATGGTGATCATATGATTAACGTAAAGGTTTCTAAAAATCTTTTTGCTGGAAAGTTATCTGGTCTTTGCGGAAACTGTAATGAAAATAAACAGGATGACTACCAGACCAAGTCCGTAAAAGTTGTTTCTGGGATTGATTGGGTGGACAAAGTTTTTGATGATGATCAACCATTCTTTAAGTAAGAAAATGTACAATTATAGCTTGTGATCTTTTCAAGAAACTTTAATTATTTGGCGTTTTGTCTTTTAATTATATTCTAGGTAAACTATTCGTTTTTAGTTTATCGTTACTCACAGCTGCTTTAGTACTCTTTGACGTAGAATTACATTGACTTCCCTTTCTTTTCAAAATGAATATTGTGTGTATTACGCAAAAGGTTTTATTTGCTGAAAAAAAATTAGAGATTGTATATTTTGATTTAATATATTATAAATCAGTTTAAGCGATTGAAAAAAAAATGTTTACGTTATTTTGGATTAAATATCTGGCAATAGAAAGCGTAATTATATACCTTGAATTGTGTTAATGTTCAATCTTCTCAACAGTTTAGTTGGTGTTCATGTCCCACGTAAATGTTTGGTAAAAGATCAAGAACGAACTAAGAAGGATGATTATTGCTGGTACCTTATATCAAAAACCAGTCCATTCAAGTTTTGTAGAGAATCAAAGAAAGTAGATTTTGTCAAGATGTACTCTAACTGTGAATTTGACGTTTGTTTCTCCGATCAGGATAATGCATATTGTCCAACATTACAGCGTACTGCATTTGAATGTAGTCAACATGGATATATAGTGAAATGGAGAAACTTAAAGTTTTGTCGTAAGTCTTTAACTGTTATGAAAATGTTTACCAAAAAATGTTTTGATATAGACAGACATGCGCTAGTCACCTTTGTAGAAAAGCTTTTCATTATGAAGGATCAATAAAGGCAACAGTAGTATACCGGTGTTCGAAATTCATAAATCGATTGAGAAATTTGTGTGTCTTTTGGTCTTTATTCGTATTTTGTCATGTCGTTGTTAGTTTCTCTTCTAGTTATGGGTTTGAATATCCGATTGGTATATTCAGACTCCCATTTACGCATAAAATATATCAAATGTAAGGAAAACCAAGTAAAATAAAAGTATTTTCACTGTCATTTGTATCTTTGAAAATTATCAGAAAATGTCCTATTTGTCGATAGACAAAAACTGTTTCGACAGAGTTATGATGAACAACGACTGAAAATCTCTATAACTTTACAATTTTTCTTTGTCTTATCTCACTACCGACAATGTGGTACACTATCTTTAGCTACCAGAATACTCCTCTGATCCCCAAGTGTCATTTAGGCTAAGTGTGGATTCTTATGGTATATGATGCATGCATATCAGGAGATGGTTACTATGTCGACGCTACCGGTTTCTGTCCTTTAAGAGTTCATGTGCGTTTTTTTGTGGGGGAGGAGGGGGGCTTGTTTGCCTTGATTGGTTTCTTTTTAATGTATTTTTCAGATTTGAACATCGGTAAATGCTATTACCTGAATTTTATGTGGTATCTTTGATGAGTTTTTTTTAACCTTTAGGTTGACGCCACTGCTGTTGGACGTTTCGTATTCAATGGTATCACTTGCACAGTAATATGTTTCTGTGCTGTGTGAAATATTATTGATACGGGCATTTTCGTTAATATATAGTTATATATAATGTTGAATTATTCGAAACACTAAGGGTTTGCTATCCCTGGATATAGGACTTTGAAAAGACAGATTTAGCACGTCGTTTTAGAAATTTTTTGGTTTTCAACTTTTTTGACTATCACTGATGTTTTATATGTAGGCAAAACCCGCGTGTGGCGAATGCATCATAACCTTACATCTTTGATAAGTTTAATGTGTATTTCATGATTAAACTACATTTAAAACGAAAAGGGATAAAAAAAAGTAAATCAAACATAAAAATATACATGGGAATTATCCAACAGAGTATTTTCAACCTCTAAGGTCATGTTTTTCAAATGAAATGTCGATCGCATAGCTTATCCTCTCATATTTAGCAATTCTTACAATACGTATTGGAAAGGACAAGTCAAGCTTGCCTTAGTTTAACTTTACTAACAGATTATCAACATACAATAGATACACTACCAATGATTTTACAGCCTTAACTTGCAAAGATGATTTTGTCTACAAAACGTCAGTGTCGTGTACAAATACATGTGACAATCCCACAGCCACTCAGAATTGTCAGGATCCACCTGTCGACGGCTGTACATGCCCAGATAAAACCTATCTAAAAGGCGGTAAATGTGTAACTCTAGATAAATGTGGATCATGTTATCTAAATATTGAAGGCATATCATCAAAATTGGCAGTAAGTGTTACTTTTTTTAGTGTTTTTTTTAAGCAATTGAAAATTAGAATACATACAAAACCTGTAGATAAACATAGGTGTTAAACTAAGTTTCCTTATAGACAACTTAACGTATGTCTTTAAATTTAATAGTTAACATTGACATAATTTTTGTTATCAGAAAGAAGAACCATATTTTGGAATTGTCCCGTGATAATTATTTGCCATATTATGGATATAACACTGGACTATTGCACCCTCTGGATTTCTTATTCTTAAACGCTAATCATCTGTTTGGTAGAAGTCTACAAGACAAATTGAACACCAGTGATGTGCTTCACCAGTCAGTAAAATGGGTCTTTTTTCAGCATTGCATTCTTAGTTATATTATTTCACAATGTATCGTGTCTATCCGTTACAATCTGGTCGATTTTGTTTCCTGAATATCTTATTTGCCTTTCAAACTTTCTCATCCTGTTTTATTGATAAAGAACTAACATTAACGAAGGGTTTATGAATTATGTGATGTCATAACTAAAGGGTTTAACATATATCGATGCTTACTTCTTATCACTTGATATGACTCATAAACGTTTTAAATATGAGTTACGCGACGGGTGTTTCTTGTTGCGCAGGAACTGCTGAAAAATCCTTTGCGCCTTAGTAAGTCCTCAGTTTTGTTTGTTTTATAGAGCTCGTGTTGCTCAGTCATTAGTTTTCTGTGTAGGTTTTTGCAAACTATACGTCTTTTTATGTTTCTATTTAACCCTGAAGTTGTGTCTGTTTTGTAACGACTAATGGCCTATGATTGCTGATTGGTATCTTCTCCCTTTTTTATTGATTAAAGGACAACATTGGTTCAATACGAATATCAATTGAACGCTTGTGTAATCTTAATATATTCTATGTTTTATAGGAAACGAACATCTTTGTTTAATAGCCCTTTTCTTACCAAATGTAAGATTTTATGTGCCAATTTTCTTACTCGAACAAATGAGGTTTACATATCTTATTAAAAGACAATATCTACGGTTTTCACTAAAAAATAGGCTTGACATTTTTTTCAAGAATAAAGTACATTTTGTATTGAAATTACGAATGAAATATATTTTGGTGTCAATCGTAACGTTCTATTTGCGATACTAAAATTGCTATCAATAGATTGAATTGTTTTCGGTACGACAAAAACTCCTATTAAAACCCGCCCATATTAATATAATTTAATAAATGCACAGGCGTACATACTTCTATAATGATTACACGTGATTTCCAAAACAAAATTGAATCGTGGTAGACCGACACTCTTCAAGAATTGGACTAAGAAAGAAATAGAATAGAAGTTTTAGCAATATATGCCTGAAACCATGATTAATATAGGAAAAATGTGAAACAGGTACATGAGTGTTAAGGCCGGGAAAACGAAGTTGCTAAAGCCTAACTAGCACGTGAAATTTCCTATAAACAAATGTTGTCAGCAAAGAGGCCTAATAAATGTTACACAGCAGAATAACTCGTATAAATAACAAAAAGCAAACTTATATGAAACATAAGAAACTACCACAACAGGCATCAAAATATATTTCAAATATTAAACCAACTAGTTTTTACAGTTTGTTCTTATGTTGTGATGTTACACCAATGTCCAGGTTAGGGGAGGGTTGAGCAATCACAAACATGTTTAATCCCTCCTCATTCTTTATTTGCCTTCCCCAAGGCAGGAGCCTGTAGTTCAGTGGTTGTCGTTGGTTCATGTCTGTCATATTTTTTTTTCGTAAATTATTTGTTATAAATTAGGCCGTTAGTTTTCTATCTTGAATTCTTCCACATTTCTATGTCGGACCTTTTATAGCCGACAATGTGGTATGGGTTTTCTCATTGTAGAAGGATATATGGCTGCCTATAATTGCTTACATCCACTTCATTTCAAATCTGGTGGACAGTTGTCTCATTGGCAATCATACCACATCTCCTTATTTTTATAATGATAGATTATCAATATATTATTTATTCATCTTTCAATGTGTTTTTAGTCGGTAACATTGACAATGTGCAAGAAATTCCAAATATGTCTGTAATAACAATTACCCCTTATGTGCCTCATCATGATCCGCTCTATATAGAAATCCTTACCGATTTGCATACGATACTTTTGAATTGATATTATTTCTTATAATAGATTTCTCTTTCTTACGTTCATCAGAATCCTGACAATGACATAAAAAATATTTTGTCATTTGTATCTATAAATAATGCGGCTGTTCAGTGATCACCTCAAAACCTGAATTTCTTAGGTACTGCTTCTTTCTTTAAATTGGAAATTATTGTCATTGATTAAACCATTTCAGGTGGGCGATTTCTATCCAAAAGGTAACTGTACTGTGTCACAAAAGTGTGACATGGTAAATAAAAACTTCGTCTTGGTACCTATTCAGCAGGCGAAAATCTGTGATGTAGATGAATTGTGCACAGCGAACAACTTTGGAATATATGATTGTACTAAGAATTCCAGTAAGTTTTGTTTATGCAACGTGAATTTGACAATCAGTACTCAGTCTTCAAAGACAACAGTGTCACACATTGACTCTATCAATCTATTTTAAGCCATATGCAAATATAATACACATAATATCTCAAAAGACCAAAACACTTGATAAACAATGATGTACATAACTTAAGACTAACGCTAGTATCGCATATTTATCAGCAGACACTCCCATTAAAACTAGGACTACAATAAGTCTGTACGCTATAGTCAATAAAATTGAGAATGGAAATGGGGAATGTGTCAAAGAGACAACAACCCGACCAAAGAGCAGAAAACAGCATAGCATAATACGCATGCAATCATATCGTATTACCTTGCAGTAGAAGCAAGCAATTGTTAATATACAGTCATCTTTCAGATTGAAGCAATAGGTTTCCGGTCATGAATTCAGTCGGCTGTGAAAGAGATGAATTAGACTAGAATTGAAGCGCGCAATTAAATAACTGTGCTGTTATTGTGTCTAAAAGATCTTTAAGAGCACCTCCAACATCTGAATGCGAGACTTTTAGAATGAAAAAATAGAATTACTATGACGAATGTTGACCAAATAGATATTATAAATTCTGAAAAATGTTTTGCGGAATGAACACATATAATAATAATAATGATAATAATAATAATAATATCTGGCGGCTTGTTCAATCCTATTCATCATGTTGAATTTCAAATTAAAGTGAAGTGAATTTAAAATTTGTAATACAATATCTAATCAAGTATTTTATTATATGTAATTGTTTTTTTTTCCATAAGTATATTTAGTTTGATTTTTAAGCTTTTTCAATAAAATTTTGTTGACTTGGGTCTAATTAGAAGATGTTTCCAATCGTAAACAGAGTTTTAATCATTTTAATAGCATTCAGGTAAATAAAAAAATTGAGCTTTCCTGATTAAGGTAATTCTAAGAAAAGTGCTTCGAACGCAATATATATATATATAAAGTGTTATTTTCATTCTCATAAATCAATTCATATGATTTCACTGTTGGAAAATACGCATTTGTACGTGTAAAGTAGGCTTCTATAAAGATTTTGTTTTTATCAAATTACCAATAAGTCAATTTCGTGGTTGTTATTCAATAACCTTTTCATTTCTTATAGCATATGATACACAGAGACAGTCGTTACACGAAAAACCAGATAATTCGGCGAAAGCCTTTACATCGAAAGATGGTATTCCAACTTTAAGTTTTATCAAGGCCACAAAGAAATATGTAACCATCAAAGCATATAATGATGTTAACACAACATCCGTGTCAGAGCCAATAACTAACGACTTGAAAACATCGAAAATTGTTCGCCAAGAGACTACGATAACAAATCCATTCACGTCAATAGACAGTATCACGCATCAATATGCTCAAGAGATGTCTTCAACAGCAATAACAGAAAAAGAGGCAGTATTAAAGGCGACTTCAAAAGAAGATAATTTCCCAGCCACTACAATTACAGTGAATGACACTTTATCGCCATTTATCTCTGTTAAAAATCGTACGAATTTCCTTGTGAGCACTCAAAGCACTTTACAGGAACACACAACCAAATACACGACATCTAAAGCAAAACAATCTACTGTAAACTACAGAACGGAAGATAAGAATTTAGAAGCAAGAACGACGAGTGAGTCAAATGTTTTATCAAATCAACAACTGTCTTTAATAACTGAAGGAACTCTAACTGAGGTTACAACATCAAATGATACGAGTCTCGTCAATCGAAAGTCTCCATTTGAAAAAGTTACAGAAAGACATGAAGTTACAGCATCCAGTTTGAATGTAACGACAGAGGGCCAATACATTGAAACTACTACTGCTAATACTGTCAATCTAAATAGCAAACAGAAAAACGAATACGAAACAACAAGCGAATCGGTTGAGATAACAAATTTTATCTTCACCACAAACACTGATTATGAACAATTAGATAAAACCACTACTAGTTTAATTGAAAAACTCCAGTTTCATACTATGTCGGCATTAGAAGATACGACAATTGAAACAAATAATGAAAAATCGAGTACAACGACAGATATATTTGGTATAGACGCATTATCAATATTGAACCCAACAACATATTCTCTTACCACAAATACAGACCATACAAAACAGAGAACTAGATCGTCTACGTCACAGATGTTTACACTGTCTGAAGATCTATCAGAATCAGGTATATTGTAAAATAGTCAATATTTGTTTTTGTCTTCTGAAATTATTATACCCCCGCTTTAAAAAAGTGGGGGTATACTGTTTTACCTCTGTCTGTTTCCGTCAGTCCATCCGTCAGTCCATCCGTCCGTCCCATGAATACTTCGTCGCATTTTTCTAATGACTACTTGACAAGGATTTCTGAAATTTGGTTTCAGGGTTTATATAAGTAAGTTACACCGTGTGATGCTTTTTCAGATTCATCACTCAACAACTTCCTGTCTACCGAACACTTGTATTATTTTACACATGATAGCCAAGTTGAAAATTTTCGTCGAATTTTTCTCAGGAACTACTTTACAAGGATTTCTTAAATTTGGTATTAGGGTTTATATAAGTAAGTTACACCGTGTGATGCGTTTTCAGATTCATCACTCAACAACTTCCTGTTTATCGAACATTTGTATTATTTTACAAATGATAGCCAAGTTGAAAATTTTCGTCACATTTTTCGCAGGAACTACTTGACAAGGATTTCTGAAATTTGGTTTCAGGGTTTATATAAGTAAGTTTCACCGTGTGATGCGTTTTCAGATTCATCACTCAACAACTTCCTGTTTACCTAAATATTTCGGCGGGGGTATCATCAGTGAGCAGTAGCTCACAGTTTTACTTGTTTTCTCTGTAATGATAGAAAGGTTTAATTGTGTCACTATTTTAAATGAGCTGGTGACAGAAGTAAAAATGCAGCATTGCGATATATCAGTCACCAAATAATAAACAAAAGGAATGTTTTGTCTATTGTTTCAACGACCAAAAGATAAAAATTTGTAGTTTGTAATTTTTCTATATGTTGAACGAGGAAGGGAGACGCCGGGAAAGTTTTGTGCTGCTTTTAAAAGAAAATTTCTTGATGAAATATTAACTATTGAGAAATTCATTTTATGGGAAATTTGATAAGCTTTTTTCCGATTAAGGATAGAACACTTGCTGCTCATTTCTCATACAACGTAACTCATTAAATGATATTAGAAAAAATCAAATTACAAGAACACTTAAAACTCAGCTATTATAAATCATTGCCGATGGATCTTTTTTTGGGGGAAAAGATATCGTAGAGATGTAAATCGTAAAGATAAACTTTCACGTCAGAAGTTTTTGTAATATGAAATTGATTATTCGTAGTAAACGGCGGTTGGTCATCTTTCAAATCATGGTCTGGATGGACTCACTGTACCCGAAGTTGTGGAGGAGGATTAAGGGAGAGAACCCGATATAGATCTTGTACAAACCCTTTGCCTTTGCATGGTGGCAACAAATGTAATGGATTTGATAAGGATATCGCGTTTGAAGACTGCAATACCCTGAAATGTCCAGGTAAGTATTTACTAAACCAGCGTTATGGTCTCATTGGAAATTTCGTCTCTTGATGATTGTCGTCGTCCTTTAACTTTAACAAAAAAATCTTCTCCTCTGAAACTACTTTACCAAATGAAAACATTTTATTGGGTTATTGAGCTTAAATGACAATTGTTTCCAGGTTTTTTTTCAATTAAAATATTATCTTGAAATCGAAAAGATAGAAAGAAACTTTAAAGCAAAAATGATAAAAAAAAACAAGATATACAAATAAGTCAAAAAAGAGGGACGAAAGATACCAGAGGGATAGTCAAACTCATAGATCGAAAACAAACTGACAACGCCATGGCCAAAAATAAAAAGACAAACAGACAAATAATAATACAGATGACACAACATAGAAAACTAAAAACTAAGCAACACGAACCCCACCAAAAACTGGGGGTGATCTCAGGTGCTCCGTAAGGGTAAGCAGATCCTGCTTCACATGTGGCACCCGTCGTGTTGCTTATGTTATCACAAATCCGGTTAATAGTCTAATTCGGTAGGTCACATTCGTGAAAAGGGAAGGGTATTGTAGTTACGACATAAGGAACATATCCGATATCATCTGTGAAACGGTTATTCAATAACGGTCAGCCAACTCGTGATGGCCTCCGTAAAATTTACGAAGGGATGATTTCAACTTCACCATTTGGATTTCTTGGTTTAATAGCTTCCTTGTGAGCAGCAATCCTCTATCAAGGAAATCATGATAGGAAATACAAGCCCGGGAATATCGTATCAATTGGGAGATATATACTCCGTATGCAGGCTCTGCTGGAATGTTGCTACATAGAAATGGAAAGTTCACAATTGGGAAGCTGAAATCATCTCTCTTTTTCGTAAAGTTTTGTTTCCAACCGACCCTCATTGTCAGTGTCTAGATGTAAGTCAAGACATGGGGCAGACTTAATTGTATCTGTAGTATCCTTTATCTCTAGTTCGATGGGATAGATTCGTTCAACATAGTCACCAAATTTTGTATTATTTAGTGAGAGAACATCATCTTTATAGCGCAACGTAAAGTTAAAGGATATTGCTAACTTCTTATCTTTCTTCCTAAGAAGTTCCTGTATGAAGTCAGCCTCATAATAATAAAGAAACAAGTCGGCAAGAAGAGGGGCACAATTGGTTCCCGACAGTCTGTTGAAAAACACGTCCTCCAAACGTAACAAATATGTGGTCAATCAAGAAATCAAGCATCTTGATAATGCCAGTTTCAGAGAATTTTTTGTTTGAATCAGAGTGATTCTTTACAAAGTAGGATTTATCCCTCCCCAGGACAAGATACTTGTATCTACGTTCGCCATTCTTTTTAATGAAACATAGTAATACCAACTCTTTCAATTTGTCTTTTAGTTTGGAATGGGGAATACTTGTGTAAAGTGTCGAAAAATCAAATGTTTTAATACTATAGCAAGATGAGAGAGTCTTAGATTGTATCTACTCTAAAAGATCTTTGGAATTTTTTAGTATTCACATCTGATTCACACCACCTCTAGAATAGGCAGTTTCACAATAACTTTGGAGCCCGGCTTTGATTGTTGATAAAATAGATGATAATAATTTAGAAAGAGGTTTCGTGGAGCACTTGGAAGACCGAGCAATATACCGTTGTTTGTAAGGACATTTATGTAGTTTAGGTATCCAATACAGTGATGGAAGATCCAGTTCTTCATCTTTGGTTGAAATCCCAAAGGAACATAGAACAGACCTATGATTATCCAGGATTTCCTCTTTGGTAAGTGTCGTGAGGGTATATGTTGAGTTTCCAAGTGAATTGTCAATACCTAATTCATTTATCAAGCAGTTTATGTAATGATATTTACACACAAAAACGATGTTGTTTGGGGCTTTATCTTCGGTGACAACAACATATTTGTCATGGAGGTAGGACAAGTGTTTTGCAACATTTGGGTCTTTAAGAAATTGACGTAGCGTGGGTATTGATAGGCCCATTTAGTTTCTTAATTCTGATTTGTATCAACGACCTCACAGCCTTAATCCATTCGGAAAGAGTATATACGTCTTCTTTCTCGCGTTTAGCCCATTGCCTGGCATAATCCTCGACTGAATCCATCAGTATTTTGAAGTTGTATTTCCAATGATGGATTTAGACTCACGATATTTCGGACCTTTGGATAACAAATTTCGTAGGGAAGTGTTATTGACAATGTTGAGGTCTCCGGTAATAACGTGGCCAGCCGAATTATATGTGAATTGGGAACTAGCACAGGTGCAATCAGGAGGTTTAGACTTGAAGTCATCAATGGTGAGATCCCGCAAAATGTGTTTGTAATTGAAAATTTTAGTTGCAATTGGTTTGGAATAGGTATAAATTATTGGTACAGACTGATCTTTAAAATAAGGAGGTATTTTCGACTGAACTAATTTATGATGAAGGATATTGCCTAAGTTGACGCCATCGAGACCTTTGTTGGCAAAGGGAAGTTTAAGAAAAGATCTTTTCTCTTTTTCATCTTTTCCAATGCGAACTGGTCGAAATCTTCAAGAGACCTTTTAATTAAAAAAAAACTTTTGTAGAAGGAAAGAAACTTTAAATAAAAAATGATTAGCAAGACAAGATCTACAAATAGATCAAATTGGTAAAAATCGTCAGTCCGATTTTCATATGTGATATTAAAATGACGATCTTAACCATTTTTTGCGTTCATAAAAAAAGTTAGGAGATGTGGTATGATTTCCAATGAGACATGTATCCACCAGAGTTCAAATGGCGAAGGCAAAAGCAATTATAGTTCACCGTACGACCAACACAATGAGAAAATCCAATACCGTATATTCAGCTATGCAGGCCCGACTTGAAAACATTGAAATATTTTAAACGAGAGAACTTACAGCCTAATCTATAGAATACAATTTACGAAAATATATATAAGACATAAACCAACGACAACCACCGAATTACAGGATCCTGACTTTGGACAGGCACATACAGAATGCGGCGGGATTATACATGCTTGTGAGCGCTGTACATATATAGCAATGTTTAGTTAGTTATGTTTTAATTTATCAAAAACTAAATCAATGTTAGTACAGATAAAAACAATATTTAAAGATTTCGCGAGAGTGTTGAATTGATTTGCTTGTATCTTGAAGACTATAATAGATAAAAACATTTATTACATTGTTGCAATGAATTAGTGTGATTTCCCAATGAATTTAAAACCGATAGTTTCACCAAAAAAATCAGAAGCTTTTATATAATATTTTCTAATTGTCGTTACCACAATCCCGTCCTATGTTACTCCCTACCAGATTAGACTAATTACCGGGCTTATACTTACATGAAAACTTGAGGGGTTCGTGTATATATAGAGCAGAATCTGTTTATCATTTTGGAGCACCTGAGATCACCCTCGGTTTTTGTTGGAGTTCCTGTTGCTCAGTCTTTTGTTTGTCATGTTGTGTGCAGTAGACTGTTGTATTTCTTTTAGTCATTTTTCGTTTTTCCCATGGCATTGTCAGTTTGTTTTCGACTTATAAGTTTGAATATCCTTTTTATTTTCTTCTGTCTCTCTTTTGAAGTACAAATGTAACCCCATCTTTTGTATTCATCAACACAAAGGGTCATGTTTCTTGGCCATTAACATGGCCTTACTTACAAATACTTTAGATTCGCACTAAATTTCCACACTGACCCCATTACTTTTCAACCCTGTAGTAAGAAATGAAGGTGCATTCAACAATCATTTTTGATTTTTACTCAACCCCAGCTATTACCTTTCTTATACAAAATATGCATTACAAACATAATATACCAACCAACGTATATTTATTTACCAAATCTATCCATGTAACTATTGCATGAGTTGAGGGACTTTGATTGTAACTAATCTAATATATATTTTGAATTTCATACTATCCACACCATGATTAACATATTTACATTAAAATAACATTTCCCAAATTCTGTTGTCCGGACGGACATTACATATTTATATTTTCCTTTGTATTTTAATACGAGACGCGGACTTCACTGCTGTAAAATACGATCTCTCTAATCGACGAAATTGCACCTTTTTGATACATTAAGCTGACAAACTAATATTTATTAACGGGTCACAGTAAATTGGAAGTTTATATGACTTTGTTATATTCAAGTTAAAACATTGTTTCTCCAGTTTAAGGAGAAATCAAAAATTCACAAACACGTCCTTTTGTGCTTTGGTCTTAACAAAAAAATCAATATTGGATACATAAACATAATGAAAATCCTTATATATAACGATATATAGTCGGGTCGTCAAGATGTAAGACAAAACACTTTGAAGAAGTTTTGACTGTCTTTCTTTCTACTGTAAAGACTGCCTTCAAATATTGTGATAAGGTACATCCAGCAATGTCAATCAGACGTGAATTCTACTCCAAAATTTTAAATTACAATCTTTACAATTTAGTTATATATTTCACAAATAATACATGATGGTCTTGAGGTATAAATTATAGGTACTGACGTTGTTTATCATCTAAATTACGTGTTATAGTCTTCTTTTTATTTGTCCTTGTACATTTTTAACCTTTTCTGTTTAGTCCATTTTTGGGAATATACTTTTGACGTGGCTCGGTACTTATATATCCCGCCATTGTGTTAGTGTGCTATGATCAATTTTGTATTCTTGTCTTTCATTTTTGCTTATGTACTTTGTCTATAGAGTGTTTTCGTTTGATACCTTTGTTGGTATCTCCTTAATCGGCTTATGAGATTTAGACATCGGTAAACCAATTGTGTCTACATTGTTCCATCATAATCTTACTCAAAGCTTTGGCTACTTTTTCATGTTATTGCTATAATTTTTATGCGCATCTTAACATCTTGAATTTTACATGTCTTTCAAAAGATGCATTAACGGTTTATTACCTGAAAATAAAATTTTAAAAAATATATGACAAAAAAAAACCCGGGAAATAAAACCAAGAAAGGGTGAAAATACATATCTTAAAACAATAGAAACAAGATGACAAGTGTGAAACGAAATAAAACACATCACATATGTTTTTCCATGATTATGAGCCAGTACAATAACTCAAAATATATAGATATTTAAATTACTAGATATATACAAAGATGTAAGCTGTTGTTATGGTTATTTAAATATGCAAATACTAAAATGCGTTATTAAATTCATAGTCCAATTATATTAACATCTTCAACATACAGATGTGACAACGATAATTTTGTAAAATGGAAAGAGTTATAAGTTAAGTCAATGATAATGTATTAAAGCATACTACCGAGTTTAGTTTTTTTATTTTGTTTTTCACAAACGGCAACTTCTTTAAACATAGCAAAACTGTTCCGGGAAAATGTTGTTAAAACGTGGGAATTTTAATCAGTTTATTTCCGTTTCTGCTATTACTCCAAAAATATCCTCTTATCCATGTATTGCCAATATAAATGCCCGATAACACATACTTTTCTTTTCATTACTTTATTACATATAGTTTAACAAGACATTTTTTAAATCTTATACAATCCTTGTTATTTTTTTTATAGTTTTTGAAAGAAAAAAGAGGACAATATTTAATGTATGTAAAATCTAGAGAAAATAATTTCCCGCCAAAGTTTCAATTAGTTATATCTCACAAACCTGTGATTTTTTTTTACTGCTTAAGTTCTGGTATTTATATACTATCAATTTATGACAGTCTTCAAAAAATCTGTTTTTTTTTAAACAGAGTAGCGAAAATCATTGACACTGTTATGTGGCAATTTAAATTAAACTGAAGGAATTCCTCAACAGGAAAACAACACTTTTTCCTATTGGTTGTAGGTTGTAGTAGATATGTGTATGGTTACATGATAATTTGAAGAAAAACAATAATTTTAGATATGTTGTTAGCGTATACATCACATTCCCTCTATTTGATAGTAAAAGCCCAAATTCTTTTAAACGCATAAATGGTCCCATGATGACTATTGTGCATAAAGTAAAGGTGGTCGCTGATTTGATCTCTTGTCGGGTTAAATAAAAGACTAGAAATTAAACAAAATGTTTACTTGAGGTCGCTTTTCTTATTAGGTAGCATGCTTACAGACATTACAAAGCAATGTTCATATTAAGATTATGTTGTGAACCTTTATTTGGTTCAAAAATTAACTGATGGACGTTAAAAACCAATACTTTTATAAATTCCAGTGTATTTTCTGTTAATATGACATTTTGTTTAATCTCAAGGTTTTTGCACATGTTCAGGATACGGTGGGTTCCATTACAACACACCTGATGGCGCAGATATACATTTTATGCGAACATCTAAATATATATTGTGGGAGTCTACATTTCAAAATGATCCATGTTCATTTAGAGTTGAAACGAAAAACAAGAGAAGATATGGTTATAAGCATGCTTTCTACACTCTGTTGATTGAGTTATATATCGTGAATACAACAATTCGCATACTACAAAAAGACACTTCTATGGTAAGTTTTGTTTGTTTATCATCTCTGCATGTAGTACCTTAATCAGTTACACAAGTGCTAGTCTAGTTTATAAAGTTTTGAAGAAAAACAGGTTATCCCAGCGGAGAAAAACATATTTTGTTTGTGTTTAGTGTAACCTCCTTAAATCTCAATCCAGTAAAAAAATGAAGAATAATTACATCCATTCAAGATACGTATACACAACTATGAAAGCAATCATATAGTTAAGTATTAGAATTATATCCTTACGTCAGTACTTTTCAACAGAAGGTTCTAATACCTTTATACTCAAATCCAACAACAGCTTTCGACCCGGACCCTATAACCTCTGGAAATAATAGATGCTTACATATTGAAGTTAAACACTCCTGTTCAAACAAACAGATTCTGCATACCCACATTTTTGTCATTTGAGACAATATGTGCAATTCATTCCAAGTAGACAGTAATAGTTATATTTTACAATTATTTTCTGTCCATATCATTATATTTGATATGTTTGATGGCTCGAAGCTGGTAAATTTCTACGTATTTGGTGAACTTTTTGAGCACATTGTGCGATTAAAATTTCCATAATTCTGCAATCTCCGAAATGGTATAAACAGCACTAATGATAAATCAATTATTATAATTAATGACAGCACCATGTTTGATATCATTCGAAATATATATTTTGTGTTTCCATAATTCTGTGTGTCTCAACTTGAGGTTGAGCTACTTGAAAATATTCAAGCAAGTTTAAAAACTTGGACAATATTTTTGGAAATCAACAATTTTCATGTTTTAAACTGATTTCTATGAGAAATAAAATGAAAACAACACGTTATAAATTATTGGAAATTTGGGAACATAAAATAAATACGCTCAGCTAAAATTACAGTTTTTATTTTATACATATGATAAATTACAAAAAGTTAATCTTGTAATCAACGCAATGAATTATCATTTGAAATATTTGATAACTGCCAGAATGTCGCTATTAATATTTTAGAAAAACGCGATTCAACCTTTTTAGTCACCAAAATGTTCGAAAAGGATACTTTAAATGCAAACAAAACCATTTAATTGTAAAAATTACTGTATATACATGATTCAACTTTGCAGACATTAAAAAGTAAGATAACAAAAAAATACCTAACTCCAAGGAAAATTCAAAACGGAAAGTCCCTTATCAAATGGCAAAATCAAAAGCTCAAAAACAAATGGAAAACAACTGTCATATTCCTAACTTGGTACAGGCATTTCCTCCCCAATTGTGAACTTTCCATTTTTATGTAGCAACATTTCAGCAGAGCCTGCATACGGAGTATATATCTCCCAGTTGATACGATACTCCAGGGCTTGTATTTCCTATCATGATTTCCTTGATATAGGGTTGCTGCTTACAAGGAAGCTATTAAACCATGAAATCCAAGTGGTGAAGTTGAAATCATCCCTTTGTAAATTTTACGGAGGCCATCACGAGTTGGTTGACCGTTACGGAATATCCGTTTCACAGATGATAGCGGATATGTTCCTAATGTCGTAACTACAATCCCGTCCCCTTTTCCCGAATGTCACCAACCGAATTAGACTTATTACCGGGTTTGTACCAGCATAAGCAACATGACGGTGCCATATGTGGAGCAGGATCTGCCTACCCTTCCGGAGCACCTGAGATCACCCCCAGTTTTTTGTGGGGTTCGTGTTGCTCAGTCTAGTTTTCTATGTTGTGTTTTGTGTACTATTGTTTGTCTGTTTGTCTTTTTCTTTTTTAGCCATGGCGTTGTCAGTTTATTTTCGAATTATGAGTTTGAATGTCCCTTTGGTATCTTTCGCCCCTCTTTTATGTAGAAAATGGTGGATTCAACCTGCTTTATAGCTAGTTAACCTCTAACTTGTATGATAGTTGCATAAAATTCCATTAAATTGACAACAGTGTGTGACCAAACAAACAGACATAATAGGAAAATACATTATCATATAAAAATGGTTTTTTTTGGTAGTTTTACAATAAAATAGTTCAACATTTTATAAAGGGAAAATTTACAAAACATGAAAAATTGATATGTCATGTCAACATAAAAGTGCTGACAGCTGAAAAAAAAACATGAATGGGCCAAAAATATTTATCAAGCATTAACAAATTTAATTATAAAAAATAAATGATTACAGGAAGTGTACATTTGTCTATTCTATGATATGTAACAAAAACCAAGATGTTCTACAAGCAGGCAATGACTGCCTTAGCCGTATATGGCACACTGTTTCTGTCTCAATTTCAGTTAAACATGGCGAAATCTTCTTTTCCCATGTCATCCAACCGAAATTACATTATCATTAATCGAAATCAATAATACTGAGAATTCTAGCCCTACAAATTAAAAAAGCCAAACATAGATATGACGTATTATGGTTACATGGAATTTCTAATATGATAATTATCTAGCAACTGGTGACCTACCGGGTTTTATGACGAAAAATAAAGAAACAATGTAATAGGTTTCATTTAATATACAGATATTCATAATCCGTAGTAAAGATTTGCAAAATTTCTGATCTAGATACATTTGATACGAAAATATTTGTATGTTTGCTTTAAAATATACACAACTACATGTTGGACTTGTACCTTAGGTAAACGGCATAGCTATAGAACTACCAACTTTACTGGTAAATAAATCCATAGAGATAACAAGAAGTGGAAGTTTCATCACTGCAATTCATTCCAAATGTAACATACGAGTCCAGTTTGATGGTGATCACATGATTAACGTAAAGGTTTCTAAAAATCGTTTTGCTGGAAAGTTAACTGGTCTTTGCGGAAACTGTAATGGAAATAAACAGGATGACTACCAGACCAAGTCCGTAATAGTTGTTTCTGGGATTGATTGGGTGGACAAAGTTTTTGGTGATGGTGACCAACCATTCTTTAAGTAAGAAAATGTACAAGTAAAGCTTGAAATTTTTTCAAGAAATTTTTATTATTTTGGCATTTTGTCTTTTAAATACATTCTAGGTAAACTATTCCTTTTTAATTTATCGTTAGTCACAGCTGCTTTAATACTCTTTGACCTAGAATTACATAGGCTTCTTTTTTTATTTCAAAACGAATAAACGTATGCATTACGTAAAAGATTGTAATTGCTGAAAATAGTTAGAGATTATATATTGATTTAATATTTTACGAAGCAGTTTAAGCGATTGAAAAAATGTTTTTGTTATTTTGAATTAAATATTCTGATAGAAGGGTCATCTGGAAATGAAAAGTGTAATTATATACCTTGAATTGTGTTCATGTTCAATCTTCTCAACAGTTTAGTTGGTGTTCATGTCCCACGTAAATGTTTGGTAAAAGATAAAGAACGAACTACGAAGGATGATTATTGCTGGTACCTTATATCAAAATCCAGTCCATTTAAGTTTTGTAGAGAATCAAAGAAAGTAGATTTTGTCAAGATGTACTCTAGCTGTGAATTTGACGTTTGTTTCTCTGATCAGGATAATGCACATTGTCCAACATATCAGCGTACTGCATTTGAATGTAGTCAACATGGATATAATGTGAAATGGAGAAACTTTAAGTTTTGTCGTAAGTCTTTAACTGTTATGAACATTTTTTATGATATAGACAGACTTGCGCTAATCATCTTTGTAGAATAGCTTTTCATTATATAGGCTCAAAATCGAAAGTGAATACTTCTTTTACATTTTAATAGACCCGTCTGGAGAACCGAAATGACTTACATCCGGAAATGTTGCAATTGTCGTAACTACAATGCCGTCTAATTTTCATCGAATGTGAAATCACCGAATTATTACTTACACGGGGAACATGACGATTGTCAAATATAGTAGAAGATATGTTTATCTTTACGTAGCACCGGATATCACACATTGGGAGGGGGGGTGCATACAGGCATTTTCGTTAATATATAGTTATATGATATTGAATTATTCGAAAAATTAAGGGTTTGTGCTATCCCTAGATATAGGACTTAAGACAGATTTGGCGCGTCATTTTAGAAATTTGGGGCTTTCAACTTTTTTTTAAAGTCACTGATGTTTCAAATGTAGGCGAAATTTTGTGTGGCAAATGCATTATAGCCTTACAGTTTTGATAAGTTTCATGCGCATTTCATGATTAAACTATATTTAAAACGAAAAGAGCCAATATAAAAATGAAAATCAAATATAAAAATATATATAGGAATTATCAAACAGAGTATTCTCAACCTATTAGGTCATCTTTTTCAAATGAAAGGTCGATCGCATAGCTTATTCTCTCATACTTAGCAATTCTTATAATACGCTTTGGAATGGACATGTAATGCTTGTCTTTAGTTAAACTTTACTAGCAGATTATCAACTAACAATAGATACACTACCAATGATTTTACAGCCTTAACTTGCAAAGATGATTTTGTCTACAAAACGTCTGTGTCCTGTACAAATACATGTGACAATCCCACAGCCACTCAGAATTGTCAAGATCCACATGTCGATGGCTGTACATGTCCAGATAAAACTTATTTAAAGGGTGGTAAATGTGTAACTATTGATAAATGTGGATCATGTAACCTTAAGATTGACGGAATATCTTCTAAATTGGCAGTAAGTGTTACTTATGGTTAGTGCTTTTTTAAGCAAATGAAAATTAGGATACATATAAACAAAACCTGCAGATAAACATAGGTGTTGAACTAAGTTTCCTTATAGACAACTTAACGTATGTCTTTAAATTTAATAGTTAACGTTGACATAATTTTTGTTATCAGAAAGAAGAACCATATTTTGGAATTGTCCCGTGATAATTATTTGCCATATTATGGATATAACACTGGACTATTGCACCCTCTGGATTTCTTATTCTTAAACGCTAATCATCTGTTTGGTAGAAGTCTACAAGACAAATTGAACACCAGTGATGTGCTTCACCAGTCAGTAAAATGGGTCTTTTTTCAGCATTGCATTCTTAGTTATATTATTTCACAATGTATCGTGTCTATCCGTTACAATCTGGTCGATTTTGTTTCCTGAATATCTTATTTGCCTTTCAAACTTTCTCATCCTGTTTTATTGATAAAGAACTAACATTAACGAAGGGTTTATGAATTATGTGATGTCATAACTAAAGGGTTTAACATATATCGATGCTTACTTCTTATCACTTGATATGACTCATAAACGTATTTAAATACAAGTTAATAGTAAACATTGAAATAGTTCTTGTTATGAGAAAGAAGACCCACATTTAAGAATTGTCCCGTGATAATTCGTTGACATATTATTGATATAACACAGGTATATTGCACCCTCTGGATTTCTTATTCTTGAACGCTAATCAAACGTTAAGTAGAAGTCTACAAGACAAATTGAACATCAGTGATGTGCTTCGCGCCAGTAGATAAAATGGGTCTTATTTTTCAGCATTGCATTCTCAGTTATATTATTTTATATCTCGCGTATATCCGTTACAATCTGGTCGATTTTGTTTCCTGAATATATATATATAATTTCCTTTTCAAACTTTCTCATCCGGTCAAGTTTTATTGATAAAGAACTAACATTAACGAAGGGTTTATGAATTCTGTGATGTCAAAACTAAAGGCTTCAACATATATCGATGCTAACGACTTATCACTTGATATGACTCGTAAACGTATTTGAATAGGAGTAACGCGACGGGTGTTACTTGTTGAAAAGGAACTGCTGACCAATCCTTTGCGCCTTAGTAAGTCCTCAGTTTTGTTTGTTTTATATAGCTCGTGTTGCTGAATCATTATTTTTCTGTGTAGGTTTTTGTAAACTATACGTCTTTTTATGTTTCTATTTAACCCTGACGTTGTGTCTGTTTTGTAACCACTAATGGCCTATGATTGCTGCTTGGTATCTTCTCCCTTTTTTATACGCCCGTCAAAATTTTGACGGGACGTATTATGGTATACAAATGTCGTCTGTCCGTCTGTTTGTCTCTCCGTCTGTCCGTCTGTCTGTCCGGCGTAAACATTTCCCACCGTAACTTGAGAACGACTTATCCAAATTTCATGAAACTTAACATAGTTGTTTCTTATGATGGTCAAACGATCTCTATACTTTTTGGTGAAAATAAGATTAAAACTTTTTGAGTTACGGGACTTAGTAACTAAAACAGGTGTGTGTTTTTTTTTCACATGTCGCGCCGTATCTCAAAAACAATTTATGATTATTGCTTAAAACTTTACACACTTCTTAGTTATATTAATCTTAAGATCTGTATACTTTTTGATGATGATTCAAAATTTTATTTTTGAGTTATTGAGTATTTTGTAAAAAAAAAGTGGGAGGGGTTTTTCACATGTCGCGCCGTATCTCAAAAACGATTTATGATTATTGCTTAAAATTTTACACACTTCTTAGTTATATTAATCTTAAGATCTGTATACTTTTTGGTTTTGATTCAAAATTTTATTTTTGAGATATTGATTTTTTTTTTTAAAGGGGGTTTTTCACATGTCGCGCCGTATCTCAAAAACGATTTATGATTATTGCTTAAAATTTTACACACTTCTTAGTTATATTAATCTAAAGATCTGTATACTTTTTGGTTTTGATTCAAAATTTTATGTTAGAGATATTGAGTTTTTTGTAAAAAAAAAAGGGGGTTTTCACATGTCAGGCCGTTTGTCAGAAACTATTTATGATTATTGCCTAAAAATTCACACACAAGACGACGGGCGTATCATGCGCTCATGGCGCAGCTGTTTATTATTGATTATAGGACAACATTGTATATTTTGTTATTATAACCTTCGGTAGGAAAACTGACAATAACATAAAACATATTTTTTTCATTTGTATCTATAAATAATGCGGCTGTTCAGTGATCACTTCAAAAGCTGAATTTCTTTAAATTGGAAATTATTGTCATTGTTTAAATCATTGCAGGTGGGCGATTTCTATCCAAAAAGTAAATGTACTGTGTCACAAAAGTGTGACATGGTAAATAAAAACTTCGTATTGGTACCTATTCAGCCGGTGAAAATCTGTGATGTAGAAATGTCATTGGTGGAGGAAGCCGGAGTGCCCGGCGAAACCCACCGACCTTCGGTAGGAAAACTGACAATGACATGTAACATATTTTTTCATTTGTATCTATAAATAATGCGGCTGTTCATTGATCACTTCAAAACCTGAATTTCGTAGGTACTGGTTCTTTTAATTGGAAATTATTGTCATTGTTTAAATCATTGCAGGTGGGCGATTTCTATCCAAAGGGTAGCTGTACTGTGTCACACAAGTGTGACATGGTAAATAAAAACTTCGTATTGGTACCTATTCAGCCGGCGAAAATCTGTGATGTAGATGAATTGTGCACAGCGAACAACTTTGGAATATATGATTGTACTAAGAATTTTTGTAAGTTCTGTTTGTGCAACGTGAATTTAACAATTAGCACTTAGTCTTCAATGACAACAGTGTAACAAATTAGTTCTATCAATCTATTTTAAGCCATATGCAAATATAATACACATATAATATCTCAAAAGACCCAAACACTTGATAAAACAATGATGTACATAACTTGAGAATAACACTAGTATCGCATATTTGCTAGCAGACACTCCCATTAAAACTAGGACTACAATAAGTCTGTACGCTATAGTCAGCATATCATAATACACATGCAATCATATCGTATTACCTTGCAGTAAAAGCAAGCAATTGCCAATGAAGCAAAAGGTTTCCGGTCATGAAGTCAGTCGGCTGTGAAAGAGATGAATTAGACTAGAAATGAAGCACACAGTTAAATAACTGTGCTGTTAATGAGTCTAACAGATCTTTAAAAACACCGTTCACATCTGAATGCGAGACTATTAGAATGAAAAATTAGAATTACTATGACGAACGTTGACCAAGTAGTTTTTTTTTTTTATTATTTTTATTATTTTAGCTTGCTTGCTTTGATTTATGCATGTTGCTTATCTATTATATTATGAATGTGTTTTATTAATATATATGTTGTGTATTCTGTCAAATGTGTTTATAATTTGTTATTTGTTTTTTTTTATAAGTCGGTTAAGAGCTCTACAGAGCTCATGTTTACTGTGTTAATTTGTACATATCATGCCCGACTCTAAATAAAATGTACTTACTACTTACTTCGGTAATTTGTTTTTTGATATTGATGTTTGGGAGGAGGAATAGATTCCTTAGAACTGTAAGAGTCCTGTACTGAAGCCAAAGTTACTGGAAACAAGTGATGGTAGGGAGTCATTCTATGTTTTTTTATTAGTGCCCTCTGAGGAAACTGTCCTTAACTTCTTTATCCAAAAACTTTCCCAGGACTCTTACAGTTTTAAGGAATTTATTCCTCCTCCCAAACATCAATATTGAAAAATTTTACCAGCGTATTGATTCGTCATAATTTGTATAACCATCAAGATTACTATTACAGTGTGACTACCACATGTCAAGATAAGAACCATTTGACATCTTACTGATGAAGGATATTAGTTATCCGAAATATTTAATATTTGTTCATGATTTTATTTTTTATTGGTGATGTTGTACCCTTTTAGACTTGCTTATTATATCAGCAGGGTTTATAAAGAACATCCGTTGTTCGACCTGCTAGTCAAATGCGTTTTGTTAAAATATTGTTTTCTGTTTAGTATTTAATTAATATTAAGATCCATTTTGTTACATCTTGTGATCAATTTATTTGGCAATCGCCAATGGCAGTCAGCAGGGTTTAAGAACATCAGCTGTTCGACCTGTTAGTCAAATGCGTTTTGTTAAAATATACTTTTTCACTTTTTTTGGTCTTTTGGAAAATGTTGTTTGTGCTGTATTTAGACCATTCTACAGCGAAATTTGTTTTACATGTACACGTATAAAAATTGCGGTTTTTATCCAACGCAATTATAGGTTTGAACGTAGTTTTCAATTAAGACTTGAATATATATATAAATAAAAATTACCCCAACCTTGTAAGATCTACGAATTTGCGTTAGCGTTGTTTTTTCATTCCTTATAAATAAAGATATAGCTTTTGTTAATCGAGTAAATTTTAAGTAGTTCGTAGGCTTAATCTAGGGTTGTAACTCATTGCATGATATATTATTGCAATTAAGAAGATGGTTTACTTTGCAGAGGAGTTGTATTTATCTGTCGTAAAGAATCATAAAAAACTGACTATGCAGTCACATCACTATTATTTTAATAGAGCAGTCTTACAATTTTACGAAAGGTACGTACGCTTTACGAATCATACGTCTCGTTTTAGGGTTCCTTTATTTTGACATATTTATGCAATCTTAATCAAAGCGTCATGGAACTTCGATAGCGTTTTGCCTTAATGTTTGCCTATTAATGACTAATACACTGCATGCAACGACACGTGTTGGAATTGACTTTTCGTGCAATTATAGGAATTTCTGGACGTACGAGAGGTTAAAATATAGTAACAACAGGGAGAAGGAGATAACGCTACAAGAATTCCTAAATTCCTAAATATAGGTTCGTCAGAAGAAAACAAATACCCCCCCCCCAAAAAAAAATTACAACTTTGCATTATTTAACCTAAGAAAATTCAAAGGCAAATACATTGGCTTCCCTCCCCATACAAAAAATAAGATGAAATAAAAAACAAAGACTTCCTAAATTCAAAAATTTGCAACCCAAAAAATAATATAATGAAAAAATGACCTCCAAAACATATTATGCCGGGGCTCGATTAATAACTTGCAGTGATTCCCCGCCTCTACCTGGGTACTAACCATTGTCACCTTGTGGTGTGTCCATACACCAGAGTTAGGCTCACCTATGGAACCGTTCTTTCAGCGTATAATTACGTTTTCGTCCTGAACAATTATGAAATATTTGCCACCGGACGCTAAGCAATCAATAATCATCAATCTTCCAAGCATGTTTACTGTTTAATCGGCATTATTAAATCCAGAATATATAAAGTGCAAGATTGTAGATTTATTTTCTTGATATACATTTAGGTGTTAAAATGTGTATGAAAATGAACAAAGCAAAATCTGTAATTAGTTGATCTATAATTAGAGCTCACGGGTGGATTAGGAGTGGGGCGCACCCAAGTGCCTGTACTCGGCAGACACATTTCTAGCCTCCTATTCTAGATCTTCGGCTTTGTCTATTATATACAAGTAAATAAGAGACAGAGACGGTTTAATTTTTCCAAACACCCAAGTTTGCCGTTTTTTTTTCATTGAGTGTAACTTGTTTGTTTTTCTTCTTTTGTTTTACCATTTAATGCTTGTTATACATTGTGAACTATGTAACGTTCATACTCAACTTTATTTGCATTGTGGTCGATGATTATCTATTTGTTGGTTGGCTGTTGTCTCGTGGACATTTATCCTCGTGTTAACATCTTCTGTACATGCTAAATGCACCACTGGTTGGTCCACAATTATTAGACGATTAGTACAAATTAACGACGTGTAAAAGAATGATCCCAAATCAGTTGCGTATCTTGCATTAACTGAAGATATTACAAGTTGAAAAACAGACCATGAAAATCATCTTTGAAATACTAAAGCAACGACCATTGACTTTCAAGTGGGGGCTGTAATATTTGTTCCGTTTCACATGTTTCCTGCGATCACAAGAGTCACATAACTTTTTTTCACATTTAACCTTAACATTAATGAAAAAAACTTCATCGGAAAATCTTTTTTTCCCCCAGATTTATTTCAAATGTCTTGCAAATCTCGATGATCCACGTTGATAATTTGATGATAGCATACTCATTCAAAATAAAAATAATTGTGAATCTTGTCGTTAAATTTAGAATATCATACTTCAATAATTTCATTAAAATGTTAATGGTGATCGAAACGGATGCTTGAACAATTCCCGCGCAATTGTGTGCAATCGTGGATAACATAAGTTACGTATCGAACGTAAGCTTATTTGAAACTATTTTTCTTTATTTTCAGATATTAAAAGCGTGTTTTATTTGCGATATGCTTAATTTTTTTTCAAGATGCATTTGATTCAGAAAAGAATGCTGTTTTACGAAATAAAACAAAGACTCTAAGTGTTATCGTGGAAATGTAATACATGCTCCCTTTACGTTCGTTCGTACCTTTCGTCAAAATCTAAGAAAGCTCTACTATGTGACAACTTTACGACAGACGATTTCTAGTGGATAACCTATGGTTATACAGTGAGAGCTTACAGCACATTTTATGTATACATCGTCTAAAATTTAGCTCATCTATTTTAGATTGCAAAGCGTAAGTAATTTTTGTTCTTCCCTCAGCAGGATATGAACCATGACATCATGGCAACATCGCCTAAACTGTATAAATATATATAACAACTAATAATATCATTTACGAATTTTTAGGAATACATGTGCCAGAGCAGGATTAATTTTGTCAAGACAGGTATTTTGGAAATACATCTTGTTCTGAAGCATTAAAAAATGACATGTTCACCAATTAATCTTTAAACTGTGAATCAATAGTACCATATCCTGGTTCCCGGGACTACATTCCAGGTATTAGCTGATAGCCATACATTGTCACGAGGACATATTTGTATATGTGTAACATACTGAATATTGCGATCGGGAACCAGTCTAATAATACCACAGCAATAATACAGTATAGATGCTGAAAAAGTTCTTTTTTTTTATTTCAACGATATTTGTTCTTGTTTCAAGGTACCGAGTTCTTTACATATTTCTAGAAAATCCCATTCAATAGTATATATATATATATATGAATAGGACTAATGGAATAACTTCAATGTGACAGCAACTTAACAACATAAGTTAGCAAATGACAGACATCTAGAGATATATGGTTTTCAATGGTGGACAAGGGTGCATACTATACGATAAGCTCTAAATCAGCGGGAGCTTAGACAAGTCAAAGTATCAATAACTTCTATAGAGACCAACGAATATGCAAGTATTGGATTTTGATTGGTCGATAGCTGTACATGTATTTTTTTATCAGATGAAATTCGCTTATATTTAAGCACCACTGGGGTTTTTGCACAAGGATATCTCTTTTTAACCTCTCAGTCTGTATTTGCTGAAACGCTTTTCCCATCATTGATAGGCATGCCTTTACACTAGGCGTTATAACGATGGAAATAAATATCTAACGTGTAACTTAACTATGTCTGTTGATATTTGGAGTGATTAAAACAGATATATTATGTTTGGCAGGGTTACTTGTGAAAAATTCCAGTCTCATAAATAAATTTTCGGCTTAGACCATGTTAATTCTTTTTCTGTGTGTATATACCACAAAGGTATAAGGATATATGAATGAATATATCTGGACAATCTTGTACTGGAATCAACGTCGTCTATAGAAAAAAAAGAAAACAGGATTTAATTACAAGAAATATGATATGAAGGCAATATGAAAATAAGGAGATGTTGTATGCCAATGAGACAGCTATCCATTAAAACCAAAGGGTAATTAAAGTTGTGAGCAATTGCATGTTGCAATAAGATTGATTGATTTTTGCTTACTTAACGTTCAGTTGCAAAAATTTCATGTAAACTCAGAGCAAGAACAAATCAATAATAATAAAATAGTTAAGCTCTGCAAAGCGCGTGTAACCGGGATGAAGACTGGAAAGAAGAGCATATTATATAGGGTTTTAGATAAACCTTATACCAACTCTTTGAAGGGTTAGTAGGTCACCTGCTGCAAGGTTAAATTTCTAACCCTATCTAACATGCCGTAATATGACAGTTGTTTTCCATTCGTTTGATGTGTTTGAGCTTTTGATTTTGCCATTTGATAAGGGACTTTCTGTTTTGAATTTTCCTTAGAGTTCGGTATTTTTGTTATTTTACTTTTTCATATGCGTTCTTGATCCCGGTAACATATTTACAAATAAGAAAACACACATGGAGAATAAAAGAGACATGCATAGCGATAGTTTTCCATGATTTATTTCTGATGTTAAATTAGAATTACATTTCTGTTGACTCTTCATTTTATTCATCATTCTGATATTTTGGACTTTAAAGATGCCGTTGTTCTTTGTCGATTTAGAACGACTAATAACAAATTGCCGATTGAAACAGGAAGGTGGCAAAACGTATTGAGAGAAAACCGTGTTTGCCATCAATGTAACAATCGACAAATCGGTGACGAATATCACTATATATTTGAATGTACTTTTTTCGATCAAAAACGTACAGCGTATTTATCCTCCTATTTTGTACAACGACATAATACATCTAAATTCTCGGAACTTATGTCGAGTACACGGAAACCAGTCCTGAAGAAACTTTGTTTATTTATAAAAAATGTTAATACTTTTGTTTGTCCTCCTGGCTAGTGACTTCTGTAACCTCTGTCCTTGTTTTGTATATATCGTAAATAGTTATTGTTGTTATCTCTGTACTGATGTAATGCATTGGCTTCATGAGAAATAAAGAGATATTTTCGTCTCAGTCACTTTATCTAACAGGTTCTAGAACCACGTACATGTGTGTGCTTGTTAAATGACTTAACATTATGTATTTTTAATTAATTAACTGATTGTTATAAGATTTGTTGTATATATGTTGTAATTTGTATTTTGATTTGTCACAAGCTTTATTTTATATGCTTTATGACAATAAAGATTATTATTTAATCCGTTTGTAACTTTCTATTATCTGAATGCATTTTAACAATCTATATCTTCTTACCATTAGCTTTTTTTGTTAGTTTCTAGCTGATTATATGTGTAATATTTGGTCATTTTAATTAGTAATCCAACGAGTTAAAATATGGACCTCCTGAGAATGATTACAAAAACCCGTAGTGGATAATCTTTAAAGTATGTTTGATACCGTAATAATCATGGTTATTGTTGATAATTAGATATTTAATGATTCTTTTTTTACTATGATTAATTGTTTGCTACTCCCATACCATTTTGTAATTGCAGAGTTGTTCAACATCCCTGATATATAAAAACACATAAAATAAATAAAAATAACTAGAGGCTCTAAAAGAGCCTGTGTCGCTCACCTTAGTCTGTATGCATATTCAACAAAGGACACTCTCCAACATTGTAGACAAGAATAGATTTCATGACAAAAATCTCTGTTTTTTTTACCTTGTATTGCTGATCATTTAGTCTGTTTAGTTTCTCTCTATCTTCTTTAGTTTTTGCTCAAAACAAAAGAGGGTAAAAAAAATCCTCATTTAAGGGCAATCAATTCTATAAAGAGTGACAGTCTACTAACTATATCGGCAAAATTTGACTTGTTAGCAGATCTTGTCTTGCTGATCATTTTTGACTTTTTAAGTTTCTATCTATCTATTATAATTTTTATCATATAAGGCAAAACGCAAAAAAATGGTAAAAATCATCATTAAAGGGCAATAACTCCAATATGGAGTCGTTGGACGATTTCAAACATTTGTCTTAATTGTAGATCTTGTCTTGCTGATCAGTTTTGTTTATTTAAGTTTCTATCTATCTATTATAATTTTGTAGATATAAGGCAAAAACGCAAAAAAATGGTAAAAATCGTCATTAAAGGGCAATAACTCTTAACAAGGAGTCGACTGGCGATTTCAACCATTAGACTTATTTGTAGAACTTGTCTTGCTGATCATTTCTACAATTTAAAGTTTCTCTCTATCTTTTATAATTTTCAAGAAAATAGGCAAAAATGAAAGAAAAAAATGGTAAAATTTGTCATTTAAGGGCAATAACTCCTATAAGAAGCCGTCTGACAGTTTTGACGTCTGTAGACAATTGTTAGAGCTCAACATTCTGAACATTCTGAAGGTGAGCTAAAAAGAGCAAGGCTTATAGCGATAGTTTGTCTTGCACAATTACATGTTCCAGCAACTGACATACTAAATTTCTAGGCACTTGTAAAAAATCTGTGAATTTCAACCACTATAGCTGCACTAGATACCTTTTCTTTGAGGTCTACAGTTTAATCAGAAAACATAACTAATTAGCAAAGAATCTTGTGTATGAGAAGATCAATGTAACGTTTTAAAGGTCAACACAAATCTCTAAACCTTTCAAAAATTTAGTTTAATTTCGTTCACTTCTTATCTTGTTGATTTCCTAAATCTGAATCAAGTTTGAATTTTTTTAAGAAACCAACAATCAATCAATATTTGTTTTCGAATCATGTAATAAACGTAATTTTTACATGAGAAAAGGGTTAAAAGATGTTCTTTCGTGCTTGATAACGTTCTGGAAAGTTGAGGGTCTGGATGGAGTTTACAGAATAGAGAACAATAGGCAAAAAGTGCAGAATAAAGGGCAATAAAATTAAAGAATAGGGAAAAATAGGTTTTAAAAATAAAGAATAGAGAATAATGGGGTACTAACATATAAAGAATAGAGAATAGTGGGCATTAGATATAAAGAATAGAGAAAAATGGGGTGCTAACATAGAAAGAATAGAGAATAATGGGGTACTAACATATAAAGAATAGAGAATAGTGGGCATTAGATATAAAGAATAGAGAATAGTGGGCATTAGATATAAAGAATAGAGAATAGTGGGTATAAGATATAAAGAATAGAGAATAGTGGGCATTACATATAAAGAATAGAGAATTAGATATAAAGAATAGAAAATAGTGGGCATTAGATATAAAGAATAGAGAATAGTGGGCATTAGATATAAAGAATACAAAAATGAATGACCCTCCATCCAGACCCTCACAGTTTGTGCCGAGTAAAAAATGAAAACACTTTATAAATTTTATTTGTCCAATGGTTTTTCTGGATTTATCTTCACCAGGAACGCTCAAAGCCGAATATTTGACAAGGATGTATAAGAACCGAAACAGTTAAAGAGGTATATGACAAAAAGGACATAAAAATAACAGCCAAATACCTTTAAGGTCAACTTTGCCCGAGGGAGTTGAAACCTATAGTAAAGATTTTATACCTTTACAATATATCAAACTTTATATTTAATACAAAACGGCGGTATTTAATTTTGGCAAATTCCTCTATCAGTATGCTTTTTTGTTGTTGTTTTTTTGTCAAAAATCATACGAAGTCGTCATATAAGCAAATATATATTTGTAATCCACTTTACTATTAAATAATCCAGTTAAATCTTAATCCATGATAATGAAAATTTAAAGGTATATAAGATACGCGTAACATACTTTTGAATTGGTTACTTAATTTCCCCTGTATAGAAATATATGTACATAAAACCATTTAAACCCCGCTAGCGAAATAAATTACATGAAGACAAACAGTCTTTGCCAAATTTTAAACGGGTGTTCAATAGGACTATAATCAAAGTGAAAATACACAGAGTTTTTTTATACCGAATTCAATGATTATAATTTGAAGTTCTTCAATTTGGTGTAAACATTTGTAATGACACCTATGAATGGATAAAGGAGTTTTTATTATGTGAACGTGACGTCGAAAATACAGTTTATTATACAGTGATTTATATTTATACCTTCTCATTCGTTTTTGGAGAATTCGATCCAACAGTTATAATTTGTTGAACAATGCATGTCATCAGCCAAGCACAAACACATCAGCCAAGGCCTTCAATTGCAGTATCAGGGAGAGATGGGTATCTTTCGCCGGACTACCATCACCATTCGCCACATTCGCCTCATTTTTTGCGAAAACATCGCAGGAATGCATCATGTGAATCCAAACGGTCCGAACTAATTCCGGAAGGAAGTGAGCATGATACTGACCATGAATCCGTTTGTTTGATGGAAAAGCCAGAGTTCCTGGAAACTGCCAGTTTAACTGATGGTCATAATTGCAAACAAGAAGAATGCGAAAGGATTATTATCAATGTCAGTGGTTTAAAGTTTGAAACACAACTGCGGACACTCAATAGACTTCCCAACACTCTTCTTGGAGATAAATTTAAAAGAGAATATTACTGGGATGCTAAGCGGAAGGAATTTTTCTTTGATCGACATCGACCAAGTTTCCCCGCTATTTTGTATTTCTACCAAAGTGGTGGAAGGCTTTTAAGACCTATTGAAGTTCCAACTGATGTTTTTCTAACCGAGTTGCAATTTTTTGAGCTTGGAACAAATGTTATTACTGCTTATAAGGAATCTGAAGGATTTTTAATTGAAGATACTGGACATGAAATAATGCCAAAAAATCCTCTTCAAAGAAAGGTCTGGGAGCTTTTTGAATACCCAACGAGCTCAATAGCTGCTAAAATTTGCGCATTGTTATCCGTCATTTTTATTGTTGTTTCTGTTGTAAACTTTTGTGTGGAAACTTTACCTCAATATGCAAATATGGGGTGTAAAAATGTAACACACTTTCATCTTGGAAATGTAACTACTCGTAAAGAAGTTCCTGTCTTTGCGCAGCCTATTTTTATCATAGAAGCAACATGCATGTCGTGGTTCATTATAGAATTGATATTTAGAGTCATCAGTTGTCCTTCTAAAATCCTTTTCATAAAGAATTTTGTCAACTGGATTGATATAGTTTCAATTATGCCGTTTGTTGTATCGTTAGCCATGCTCTTTATAAGCGGAGAATGCGAGGGATCATCAAAAACTGGTGCTATATCGGTTCTTAGGGTTTTAAGAGTTGCAAGGATACTCAAATTGAGCAAGCATTCTGAAGGACTACAACTTCTAGGGAAAACATTAAGAGACAGTGTACAAGAACTTATGATGTTCGTTCTGTTCCTTGGAATAGGAATTGTCATATTTTCTGGTGCTATTTTTTATGCGGAACTATCTCAAGAAAACACGCACTTTACTAGCATTCCCGGATCGTTTTGGTGGGCAGTCGTTACCATGACAACTGTCGGATACGGAGATATGTATCCGGTTGGAATTTTTGGCAAGATTATCGGCACTTTGGCAGTTTTATGTGGACTGCTGTCAATTGCACTACCAGTTCCTGTAATTGTGACAAATTTTAGTAACTATTACCGCGCATCTACTGGTAGAGGTGGCTTTTGATATTTGGAAGTGTCAAACAGAACTGTCAGTCGTTGTATACACCTTTAATGGTTTAATTCATTTAAATAATGTAGTCTTATTTCTAAATTCATTTATTGTTTTTTTTGACGAATGAAAACTAAAAGAAAACATATATACCTAAGAAATGTATAAAAAAAAGAAGAAGACTTTAACATGCACCAGAATAAAATAGATATAATTTTGGGTAATATATTCTGGTTAACCAAAAAAGTGGCCAACTTATTTAATTCATGTCGGATCAGGAATTCTTAAACACTGTTCCATTATGCAAGATTAATATTTCAGTATTTTTAACTTAGATGAGTTACCATTGTTATTTCTACGGATTATTTTGTTATAAATAGTCTACTTCGACATTATTCTAATCCGGCTATCTATTCGTGTCCGAAGTTTCAAAAACATTACGTCACATGGTAACTATTGTTTGGTATTATTTACTAAAGGATATTTAAGTTGTAATAAAGGTTTTCCTTGTGAAAACTTTGTATAATACCAGTATAATGTCTTTCAATTACTACATACATACACAGTGACATGTACTAGAGTGTTGACGTAAATGGAAATGTTCATTTCACTTCACACGAGTTATAAATCTCATCACACAAAGTAAAACTCATCACTTTCATATTTTGTTTACGTAATGAACGAGCCTCGTGTATTTTCATTAAAGATTTCAGATAAACACATTCTTTGAACACTTCTGGCAACTTTACAATATATTTATATTTAGGAATATTTTATTTGTTTCGTCGGATGAAATCTTTTATAACTGGTTGTACATATCATACTTGCATTTGGATTAAAGAAGATGTGTGGATTTGATGTGTGTTGTAAATATATTATAAATGTCATTTAAAACTACAAAGTCGCTCGAGTGCTATTCCCAAATATGTATTAGATACATTTCGGGTTAAAGTTTCATAATTATTTTCTTCTCTTTTGTGCTGTTTTAAAATTCCATTCCAAAGTGTTATTTTGCTATATCAACAAAGATACGACAAAAGTTTGATTACAAAAAAGTTATTACCTATTAAATTTACGATGTGGACTGTAAACAGACAAATTTAAAGAGGTTGTGGGTATTTTGATGAAAAACGTAGTGTAGGCTTCAAAATGTGCCAAGATAGTCCCAAAAGATAATGAAAGTACTGGCGGAATGTTTACTCAGATTGTCCAAATATCCAATGACTGTCGAATAAGAGAAAGAGATTCCCATCTCACCAGAATTTATTATAAGAGATCTTTTCCTTTACTACCAGAGTAGATCGGTCATAAGACATAATATTACTCCACGCAAGGTAACGAATGAATCAAATGAAAAGAACGCTTAATTGCCTTATACTTTTCAGTTTCAATTTCAAATGAATGAATTCTCTGTATACAATTAAGGAGATGTGGTATGATTGCCAATACGACAACTATCCACCTGAAATCAAAAAAGTGGATTTAAACAATTATAAGTCACCGTACGGCCTTCAACAAAGAGAAAAAACATACACCATAAACGGCTATAAAGGTTCCGACATGAAAAAAATGTGAAACAATTCAAATTAGAAAACTAACGGATTCATTTTTAACGATAAAATTCACAAAAAAATAAATATGCCAGACATGAACCAACGACAACCACTGAATTACAGGCTCCTGACTTGGAACATGCCACAAAGAATGTGATCGCTCATCCCTCCCCGTTACCTGGGACAGTGGTGTAAAAGCACAACATAATTAGAACGAACTGTTAAAATATGTTGCAATTAGCTTTACTCCAAAAATCGGAAAGACGCACAAAAACAACTAACATAAAAACAAAAGACACAAAGCACCGATATTAGAGTACTCGAAGTTATTGAAAGTTAGTTCAAGCCAAATACAACTTATAAATACTTATAAAACTCATGTTCTCCCTGGCTACAGTTTTAATCAGTACACATCCAATGTATTTAGTGTAAAGACGTCATAAACGGTATAAGAAACACATGACCTTGTGCAATGCCAAAATATATAAGTAAACAGTATCAACAGGATGTAGGATCACGAATTCTCACAACTGTATATATTTTTTGTTTATATTTAGCAATATATATTTAGTTACTAGTATGTTTTAATTTCTCAAAAACAAAATGAATGTAAGTGCGATAAAAACAGTATTTAAAGATTTTATTACTTTGTTAAATTAATAACCATTAAGAATAAGTTTATTCTGAGTCAACGAGTTTACATGGATCGCATATAAATTTACGGGCTAAAAAACAACATCACCGTAAAATTAAAGATGTGATATCTTGATTTTAATAATAATTCTACAGGTACAGCCAAACTTCCTAACCAAATCTTTGCATCTATGAAAGCATTTGATAAAGGTTTCAATAAATTTTTCGTAACGAAATCCCCGACTTAATAATTTACCAGTTATTATACACATGCTTTTATCATATTAAAAAGTAAAATAACAAAATACCGAACTCCACGGAAAATCCAAAACGGAAAGTTCCTTATCAAATGGCAAAAATCAAAAGCTCAAACACATCAAACGAATGGAAAACAGCTGTCATATTCCTGACTTGGTACAGGCATTTCCTTATGTAGAAAATGGTGGATTAAACCTGGTTTTATAGCTAGCTAAAACCTCTCACTTGTATGACAGTCACATAAAATTCCACTGTATTGACAACAATGTGTGAACAAAACAGACATAATTGGTAAAAATGTCAAAAATAAGGGATCAGCAGTCAACATTGTGTTATAATCTTTAACCCTATAAACACAAACAAATATGTCAACCATGAAAAACAAAATGGCATTTAGACACTCTATAGACAAAGCACATAAGCAAAAATGAAAGACAATAATACAAACAATGACCATAGCACAATAACACAATGGCGGGATGTATAAGTACTGAGCCACGCCAAAAAGATATTACCGAAAATGGACTAATCATTAAAGGTTAATAATTACCAAAAAAAATAAAAGAACACTATAACACGTAATTAAGATGATAAACAACGTCAGTACCTAGAATCTATACTTCAAGACCATCATGTATTATGTGTGAACTTTACAAAGATTTCTTCTTTCAATATCTCTGTCAGTTGTATATTCTCATATAAAAATAAGGAAATGTGGTATGATTGCCATTGAGACAACTATCGACCAGAGTAAAAATGAAGTGAAGTAACCACTGTAATACACTATTGTACAATGATGACCAGCTTTACATTCTATCCCTCTGTAATACACACTGTGGTACACTCGGGGACAAGCTGTGTATTCTACCCACTGTAAAACCGATGAGGTACACTCGGGTACCAGCTGTTTAGTATACTCACTTTAATACAAACTATGGCACACTCGTGTACCAGTTGTTCATTATGCTCACTGTAATGCACACTTTGGTACACCTGGACCAGCTGTGTATTAAACCCTATGTGGTATACTCAAGGATCAGCTGAGTATTCTGCCTTCTGTAATCCACAATGTAGTGCACTCGGAGACCAGCTGTGTATTCTACCCACTGTAATCCACAATGTGGTATACTCGGTGACCAGCAGTGTATTCTACCTACTGTAAAACACACTGTGGTACACTCGGTGACCAGCTGTGTATTCTACCTACTTTAAAACACACTGTGGTACACTTGGTGACCCGCTGTGTATTCTACCCACTGTAATACACAATGTTGTACACTCGGGGACCAGCTGTGTATTCTACCCACTGTAATACACACTGTGGTACACTCGGAACCAGCTGTGTATTCTACTCACTGTCATACAAACTGTGGTACACTCGGTGTCTTCGATAAGGGTAATATAATATACGAATGGAAGAATTATGGTCAAATATTATCAAACTTTAGATTCTAATGTGTCTGCTGGATACAATAACAAGGAGATGTTATATGATTGCCAATGAGACAACAATCCACCAGAGATCAAATTACGTAGATGTAAGCAATTATAGGCAATCGTACGGCTTTCAACAAAAAGGATAAACCCATACAGTATAGTCAGTTATAAAAGGCACCAACATGAAACATGTGAAACAATTCAAACGAGTAAACAAACGGCTAAATTCATAACAATACAATTCACGAAAAAAAATTATGACAGACATGAACAAACGACAACCACTGAATTGCAGACTCTTGACTTAGGACAGGAACATAAGGAATGTGGCAGTGTTAAACGTATTTGGGAGCGGTCAACTCTCCTCTTACCTGGGACAGTTGTGTAATAGCAAGACATAAGAACAAACTGTTTAAATCAGTCGCAATTTGCCAAACCGCAAAGATCGGAACGATGCCCAAAAACAACTAACATAAAAAAAATAGACACAAAGCACTGATTTAAGAGTACTCGCAGTTACTGAAAATTTCTCAAAAACAAAATCAATGTAAGTCCGATAAAACAATATTTAAAGATTTTATTACTTTGTTAAATTGATAACCATTAAGAATAAGTTTATTCAGAGTCAATGAGTTTACATGGATCGCATTTAAATTTACGGGCTAAAAATCAACATCACCGTAAAATTAAAGATGTGATATCTTGATTTTAATAATAATTCTACAGGTACAGCCAAACTTCCTAACCAAATCTTTGTATCTATGAAAGCATTTGATAAAGGTATAAATAATATGTTCGTAACGAAATCCCCGACTTAATAATTTACCAGTTTTACACATGCTTTTATTATATTAACAAGTTAAATAACAAAATACCGAACTCCACGGAAAATTTAAAACAGAAAGTCACTTATCAAATGGCAAAATCAAAAGCTCAAACACATCAAACGAATGGAAAACAGCTGTTATATTCCTGACTTGGTACAGGCATTTCCTTATGTAGAAAATGGTGGATTAAACCTGGTTTTATAGCTAGCTAAAACCTCTCACTTGTATGACAGTCGCATAAAATTCCACTGTATTGACAACAATGTGTGAACAAAACATACAGACATAATAGATCAAAATGTCAAAAATAGGGGTACAGCAGTCAGCATTGTGTTATAATCCTAATCCCTATAAAAACAAACAAATATGTCAACCATGAAAAACAAAATGGCATATAGATAAAGCACATTAGCAAAAATGAAAGACAATAATACAAACAATGACCATTTAGCCATGATAGGCAATCGTACGGCTTTCAGCAATAAGGAAAACCATATACAGTTTTGTCAGTTATAAAAGACACCGACATGAAACATGTAAAACAATCCAAACGAGAAAACAAACGGCTGAATTCATAACAATACAATTCATGAAAAACAAATATGACAGAAATGAACAAACGACAACCACTGAATTACAGACTCCTGACTTAGGACAGGAACAAAGAACGTGGCAGTGTTAAACATGTTTGTGAGCGGTCAACTCTCCTCTTACCTGGGACAGTGGTGTAATAGTACGACATAGGAACAAAATGTTAAAATCCGTTGCAAATGGCTCAAAACATCAATACGAAGCACAAAAAACAACTAACATAAAAACACTAAACATAAATCGCAGATACAAGAGTACTCGCAGTTACTGAAAGCTAGTTCAAAGCCAATAACAACTCATAAATAAATCATGTTTTCCCATATTTAGGTATCATTCAGAACACTTCAACAATTTTAATGTAAACCTCGTAAACAGTCTGAGATACGCTTGACCTTGTGCAATACCGAAACATAAGTAAACAATATCAACAGAGTACTCATAACTGTATAGGTAACACTAGGAGATTCTACTGACGAGGATAGGTAACACTAGGCCACCGAAAGCTGAATTTTTTAGTTCAGTGGTGGCCGAGTGGTCTAGAGCGCTGGACACAGTGCATGTAGTGTTGTCTCGATATCTCAATAGCATGAGTTCGAATCCCGGCGAGGGAGGAACAAAAATGTGTTTCCGCAAATTTGCAGATTTAACATTGTTGTGCTGATATTTAGAGTAATTATGTATATAGCAATATATATTAAGCTATGTTTTAATATTTCAAAAACAAAATAAATGCTAGTATTGATAAAAACAAATTGAATATAAATGATTTTACTACAGTGTTAAATTGATAACCTTTAAGACAAGGTTTATTCAATGATCAATGAGTTAAAGTGGATCGTATCTAAATTTACGGGTTCTATAAACAACGTCACCGTAAAAATTATGATGAGATATCCCGTTTTTAATCCGAATTCTACAGCAAATCTCTATATCCATGAAAGAATTGGGTAAAAGTTTTGATTTATTGTTGGTAGACGAAATCACTGGCTTAATAATGTACCAGTTATAATAGATTACGCTCTTTGAAATCTATAACATTACTACAGGTACGGGCTTTGCGAACGAGTTGGGATATATAAAAACCGTAAGATGGGGCCAGACGAAAATTAACAGGGGTTGGTCTTCGAAAGCATCGTAAGACACGTCCTAAGACCTCGTTCATCGAGGTTAATTATGAAAACAGCGAAACAAACATGATTTACTGATAATATTTATTGCTCCTCTTTGTACATTTATTGGATAAAAAGCGTTAACCTAAGACCTCGTTCATCGAAGTTAATTATGAAAACAGCGAAACAAACATGTTATAATGACATTATTTATTGCTCCTCTTTGTACTTTTATTGGGTAAAAAAGCGTTAACCTAAGACGGCTGAACGCGGAAGCTCTCTATATATTTAAAAAGGGGTGCGCAAGGTCAACGCTTTAACTACCAAAAAATACGAAACATTTAATTTTTGAATCAATTGACATTACATTTTCGCCAAAAATCTTTCATTTGTGACACAAACCATATTTCATTTTCGCCAAAATAATACATTTCATTTGCGCTAATAATACAGGTGCTGTTCGGAGGTCGAAGAAAGTTTCCCCGTGCTTGAGGTGTATGCTCTTATGGTATTTTATGGTAAGTTACTGTCGTATTTATTCTTGTGCTACATCATTCTCTCAATTTATGGCTAATTTGTGTAATGAAATTTTAATAAGACGCACTCCACCTATTCTTGGCCCCCATTCCTTTCTACGTTACTTTTTTCACATTCAAACATTTATAGGGGCGGGGATAATAAACCTTTATTTACACACCAGACCATACTGGTTACCGGGAATCTGGATACACCAAACCAGGTACTAGTGTCATGGTGTAAATGTCTTTGACTTTATTTCATAATTTTTCAATACTGTTTTATGTTGAGACAATTTTTCTCAAATCCATATGGCGTAATCTGCTTGAAGTTCATGGATTACGGAAGTCCATAAAACAATAACAACGGCACGGTCCGCTGGAAAGTCCTGAAATGTAGCAATACGGGGTCCGTATTCTTACGTTCGGAAATCCTCACTGCCTAAATTTTCTTAATGTCTCTTTTTATAACAAATGTTGAATTGCTCGAATATAAAATGACACTAATTAATATAATTTTGACAACTGATCTTAAGTCTTGATTTGTACTATCAACAAGTACTAAGCTTAATCCGTCATGTCAAAATGACATTGACTCTTTAAGTTCTATTTTACTAATTGAACTTCAAGCAGATTACGACATATGGATTTGAGAAAAATTGTCACAACATAAAACAGTATTGAAAAATTATGAAATAAAGTCAAAGAAATTTACACCATGACACTAGTACTTCATAGCTGAGAAACAGGCAATAAATGCCCTTAGTCTTAGAATTCATTTATACATTTGTGTATTATTCAAAATTATCAGTCAAAAGTTGTTCTACAAGGATCACCAGTCCTTCACCTTTCATTTGATACCTAAACTACCAAAATATATTCTACATAGTTTGATATTCACACCTATGCGTAGGAACTATTTTTTTCAAAATGTGCTATTTTCTTGTATGTTTTTCTTGACCGGGCCCGAGTTGGTGGTGTTACATCTCGCACAATCTACCCGAATTATTTGTCCTATACATACATTATTTCCTGCCAATCAAGTTTATCTAACATATATCTCGATGTGCCATGTGTTTGTCTAAGTGTTTGTATTGTTTTTTGCACGCTTCAGTGTGATTGTCGGGATATATTATGACAATGCGTGTTTGATTTTTTTGCCAGGTTTTAATTTTTTTTATATTATTCCATGGCTTTGTTCTTCAATTCACGATTGTGGTGTGATCGTCAGTTTGCAAAAGAATTTCGCTTAAACCAGTGCTAGGGGATGTCGTCAACTTGAAGCGATGTGAGAGTATTTTTGGTCCGTGTTGAAGGCCTCACTGTAACTTTGAGATGAAGAACAGCAATAAAAGCGTAATACATTAGATATCCTAAATGAGAGGTCTTTAAAAATTACAATCGTATTTCCTCCTCTCTTTGTCTCCAAATAAATTATGTCCATTTTGTCACCTCGAACATGTGAACACTATACAATTTTAAACCTTTAAGTTACTCTAGTTAAGTATGAGGAATGTATATTAACTCACTTACTTATCCATTGTTTTTTTTTGGGGGGAAGGGGGGGGGGGGGGTACTTTACAAGATTTAATATTCCGCTTTTATGTTTGAAACAAACAAACAAAATCATACTTTAAGTTTTTTTTATTAAATAGTAGCTAATACCCCTTTAAAGAAAACTGGCCTTGAAGAGCTTAATTAAAAGAACTACAAAAAAGGGATTATACGTGTGAATACACTGAATCAATTAATTTTGTACAATTCTGTATTTTTATACCTTTACACGTATTTCAATTCAAAACATTTAAACTTAATTATATCTCTCGTTATAAGACAAACTAAAAATATTTGTATGAACTATTTAATCGGGATAAGAAGACTCCAAAACTTGTTTGCTGCCCTATCTTTAATCATGGGTGGGTGAACACACTTTTATATACAATATATTGAGGATAATTGTCAGGTGAATTGTCTACTTAACAAGTATGTACACACAAAATGGATCACGATAGCGGATGTGTTAAAGATATGGGAGAAGAAATTTGTTTTCTTGGCGAAAATGAAAAAGGTGTTAGTGGATTGAGCGAAGAAACGGACAGTGATATTCACTTGTGTACAGATGATGAATGCCGACGTATTACTATAAATGTAAGTGGATTGAAATTTGAAACCCAAATAAGAACACTGAATAGATACCCAAACACTTTACTTGGGGATAGAACTAAAAGATGCAGTTATTGGGACACAAAAAGAAATGAATTTTTCTTTGATCGCCATAGATTGACATTTCAGTCTATTCTTTACTTTTATCAGAGTGGTGGGCGGCTGAAACGACCACCAGAGGTGCCATCCGATGTGTTTCTGCAAGAAATTAAATTTTATGAACTCGATGAAGAAACTGTTGAAGCTTATAAAGAGAAGGAAGGGTTCCCACCAGAAGAAAAAGAACCACTTTTGCCATCTGGGAATTTACCGGCTAAGCTGTGGCTTTTGATGGAATATCCAAATAGTTCTGTTGGTGCCAAAGTAATAGTTGTGTTGTCTGTTCTGTTCGTAACAGTTTCCATAGTAACATTTTGTGTAGAGACATTACCAGCGTTTGAAAACTGTGTTTGCATGAACTCGTCGGTTGAAACAAAGAATGAAACCGCATACATAAACGTGCCCAATTTCAAACATCCTCTGTTTGTGATTGAAGCCTTTTGCATGACATGGTTTATTTTGGAATTGTTATTGCGTTTTATTGTGTGTCCATCTAAGGTACAATTTCTAAAATGCACACTGAACTGGATTGACCTTGCTGCAATATTGCCGTTCATTTTATTCATAATATTATTTTTAATAACAGATGATTGTGGTGCTGCACAGAATACAGGTGCTATTTCCGTCATACGAATTTTACGTGTTACCCGTATTTTTAAGCTCGGCAAACATTCAGTTGGACTGCAACTCTTAGGAAAAACGTTATCAACAAGTTGGAAGGAACTATTCATGCTTACTGTATTTCTTGGAATATGTATAGTGATATTTTCGGGTGCTATATATTATGCCGAACTAGGAGGCGAAGATTCACATTTTGACAGTATCCCTAGCGCCTTCTGGTGGGCGGTTGTGACACTGACTACAGTTGGATACGGTGATATGTATCCGCTAACTCCCGCTGGTAAACTTGTTGGTACATTAGCAGTTTTGTGTGGAATTTTAGCCCTCTCTTTTCCCGTACCTGTAATTGTAACAAATTTCGGCAAATATTACAAGAAATATTCCAAGAGAACGTTTCGTGATGATTATTAGTAAAAGGCCTAGGAACAGGAACGTAGTTCGAAGTATAACCAGTTTTAATATACTCAGTAAATAATTGGATCAAAAATCGAGCCCGACCATAGTTTTTCATAATTTTATATCGTCTTATGACTTTTAAATGACATTGCATTAAAATATTTTAGTGACCAATGTTTTATTTATGACTTATGTTTTTTGACACCTATAGAACCATTTTATTTGAATATTTAAGACAAAGTATAAAAATAAGAAAATGTGGTATGAACTCTCCACAAGAGACCAAATGACATATAAGTTAACAACTATAGGTCACCGTTCGGCCTTCAACCATGAGCAAAACCCATACCGTATAGCCTCAGCTATAAAAGGCCCCGAAATGACAAATGTAAAACAATTCAACGAAAAAACTAACGGCGTGATTTATGAACAAATCAATGAACGAAGAACAAATATGATATACAGCAATAAACGACAACAAATGAATTACAGGCTCCTGACTTGGGACAGGCACATACAGAATGTGGCCGGGTTAAACATGTTTGCGGACGCCCAAATCTCCCCCTAACCTGTGACAGTAGTGTAACGGTACAACATATGAACAAACTATAAAAATTAGTTGAAAAGGGCTTAACTCATCAGATCGATACAAAGCAGAAAACCAAGAAACAAAATCACAGACCGGACGTGGCAGGGTATTCATACATCCCCACAACAAAAAAAGACACTAAGTACAGATCTGAGAGCAGTTACTGACAGCTAGTTCAAAGCAAATAACAACTAATAAAAAATCATGTATCAAGACTAAAATATATATGAAGATGTCCATGAATCACATTTTAGTTTAATGGCCGATCCACAAAGACATCTCGGGACGATGACAAGGAAGGTAAAGATTAAGGGAATGACCATAGCAGTAAGGTTTTCTTTGGGGGTTTTCTTCTTCTCCAAACTTGCTATTATCATTGCTGTGCTTCCATCTTCAATTTGAACGCTTTCTTTTTTCATACAAAACAGGTTGGTTAATCTAGAAATTTTTCACAACCTTAAAATCAGCCTTTAAAACAGCCTAATGGATGCTTGTAGGATGCATGAGATTATATAGTCTCCCTGATTATTTTTCTAGAAATAAGCAGTTATATACCAAAGGAACATTATAAATCACGAACTGATGGTCTAAAAAGTGGTTAACGTCTTTTAATCCTGATAAAACAGAAATTATGTTATTTTCGAATGTTGACATCCCAGAAATGAATTTTACATTTAATGAAAAAAAAACAGACCAGTAACTAATAATCAAAAACACTTTGGGGTAACATTTAGCAATGATGCTAAATATGGAATGTTCATATTGACAATATTATTTTAAGTGTATCTAAACATATAAATATGCTTAAGAAACTGAAATATAGACTTAGTAGAAAAAATTTAGAAAAACTATATCTAGTTTTTATAAGACCTTTATTTGAATATGCCAGTGAAGTTTGGGATAATATGGGATTGGGTAATATTAATAAGCTGGAGCAATCACAGCTTCATCAAGCTGCTCGAATAGTAACGGGTTTACCTATTTTTACAAGCTCAAGGGTAATTTACAAGGAACTTGGGTGGGAAACGTTGGTTGGCAGAAAGAAGAGAAAGAAGAAAAATTCAAATGTTTTATAATATTACACAAAATAATGTATCAGAATATTTAAGTAATTAAAACCACTATGACTGTTTATGCACTACGCAGACTTTCTGCAGACTTGCATTAACTAATGAATCATTTATACCATCAACTATACGTCTATGGAATAATCTTGATGCTTCAACACGTGAAGCAGATACAATAGGAAAATTTAAAGCGAAACTAAAAAACTTAAAATCCCAATAGTAATAAATACATGCTGAAACAATATGAGTTTGGAAGTGGTAAACCTAACAGTGTGCTTACTCAACTTCGATGTTCTGCTTCCTTCCTAAATTATGATATGTCTAGAGCTAATATTATTTCTGATCCATCTTGCCGCTGCGGTGTGTATCGCGAAGATTCGCATGATTTCTTTTTTAAATGTATATTATATTCTGAAATAAGAAGTAAGCTTTTAGAAAATCTTAGCTGGCTCCTAAATAACTGTCCATTAAATAAAGAACTATTAACCTCGGGTAGTAGTCTACTTACTCAGGACCAAAATGAAAATATCTTTAAACATATGTTTGAGTTTATTAGAGGGTCGAATAGATTCACTATTGTTTAGATAGTAAAACATGACCACATACACATCATCATCTAAGTTCAGTTGTTTTGTTTTGTTTTGTTTTGTTTTGTTTTGTTTTGTTTTGTTTTGTTTTGTTTTATTTTGTTTTGTTTTGTTTTGTTTTGTTTTGTTTTGTTTTTTTGTTTTTTGTTTTTTTTGTTTTTTTGTTATTTTGTTTTTTATTAATTAATTGCCTTGTTTGTTGTGTTCTTTTATTATTATTTTTCTCTCTACTTTTGTGTCACTTAATTTTTCTGTCCAATTTATACAAATGTTGAATTAATATGTAATGTATGCATGCTCTTATATATTGTATTGTTAAATATGTTAAATGGAGAAGACTTCATAAGTCTGTTTGGCTTGTGTCTCATCCAATTTGTGTTTATGCAAATAAAATATGTTTAAACTACCAAAGGAATAGCGCTTTTGTTATTCTTTTTCTTCTTTATGGTATGTCTTCAATGGTGAGCGACTGCGTCCTCACCTATATAAACTGGTTGAAACATTTTAAGGTGACATTGAAATAACGTACACGATAATCAGATGACATTATTAAACTTGACATTTGTTCTATTTCTTTTCTGATCGGTCACCATTATCTGGTTTTAAATCAACCTTATATCATATATAATCCCTCTTATCTTTTCGTTTATCAAAACTTTATTTTACTGATATATTTAAAAAGACGTAAAACATTTGTTAAACCATGATCCCTTTAGAGGGATTAACATCTATTTATGTAATTGGTCAGGTTTGTTATCATTATTGAAACTTGAACTTTATGGCTTTATGCAATAACCGTTGAGATATCTTAGCATCATGCACAAAGAATAAAGTAAAATTCCGAACTGATTCCAACATCTGTATCTTCTATCTTAATCCTGAAACTTTAGCTAAATTCTAAAAACACATTTAGTAACGTGAATTGCTTCTGATATAAATAAAAAAAATAAGAAGACGTGGTATTATTGCCAATGAATCAACTATCAACCAATGCTAAAATGAAGTGATAGTAAGCAGTTATAAGCCACCGTACGGCCTTCAACAATGAGAAAACCCATACCGTATAGTCGGCTATAAAATCCCCCGACAAGTAAAATGTGAAACAATTCAAACGAGAAAACTAATAGACTTATTTTTATTTATAACAAAACAGTTTAAGAAAAACAAATATGACAGACATAAGGGGGATGGTTGGCGCCTTCAAACTAGTTTAACCCCGCCACATTCTGTATGTGCCTGTCCCAAGTCAGGATCCCGTAATTGAGTGGTTGCCGTTTGTTGCTGTATATCATATTAATTTTTCGTTCATTATTTTGTACATAAATCAGCCCGTTAGTTTTCTCGTTTGAATTGTTTTACTTTTGTCATTTCGGGGTCTTTTATAGCTGACTATGCGGTATGGGTTTTACTCATTGTTGAAGGCCGTACGGTGACATATAGTTGTTCATGTCTATGTCATTTGGTCACTTGTGGAGAATTGTCTAATTGGCAATCATACCACATCTTCTTATTTTTATATGAACCATCGACAACCACTGTGCTACAGGCTCCTGACTTGGGAGAGTCACATAAAGAATATGGCGGGGTTAAACATGTGTGTACGCGTTCAACCCTCCCTAACTGTGACAGTGGTGTAACAGCACAACATAAGAATAGACTACTATATGAAGAATTCGAATATACAATCTATACATAAAGTATCACTGGATGAGAATTTGAAACTATCAACATATCCAATTTCAAAGTAAAAAAAACTCAAAAAGAGAGAGAGAGAGAGAGAGAGAGAGAGAGAGAGAGAGAGAGAGAGAGAGAGAGAGAGGGGGAGGGGGTAGAGAGGGGGAAATACATACGTAACACGGAATAACTTTAGATCTTCGTTTTTTCAAAATATATTTCCACTGATGTTGACAGTCAGCTGATCGGATAATCTATGAAGCAGATGATAGGAAATTTCAAAATTTTTACATATATTTTCGAATATAAAATCAAGTTACTAATTCCCGCTCTTACTTAAGTAAATTTAGATATTATTTCCTTCAACTGCCGTTCGTAAATAGGGATGAGTAAACTTATCCTTTTCATATTTTGATTTATTTACATTCCAATTTTAGTCCAATCATTTGTCTTCACCAAATACGATGATGTTGTTGGCACAACAACGATCGTTTTCAATGCATAATTGTACTTTATTGAAATCCTCAGTGGAAAAACTGACGACAAAAGTAATCGTCTTTTGAACATAATGTTTTTCAACGTTTGCGTACTTTGCACGGACGCTTTTGATTTGGAGCTGTCAAGAGAAAAGGGTTCTGGGTAAGAAAGAGAAAAGATACAACGAAACAGAAAAATCATTCACAGAAAACTAACGATTAAAGAACACAAATCCCACAAAAAAATGTAGCCAATGTTCTCAGATGCTCTCTAAGGGTAAACAGTTTCCGCTCCATTAGAGGCCACCGCCATGTTGCTCGTTTCAAGTAAAAGTCCGCTGATGAGTCCTATTTGGTGAAAGATTAAAGTAAAGTCAGAGTTATCAAATAATGTTATTATTTTCTTCTATATATAACAAGTCAAGAGAATATAACAGTTTTGTGTACACGTATTCCATAATGTTTCTATATATCTGACATTTCAATCTCGTTTTATTTTATGCTGGCTGTTCCTATCACAGTTAATTTTTCTTATGCACATGCAGTTGGACTTATGATTTTGATTGGCCCCTTTTTTTGCAAGAGAAATTCTGTACAGATTTACGCTTAGTTTTACACAAGATTAAGGTTTATATAAAGACACAAGCCTTTGCTTTTAACCACTGCCGGCATTCTTTGATACGGTATTAAAAGTCTTAACGATACGGTTAAGTCTGTCTCATATCTTGGATTACATCTAGAAATTGACAATGAGGGTCAGCTGAGAACAAAACTTTAAGACAAAAGAGATGATTTCAGCTTCCCAAATGGTGAACTTTCCATTTCTGTGTAGCAACATTCCAGCAGCGCCTGCATATGAAGTAGATATCTCCCAGTTGATACGATGTTCAGAGCTTGCATTTCCTATCATGATTTCCTCGATAGAGGGTCGCTGCTTTCAATGAAGTTATTAGACTAATAGTAATAAGTGATGAAGTTGAAGTCATTCCTTCGAAAATTTTAAAGACGCCATCAAGAGTTGGTTGACCGTTATGGAATATCTGTTTCGCAGATGACGACGGATATGTTCCAAATGTGACCTACCAAATTAGACTTGTCACCTGGTTTGTACTTACATGAGCAACACGACTGGTACCACAAGCATATCCTGTTCCACAAATGAGTACAAACCCGGTGGTAAGTCTAATTAATTTTGGTACACATGTAGTTCACATTCGAGGAGAAGAAGAGTGGATTGTGGCTACGACAATTGGAACATATCTGTCATCAACTGTGAGTCAGATATTCCATAACGATCAACCAATTTGTGATACTTTATTTACCTTTAAGGGGACCATTAACTGTCATGTATATCCTTTGTTATGAAAAACATGATTCAATTTTAAGATTTCACATTTGGTCAAGTTTCAGTGTTAGAAAATGAACATGACAGACGGTTTCCGAAATTGTAGATGGCTTAGGGTCAAGTTAAATATAAAGAGCCGCCAATTACCAATCCTCTATTGTGTGATTCCTTATCAAGATGAAAATAAATGAAACTTGTAAAACAAAACAAAATGCATAAAAAAGTTGTGCTGAAATTAAAACAAGAGTGCACACTTGAAATGTTTCGCCTGACCACGATTGATTTTATGTTGCAAGTCTTAAAGATAAAGGTTTTAACACAAGTATCACATAAACTAAACCAATGATGTTCAAGGTCAGATAAACTCTGCCAGACATACATACGCACCTTACAATCATTCAATACATCAAATATAGTTAACCTATTGTTTATAGTATCCAAGAAAATCTTCTGAATCACATTGCTCTATGAACCATGAACCACGGTCAGATGATACATGCCGGAGAAACATGTACTATACTTCATTCCATGCACCAAATATAGTTGACATATTGCTTATAGTATGTAAGAAACAGACTTAGTCTGGAAAACTTAACATCAACCAATGATTTAAAAAAATGAGATCAAGGTCATACGATACATGCAAGACAGACATGCACCTCTTACAATCATTCCATGTACGAAATATACTTGACCTACTGCTTATAGAACATGTATCTAAGAAACAGATTAAACAGGAAAACTTGTAACATAAAAATGAGGTCAAGGTCAGACGAACCCTGTTAGACGGACTTGTACACCTAACAATTATTGCATACATCTAATATAGTCGACATATTGCTTAGAGTACCTAAAATGACCAAACTATGGAAACTTAACATTGACCATTGACCAATGAACCATGAAAATGAGGTCAAGGTCAGATGAAACCTATCAGAATGACATGTACACCTTATAAACATTCCATACACCACGTATCGTTGACCTACTGCTGATAGTATCTGAGAAACGGACATAATCACGTAACTTTAACCTTGATCACTGATCCCTGAAATGAGGTCGAGATCAGGTTCCAAAGACGAAATATAATTGAATTATTGCTTATAGCATCCGAAAAACGGACCGAGGTGACAACGAAAACCAAACATTGAGCAATGAACCATGAAACTGAGGTCAGGGTCAATAAATACTATCAGACAAACATGTTCACATCACAATCAAATAAAGTTTACTTATTGCTTATAATATCTGAGAAATGGATCTTTGAAATGAGGTCATGGTAGGATGAAACCTGCAAGCCCATGATTGACATGTGTTCCATACACCAAATATATAGTTGTCCTATATCTAAAAGAATCGAAGAAATGGACTCAACCACCTGAACTAAAAATTGACAAATGAACCATAAAAAAGGTCAAGGTCACATGAACCCTACCAGACGGACATGTATACCTTGCAATGATTCTATATACCAAATACAGTTGACCTAACACTAGAAAAAAATCGTATTATAAAAAAGAATTTGTTAAGCAACCACTGAACCATGAAAATGAGGTCAATAAGGCATCTGTATACAAGATTATAAAGAATCCATAGGATAGAGAATGAAAACAGGGAAAGTGTCAAAGAGACAACAACCATGTCTTCTACCTTCTGAAATGCCACTGGATTAGCATACCTATTCCTCGCATTCTTCATCATTCTACTTTCTTTGCTAGCGAGAAAACAAAATTCCTAAGAATGATGAAGAATATAAGGAAAGGAATTCTTATCCGGTGGCAGCAACAGCTATAAAGATTCAGGGATAAAAAATGATAAACAATCCAAAATGGAAAAAAACAGTCTGAATTTATGTATTAACATTAATGAGCGTACATGAACACGTACATGATATGAAATCAATCAATCAATCAACATGTTTTTTTTTTCTCTTTTGGATATTTCATCATTTTTTATCCCTGAATCTTTATAGCTTTAAATACATTAAGGTATGGGTTTTGCTCTTCCAAAAGGCCCTACAGTCAGTCAGTGACATTTAGTTGTCACATTAGCAATTACACAATATCTCCTTATTTTATAAGTATGGTTTCTGAGGAACATACTTGATCTTGAAATCTTAATCTGGACAGTGACTTTTAAAAATAAAAATCCTATCATTTGGGAGAAAAACAAATATTCCCTACAGCAAATACACATACCAGGTACTGCTGACTTTATACTTGCTGCTGAAGAACAAATCCAACCATGGGTACTTCTTTAGAATACTGGATTATAAAAATGAAATCAAGGAAAAGTGGTTAGGACAAAAAGCTGACAAGATTTTATCATTAACAATATCTACAATATTCACATACAGCAGAAACTACAATAGTAATTATCCAACTTTTCTATTTTTGTATGTATTTTAAAAACTTAAACCAATGTATTTTTCATTAATAAAATATATTTCTAACTCCAGTCTGACAATTAAATTTGAATTTGAATTGGCTGGAATAAAATGACATATAATTCATAATGGTAGTTGCCTTTATTTATCACATATATATCATTTAACAATCATGGTTAATGAATAACAACAATCTGGTTAAAACATGAATCATATTGCACTTAAACATAAGAAATAAATCACAAAAGACAAAATTTGTTCTTTATGAGATGAGTATAAATGACTTTACAATCTCTTGATATTATGGTTTTGTATTGTTTTGATTTTATCAAACCCAGATGCTATGTGTCTTTTAATACCATTTAACACTCAACTGCACCTAAGCTGTTCTAAAACAAAGTAGCAAAAATCCTATGGCCTATATCTCTTCCAATCTAAGGTTCAAAATATATAATTCTATAAAATAAATGGGTAACAAAGTGAAATATTTTTCTTTTTATTATTTACCCTCCTTTCCTTTACCCTATCCCCCCATATAAACACAAAAAACAACACATTTATCAATCTGTATATATTTAGTATCACTATACACTGTCTCAAAATATAAAATGTATTTGTACAAGGGATAGAAACTAGTAGAATGCCAGGTTTTGCAGATCATTTCTATCATGTTTCGAGCTGAGTACTGGTACAAATCAAATTTTAATAAAGAGACAGTGTAGTTACTCTCTTTATACTTCAACTTTTCCAAATGAAATGTTTTTGAAAACCAAAAATTTAAGGTATTTAAGGTTGAAGATGTAACACTCTCACAAACCTCACTAAATTCTAAATTATTAATGTCAAAAACATAAAAGTGAGGTAATAAGAGGTCACTGATTAATTGTATAATTTTACTATCTAGGGACAAAAAAAATCATATGCAAAGAATGTTAACACTTAATGATCTTAAAACTGACCACTTTTAAATACACCTGACCTTCTCCATTCAGGTAATTTTAAATGGCAAAAATTATTTGAATTAGAAATTAGAAAAAAATTCAACTAACTATAAATAAATTTTTTTTTCTTGTTAATTGGAAAAGAATTACATAAGATGAGGTATATGAGAAAGCAACTCCCTGAATAATAAGGAATTACCGTTGTGGCATAAACCTTCATGTACACAACAAGTGTAAAAATCTTCTCCTTTGACAAACAAGTCATCTGTATATCATGCTTCAGGCTTTTTCAGTTTTCATGCTCCTTAATAACATTTGCATTTTTCTCTGCTTTCTAAACATTTATTTTCAGGGTATCAAATTAATTCTTACTACAGAAAAGTGGTTTAAATGAGTGGGTTAAATGTTACTTTTGGTATCTTAGCATTTATTACTTAACAAATGAAGATTAATGTAAAAATAAGGAGATGTGGTATGATTGCCAATGAGACAACTATCCACCAAAGTTCAAATGAAGTGGATGTAAGCAATTATAGGCAACTGTACAGCCTTCAACAATCAGAAAAATCCATGCCATATAGATGGCTATAAAAGGCCCTCACATGAAAAATATGAAACAATTCTATTGAGAAAACTAATGTACCTTTTCTGTTGATGAAATTTTTAGAAAAAAAAAGATTTATTTTTGCCTACTGAAATGGTCTCTTCAAAATATTTATTCTCATACTTCTAAAATATTGAAATGATATTCAATTCTATGCAATCACATTTAAATAACTTTATGTCTAGTCTTTAAAGTTGATTTAAATATAGACAAACTTAATTATATTGAGTATGTATTTTTCACAGGTGGTCGATTCCCAAAATTCTTCCACATATTATGACCTGACACAATATCAAGTATTTGTTTTAATTACAGAATTATAAAATAAAATTTAAAGTTCTTTTCAGAATTTGTTGGTGAAAAGACTAACAATTACACACCGCTACCGCTGAATGTTTAAAATCTGCCGTTTAAATAATGTGGTTTATATGATTGTTGAGGTCTTTTAACTGTTTATTAGAACGCCATAATTTATACACCATGTCTGAAAATAACACTAATACTAATTAATAAAAGTTACAACCTCAAATATTATTTCAAAATTGTGTTGTCCAGTTTTTTGTGTTTCTTCCCTAGGTAATCCTCACAAAATAAGTGAATTTAATAGTACAATTAAAGTCTGTGAAATATATACTTACTATAACATTTTTTTAATAGCATTTAAAACTTGATTTTGGTAAAGTAGGAAAAAATTCTCTTTTTCCTGGGTTAGTAGAAAATAAAATTGCAGCTGCAGATTGTATGTAAGCAAAAAGCTTATCAATTTGCCCTATCAATCAATGATAACTTTCCTTTATGTCAAAATTACCCTGGTCAGTCCTTACTTGAACATACAAGTATTAAAAAGGGATATTGCTACATATGATATTCAACACATAAGATTGACTTATTAAAATTAAAAGTAATCTCAATAGATCCTTTTCACATTACTGACTTTTGACTCTGGAGTATATAATTTTTCTGCAGGTTAACTTCATTGTGGTAGGACATTCTGGTACTTGTTCAAGTAAGAGCAACTGAAAGAAGTAAAAATCAAGCTTACAATCAGTGCAATTTTGGGAAAAAAAGTACTGTTTTCCGTTGATTTTGTCATGTATAAAAATCATAAAATAGTTAATGTTCTCCCAAATTGCACTGATTGTAAGCTATGTTTCAGTTTTTTTACCTAGCTTATATAATTTTAAATATTACTATTTCAAATTTCAGCATTGTTCAAAACATGGCTATTGTACTGTGAAGCCAGGGTCACAAGAATTTTTTTCCACTATGATTTCTTTATATATCCTGCATGCAAGGCATACGCTCATTATTAATACGGTATGCAAAAAAAAACCTTTATAAAATCAGACTTTCTTTTGCAATTCCATCTTTCCTCGGCAGAGATTTTAAACCAATACTCTTGTTTGCGTGCTGCTTTTTTTTAAAGTAAAGTCTCTTTCTAAGTATTTCCAATAGCTTGACAACAACTATAGCATAAATGACATCATGGACATGTGGAGTATACTGTGACCACATGGTGACAACCAGAGAAATGCTGTTCCAAGAAACATTGAAAACTTAAAAAGTCATTGATACAATTACCTGAAAAATGTGACATCTGTTTAATATTAATCTAATCCTTCAAAATCTTTGCAACCAAAATTCTAAATTGTTCATGTTCACATTTATATTGTAGGATAAATGCTGATGCATAAGTCTTATTTGAAAAAGTGGAAAACTTCCTTCTTAAAACCGAATTCAGTACTTTGGCAGATAAAATAAATGTCTATATAAAGATAAGGAGTTGTAGTATGATTGCATTTGAGACAACTACCCACCAGAGACCAAAGGATGAGGATGGAAACAACCCAAAGGGCACTTAATGGCCTTCAACAATGAACAAAACCTTTACCATATAGTAAGATATAAATGGCTCGGACATGACAAAATATGAAACAATTCAAAAGTGATATATTGGAGAAAAAGGATGGAGTAGACTTTGATGAGATAACTATCTCATAATACAGTGGAACATTCATCACAGGTAAAAAAAAAAAACGTGTCAATGGTTGTATTATGGAAAAACTTTGAGTAAAGTAAACATGATTACAGTGTAAAATATGGCACAAACATAACTTATAAACCAATAACATATTATAATAAATTATCACCTAATGATTTAAATCTATTTCTCTTTAGCTCATTCACCTTAAAGTTTATGACTCTACTAGACAGTTGAGTAATAATTACTGTAAATCAGAACTGTGATCAAAGAATATCCATAATTTTTCTGAAACAACTAGCACTTTAACATATCAGGGACAAAGGTTCATACAGTTTCATGTAAACACTAAACAGAATGCAATCATTTTACAGGAAAGAGCTAAATTCCTCTTTTCATAATTCAGGTACAGTTAGAGTTCTTTCCCTTTTGGAGGATTTACCAAAAACGTTTTTGGTGTTACTTCCAAAATAATGACAAATGTCGAAGCATTGATTTGAAATCTTATTGTTCCAAAAAAGACTTACTATATTATAAGAATCCAAATCCCCAGTCTTCTTGATCAATATTTTTTTCTTTATTTATCAATTCAATTCTTTTCTAGTAACAAAAATATATGTCCATACGACAGCATGCCCTGCATGCTATCAAATTTCCATGTTCAGTGATTACAAAATCTGGGTCATACCCCTCATTTGGCATATATTTAAAAACCTTCACATCATAAGGAACATGCGTTCTAAATTTTAAGTTGACGTTACCGCAACTTATTGGTTAACTACATAAAATTCAAAACTATAGTCTGATACTTGATGGGTTGACAAACAGACAGACAACGCACTGACCAGAAAACATATTGCCTTCGATATCAAAGGCAGGGCACTTAAATCACATTTGTTTGTTATTCCCTCAACATTACCACAGAGAAGGTACCTTACCAAGGGAAAGATAACTCTACTAAATTTTAGGTGAAAACACCATTACTACACATATACATGCTACAAAGTTTTAATCACCCAATATGTCAGCAAAGTGAAATATATTTCAGAGTAAAAAAGGCTGGGAATACATATTATGAAACAGGTTGAAATCAACAGATATTTTTCATAAAAAAAACCCTTCAAAACAATGATTTTTAGGACAAATTTTTGGCATTCTCTTAACAATATACTGTAATTTATGGTTAGAGATACTGGTACCTTTTGCTGGATGAGTAGCCCTGAATCGTAAAATATACAATCTACAATAATACATTATTTTCACTAAAGAGAAAACATACAGTATTTTTTCTATAATTATTATGCAACAAAATATAACATAACTCAGCATTCAAAAAAGTATTCTCCAATAAGCACTTGCAAATATACCTAATTATATGGCTACATTGACAAAAAAAAAATAAAATGGAAAAAATCTTAAAAATGTCAAAATACTATTTCAATGAACAAAAGAGCATTGTATCTCATTATTTTCACATATTCTATATAAATACAAGGAGCTAAAATGTGTTTGATTCTGGTAGTCAGCTGTGATGCTGACCATTACTTTTCATAGTAAATCGTCCCATTTGTAATAAAATTAAAGACATATCCAGCTACCTCTTTTCCTTTCACACTCCACAAATTAATCATATTTACTAAAATGCTACAGTGATAGATCATTTTTAAAAAAAGAAAAGTATTCTAATTAATGCCCCCCATCTGAATCCACCCCTGTCTTGATTATACTGACTTTAATAAAATAAAATGTATTTAAATGATAAAGTAAAATTACTTTCATGATTTACAACAATTTGATTTGATTAAAAAGATGGATAACAACATTAAAATAAATTAAAAAAAATAAATGCACAAACCAATGTTTTTGATGCATGTCAATCAATGGATTCAAATTCAACCTATAACATAGTAAATGTCTTCAATACTGATAATGCCATATTTTGCCTAAACCTTTGGTGCACTTTTATCAACCGTCACTGCCTTCTTCAGTCCACCTTTACTGAAATTCTGTATAGATCCTAGTAGAGCACCTCTTTCATTGGACACTGGAGGTAAAGGTGCTGCCGGACCAGATGGTGGAGGGGGAGGAGGAGGGGCTGCAGGAGCACCTGGTGGAGGGGGGTGGTGGTGGTGGAGCACCAGGAGGGGGTGGGGCAGGAGGAGCTGGTGGGGCAGCTGGTACTGGAGGAGCTGAAAAATAAGAAAATAGGTCAATTACAATCTGAAACTTATATTGTCATCTCTAAGAAGACGTGACATTAAAACCAAATTCAGCAGCATTATCATTTATACTGGGGAAGTGTTTTTGTTGTTTCCAATTTTCCTGTTTTTCTTACTAAAATAGGACATTAAATTCTCAGACAATTTCAGTATCATGAAGTTTTGAATTGTTTGAAATCACAACTTAAGATTGCACAAAATATTAAATTTCAATAATGACAAATTTGCTTTTACCATTAAAACTGCTTTCACAGTACATGTATATCAGATATTATGCTTTGGAATTTCTTTCACAGTACATGTATATCAGAAATTATGCTTTGGAATTTCTTTCACAGTACATGTATATCAGAAATTATGCTTTGGAATTTCTTTCACAGTACATGTATATCAGAAATTATGCTTTGGAATTTCTTTCACAGTACATGTATATCAGAAATTATGCTTTTGAATTTCTTTCACAGTACATGTATATCAGAAATTAGGCTTTTGAATTTCTTTCACGTTTTTATATCTGTAAGTTTTTCAAAGGGAGCGTTCCTTTCATTATTTTGTTTCACATTTGTCTAAAATTACTCCAAATTTGTGATAAGCTTTAAATTCAGGTTGGTCTTTGACCTCTGATCATAAAAATCTTTAGGGATTACCATTTCCTTACAAATAATATGAATTGCAACCACAGTTTTTCAAGACTAACAATGGGATTTGCTTTTTTTTCTCCTGTTTACTTAAGATGTAACACATGAGTGACAATTACCTGATGAAAGTGTATTCAAACATTTTAAATAAATTGTTGAAAGAGATATGCCTCGCCTATCAGCAGAAAATTCAGAAAAAGACAATAGAATGGACAGCAACATTGCTAATTAATACATTGTTGCTGGACATAGAGGGCAGTGCGTCAAAATGATTGTCAACCCGAGATGTACTGATAGTAATGCAACTAATAAGAAAATAGAATTCTCTATTATAAATATCAAACTAACTTAAGGTCAAGTTACAGTAAATGGGCTATGTCACAGATTTTCTTAAAATTTCACATACAACTTTGGCTTGTTGAACTTGAAATGAAAATCGAAAAAAATGCATTTACCTCTTTTATGATCTGAAATATAATTGATCTAATCCTTTCAAAATAGGTGAACATTTGTATAGAAAGCACATAAAATTTGCGAAAAAACATTCTTAAATTTGACTTAAAATCATAAAATTTCCAATTTAACTCCATAGAATTTTCTTCAAAAAACCAAATGTTGTTGGTAAAAAAATTTCCCTTTTAATGATGTTAAATAATAATAGGGTTATAGACTTCTTTTTAACAGTATACATCATTCAAAGTGGTGTACTAGGTGAAAAAATACCACAAAACGTCAAAATAATCGCAACGTCATTGCGTTATAGGCTGTAAAACGTAGATTTTTGACATTTTTCATTACTAACAAGGTTAATACACTAATAACAAAGTCGGTGACCATATGATTATTTCATATTATTAAAACGGAAATTTATGTATCATCAACATATAGTTTATTAAGAAAAATCTATGGATTTGAAATTGGAGATTTGATGATTTTAAGACAAATTTATAAACATTTTTTGCTGATTTCATGTGTTTTCTATACAAATGTTCATCTATTTTGAAAGAATTCAATCAGTAATATTTCACAAAAAAAAAAGATAAAGACATTTTTTTTTTGATTTTCAGATATAAATCAACAAGCCAAAGTTGTATGCAAAATTTTACCAAAATCTGTGACATAGCCCATTTACTGTTCCTTGACCTTAAGTAGAATACTTAACATTGAAAATTGGTAATTAATTGAATGTCACTGGACCATAACCTAGGCGACAGGGCCTAGAAATAGTCATCAATCTGATATGTACTGATAATATCTTTGATCTATCACAAGTAGTTTCTATCAAACTGACTAAAGCAGAAAACTTAACATTTGTTAAAGCCTTCAACAATGACAACGATGACGCAGCAGGAAAAGCTACACAATGCCTCACCTTATCAAAATTAATTCAAAGTTGCTGGACAATGACAAAGAGGGCAACACATCAAAATCATCATCAAACTGAGATGTACTGATAGAAATCAGTAAGGCAACTTTATAGAATCACTGATCTATTACAAGTAGTTCCTATCAAACCGATTTAAGCAGAAAACTTAACATTGAAAATTACTAATCAATTCAAAGTCACCAGACCATGACCTTAGGGTTAGGGCCTTGAAATGTCTTACCTTCCGCGACTTTCGTTGCAGGGGAGACAAACACTGCTTTGAAACATCCTTATAACTACTTGACAACATATATAATGTTTTCTATAGTACACACCAATTTTTATTTTTTCAATACTGCCATAATTTGCTTGACCATGTCTTATTATTTATGATGAACAGATATATTTTTAGGATAATTCTTTTGTTTTTACTTAATTATTATAATACAATATTATATGATTTGTAATAACAATGATCAACAATGAAAAGTTGGTTACGTTTTGGAAAAATCTATTTGGTCCCAGGTTATGTTAATAGTGCTCTTCTAAAACATATTAGTTTCTCCAAGATCTATTATTAGTATATCAAAACACTACAATTTATACATATTCAGAAAATATTTTAGATAATAATCTGACATCAAAGCCTAGCTAAAGCAATTGATAATTACAATATTCCATCAAGTACTGTAAATTCAGAAATTATTGAAGGATCTTTTATGGTGAAATTGGCATGACCAACCAAAATTTGAGATTAATTATTGCAATCTCAGGAATAGCTGCAAACAAATATCATAACATCAGTTCTTATTATTGCGATACTCATCCAGTCACATTAGTCGCATTAATAAAAACATCGCAATAATTTCTCAATTTACAGTATATAGTTCTAGCTTTTCAAGTGTGCAAACTTTATTCAGGGTAATGAAACACACAGCAGTTCTTTTTCATAATTTAAACATTTTACGTAATAAATCTGAACCATATGATAAAAATAATCCAGAATAATTGCATTGATGGGATCTGGATGTCAGTGGTAAAATTTATGCATATCATGGATTTATATTTTATATGTTGCCTAATCTATTATGTAAAATGTCACTTTACTTATTTATACCTGTATATTTTTTTTATGTAATGCTGGTGCTATTATCAGTGTAGCTCCAACATGGTCAAATCTTACCTGCTACCTTGTAACCTGACTTCTCATTGAAAAGGACCTGTGACCTCTAACACAGGTTTCTTGTTAAACATAAACCTGTCTAATTTGCTTAAAAGTGACCTGATAACCTGGTGCATTTTTTAAAGGTGACCTTGTGACCTAAGTGGAATAACCTACTGGAGCCCTATCAGTTAAATATTATATCAGCCAATAACATAAATTTGTAAGGGTCTTCAATGTCAAATTCCAAAAATATTTTGCTGTATTTCAAATAAACATCTTTTGTCTTACTACCTCTAAGAGGAAGCCTCTGTTGTAGAGCAATTTAGGAAGCAAACATTTAAATTTGGAGAAACTTGTAGGACTTTAATTTGGTAAGTCCAGAAGTTGCTTATGAAGATTTTGGTTAGTTTTTAGCACATGTAACACATAAATCCACCTTTAAGTTTATTGTATACCTCTGGTCAATGTTATTTATAATAAGATAAAAATTTGCACAACTAAAAAAATAGAGTAATATAATATGATATAAAGATTGCTTTTACATATAGAAAATCTTCTTGCTTTAAGCTTAATAAAAAAGAAGAAAAAAAATCATTAAGTCAAAGAACCCACTCCATTAAAATAAAAGCTATACAGATAGAATGTAAATGCACACAACAATGAAATTTAATAGATGTTATAATGAAAACATGCATATGACATTGTACCTAGATCAGGAGCTCTTTGATGATTCTGAAAACATGAATAGTTTAATAAAACAATTTTTTAATTATTAAATTGAAAAAATCATGAATTATGTAAACATTTTAGAAATGTAAACATTAATAAATCAACAAAAAAAGAGATATGATGTTATTCAGTTAAGACCAAAAATATCAGCCATAGAATAAATCAATGATTTAAAAAATCAGCAAAAATGTTAAAAGCTCACACAAAAAAAAATATCCATGGAGAAATTAACTATGTTTTCAATTTTAACACTTTTCTTATCACTAACCTGAATAGTGTTTGAGGTTATCAATAATCAAAAGAGTTGGCACACAAATGACTAGCATGCTGCATAAGATTTTTTTTAAAGGGCAATAAACTGAGATTATCTTACCACTGGAGCAAAAAAATGAGGTCAAGGTCATATGAAATATGTCAGATGGATAAATAATCTTCTGAACCAATCAACAATTTAAATACTGTTGACATATCATATATAGGTACTGATGAATAGACCTTAATCTAAAAATTTAATTTTGCAAATGGCGGGTGAAAATGAAGTCCAGGCCATATGACATAATTCAGATGAAAATATACTACTCACAACAGATCAACTTCCCAAAAATTATCAAACTATCATGTATATTTACTGTGGAACAGATTTCATCCTGAAAATTAAACTTAACCTTACTGCATGAGCTTATAATGAGGTCAATGCCATAACATATGTCAAAGAAACATAACTTTGAATCCAATCTACATTATATATACTGTTGATCCATCATGTATTATTTTTAAAGAACAGATTTCATTCTAAAAAAATTACTTGTCTACTGGAGAGCATGATCATGAGGTCAAGGTCATATCACATACATTAAATATTGTATCACATACATTAGATATACATTATTCCTCACAAATAATCTACATACCAAAAGTTGCAGACCTCATCATGAAAACTTAACCCAACCACTGGAGCATAAAAATTAGGTCAAAGTCAGTGACAATGACTGGCTGACAAGGACTTACCATTTTTTTCAACTTCCATACAATTTTTTTGTTATCTTAGTGAAAGTGGAGATAAGATTTTAAGTTTATGTGTAAATAGTCAATGCATCGCCACGGAATGAAAAATAACACATATGTCTTGCCTAATTGGACTTTTGAGGTGAAACATAACTGAGATTCTAATATAAAACTAATTGAAAAATTATTTATCAACACCATGTCTGAGTACTGTAAATTCAGAAATTATTGCGAGGTTTTTATTATTGCGACAAATGCGACAGAGTTGTAAACGCAATAATTTAAACTTGCATTTTGAAATATTTTATATGAACTAAACAGGATTTTTCTAAAAATCGTAAAAATTTAAATCGCATTTAAGTCTAAAATGACAAAATCGCAATAATAAATGCACGCAATAATTTCTGAATTTACAGTATATCTATTAGAGCATTAACATTATGATGAGTAAGGTAAACAAATTTTTTATACAAAACACCAGAGGAATGGATCATGGGTTGACAAGGGACATAAATTACCATTCAATAATTTACCCATAACCTTTCTCTTAAACACATTTTTGTTAGTAACTTTTTCATGGAAATTTTCATTTGATCAGAAATCTTCTTGTAGGATAATTTGAGAGGTTTCCTGTAAATATCTTAGTTCAATAAAGTAAACAGATGGCTGCCATACCTGGTGAAGCAGGAGTAGTTGGTGTTACTGGTGTTGTAGGGTTCTCACTAGATGTCACTGCTGTTGATGATGAAGATGAAGATGACTCTGGTTGACCATTTTCCATTGCTTTCTGGTAAAAAATAATAAAATATGGATTATTTACAAGAAATAGATTTGATTTGATTTAATTTTGTAGGGGAGGGATCCTTTGGGAGATATTATCTTTTTGTTTCCTTGTATGATGTGGACAAACCATTCCTACTGAATTCTTTCTATATCGTTCATTCCTTTCCAAAAAAAAAATGAAACACTTAAAGTAAGACTTGGTGGGTTTTTAAAAAATAAATCGCTGTAATGCTAGGTAAAACAAATATCTTTTATTAATGAGAGTATATTATATGCTCCATATTCAGCTCATTTTGGATGATTTTGTGCAATTTGCACCCTAAATGAAAATAAGGACATAATGCTTTCTGTGATTTAAATCTTCCTACCTTCTTTGACTTCCTTCTCTTCTTCTTTTCTTCCTCTGACATATGGAATTCTTTAGCTTTGGACATCCTCTTAATTTTATGTATCTAAAATAATGATAGAAAGTTCATGTAACATAGTTCATCAATCCAGTTCATGTCTTTTCTGAAAGTGTTCACAGTTCACTTTGTTCAATATGGGGTAAAATGGTTGTTTGTCGAACAGACGGAAGGGAAATGTTTATATTGTAATATTGCTGGTTTAAAATAAGATGGAAATAGTGTATGTATCTAAGTACTGTAAATTCAGAAATTAGAGCAAGATTTTTATTAATGCAAATAATGGGACTGGGTGTGTATTGCAATAATAAGAACTCGCATTTTGATATCTGATGCATATATCTGTATGCAGGTTTTCCTCAAATCGCAATAATAAATCTTGCATTTTTTACCATTCTTAAAAAATCACAATAATAAATGCATGCAATAATTTCTGAATTTACAGTTATTCATTTTTATACTGAAACAAATTTGGTGGTAATTGTGGGAACAAATTTGCTCCTGCTTTCTGTCTTTTGTCTTCAAATGCAGATAAAAACTATTTCATTTGCACTGGCACAGAGACAAAATTTAATAGTCCCTAAAATTCAGTTTAAATGTCTGTAATGGTCTTGAGGTATTTGGTTGCAAGGTTACTTGCTGGATTTGCATACTGATCAGTTATTATCACTAATCATGTTTTAAGGATGTTCGCTACTCTGTTTCAAAATAACAAGCTTTTTAAAAGACTGTTATAAATTGATAGCATATAAATAAAGGAATTAAAAAGGCAGAAAAAAGTGAAGGGTCTGTGTGCTTGTTTTCGAGATATAAGCCATGGAAAATTTGGCGGGAAATAATTCTCTCTAGACCTATCATATATTTAACATTGGCACCCTTTCCTTTAAAAAAATATGAAAAAATAACAAGGATTTTATAGCATTTTCAAATATGGCTTTTTTAAACTATATGTAATAAAATTATGAAAAGAAAAGTAGGGGTTAATGGGGAAATTTTTTTAATGGCAGGATAAAAACAGAGGATTCCGAATATCTGGCAAAAATTCAGAAACAAGAGGAGCGAACATCCTTAACAATACAAACCACTTTTTGTTCATCATGTAACCTCTTCTCCACATCATCTTTTGCTGTTCTGATGAATTCTTTTAATTTACTTGGTATCTTTAGTATTGGTTTGTCCATTAATGGCAGTGTTATGTCTGAAAATAGACTGAAAGAGAAATATAGAGACAGGTTAACTTAGTAATTGAATCCATGTCTTGCGCACATTCAAATAAAGCGAACTAATATAAAATAAGGTGATGCGGTATATTTGCCAACGAGACAACTATTAAACAGATTCCAAATGAAATGGATTTAAGCAAGTAAAGGTCAACATACATCCTTGAGTAATGAAAAAAATTCTATATAGCTATAAAACGTGATAAAGCTATTCACAGTCTGATTTATAAAAAAACAAGAAAACAAATATGACAGACAACAACCAAAGACAATCACTGAATTACATACTCCTGACTTGGGACAGATACACTAAGAATGTGACAGGTTTAACACGTTTGTGAGAGTTCAACCCTCCCATTAGCTGGTATTTCAAGGAAACAGATCAATATACACTATCTATGTATCATATGTATGATGATTTTTTTGTTTATAATATAATGATTAATTTGTTATTGATGTTTGTTTTCTTTGTTTTTTGTTGTTGTTGTTTTTTAATTATTTTGATAGACTCATAATAATAATAAGAAAATATTTAATATCTACCATTTATTAGCACAAGAAATATTTCAACAATATAGCACTTTATCATAGAATACATAATATTGAAACAACAAATGGTAAAGCAATTAAATACATTACATAAAACATAGCACTTGTACACAAAATTAACATAGCACTTAAGACACAATTCACAAAAAGTTCATATCACTGTTATTCAGTAAGGCTGGTAGTAGGAGTTCCTGTTGTAGCGTGAAGACATCTTACGAGAGGTGGTGACTGTACGTGAGTGGGTGTTCTGTGAACGGCTACGTTTGTTGGCGAACCACTTCTTGACCTGCTCTTCTCTGATGTTCCCCTGAAGTGCAATTGACTGGATGATGGATGAGTCTGGGTATGGGTGGTCTATGTTGCAGTGGTACCATTCTTCCATGAGTTGGACAGACCTGCGTGACAGCTGTGGACGAGACCTGAGTGTGCTGGGTCTGGTAGCTGATGTCTTGGTAGTAGTGGGTATCTGGTTGCTGACTGCTTGCTGGAGGTTAGAGACACTGACCTGTAAAAGGAAAGGATAGTAAGTAAATATGTCAAAACATTGCAATAATATTCACAGATTACATATCAAAGAAAATTTACATGTATTTTATCTAAAAGTAATACTATTATTGATAAATTAACAAAGTTCAATATTTTACAGTTAGCTAATGATAAAAGCAAAAATAAATATTGTAAAAACTTTGAACATTTTAAATTACTTTATAAAATTAAAGAATTGTTATGTAGAATTGGTATATTACCTCAACCCTATCTATAGCCTTGTGTAGTTGCTCATCGAAGTGGTTGTTGATGGAGTTTTGAAGGTGTGGTTTGGTAGCATTCTGGTGAAGTGACTGGTAACGCTCCGTCTCAATGACAGCAGACTGGTACTTGAAGAAGCTAGATAGCTGAGACACCTGAGTTGGGGAGTTGACTTCGAGTTTGGTAAACTGTCGTTGAAGTTGTTGCTCTCTGGTGAATACACTGATCTTAGGTTTGTGTAGAAGGCTCATCAGAGTTTCTGGTATGGTTTGCTGTTTGAGTTCTGTCTTGAGTAGTGATTGTAGTTCTAGGACTGCTGAGTTGTTGGTGAGTAGTTGCTCTGGTGGTGGTGATCCAAGAAGATCAAAGAGTGAATCAGCAAGGCGAGTTTCTGTCTCAGGCTCCAGATCTGTTGCTTCCGCAAGGATAGCAGCAGCCAGGGCCTCATCATCATCTTCGCTGGTGGTGATAGGATCAGCAGTAGAAGTGGTATCAGCTGAATCTGGTTGAGTAGTGACATCTGAGGTAGTGGTCTCTGGTTGAATAGTAGCAGCTATGATGTCCTCTAGTGTGGTAGTGGATGTGATCTCTATGGGTAGTGGTGACTTGGTTGGTGATGACAACAGGAAGTCCAGGAAATCAGCCATGATTGTAATGATTAATAAGTAATAAATGATTGATCGAGATTGGTATTTGACAAGTGAATAATGATTTGTGTCAAAAGTGACACCATTTTATATGGTGTCACATGTGATATCCAACAAACACTGGATTCCCATTGGTTAAAAGTTTTGATGAGCAGTATTCATGCATTTTTATTGGCCAAAAAGTTGGCTTCTGTTGTTCAATGTGATTAGCATAAGCAAGCTTGGACTAATCAAAGTATCACTATGATTATTATTCTAATCATAAGCAATCAAAATAAATTATTTGACAATAAAAAATCTAAATTAACAAAATTATCAATAATTATGTTGTAAGAAACAACTTGCAATAGTTTTAATCAAGAATTAAAATGTTATTTTACTTAATACAATTTGTGAGCTGTTTCTTGAGAAATAAAGAAAACAATTTCTAATTTTCATTATATAATTATTAAGAGACTTTTTACTGAAAAAAGGAAGATGAACAGGAAAGAAAAAAATAAAGGAAAAAAGAATTTTACTGAAATACTTCATAATTCTATATATGTTTCCTGTAACTTTAAATGTAGAGTATTTTATATGCAAACATGAACATAAATAAAAGAATTTCATTAAAACTTAACCATTAGACTTTTTAAACCTTTTTATAAAATATCCCATTCAAATTTTTGTTATGGTTGTTACAGTGACCTGTTTGGATTAAAATTTACAAGATGGGACTTAAATTTACTGTGCAAAACCTTAATTTTGGATTAATTTCAGGGGAAATGTGCATTTGCTAAATAAATACTAACAAATTTTGGATTAGGAGTTTTCTGGTAACTAAGTAAGTTGCTAGGTTGATCCCTCTGAAAAAGGTGCTAACCAAAATAAAATATGTTTCCATTTAACAAACATTTGGACTTTATCATATTTTCTCACAATTCCAAAATATTTTTTTTTTATGGACAGCAAATTTATATCTCATTGCAGACGCTATTTTCCAAATTTGGACATATCATTAATATTCATATTCAAATATTTTTAGTTTTCCAATTTCAATTGTAGATATAAATGGAAATAAATAAAATAATATAGATGTTGAAAAGGGAAGTTTGAATCATTATTAATAATAATTATAAAATTTTGTTATTATATTTTATTTATATATAAAAATGATAAATTATTATAGTAAAAAAATATATAAATTTAATATACAATCATCATGCATTACCATTATTCTATTGTGTTATCATTAGATACTAATTATTCTTTTGATCTTTGTGATTAAACATTTCAACAGTAATAATCTGACCATATAGGTGAAATGTTTTCACCTAATTAAAACTTAAAAGTAAACTCTAATCACTATTTAGATAAATGATTTAGTTTATGGTTAAACAAATGAGCAATGATTACTTTAATCATGATTGTGTAATACTAATTATCACCCATGTTAACTGTAATCACCAAATCATGATAAATCTTTTGATCTTTATGAATAAATTGATTAGTTCATGATTAATTAATAATTCTTTAAGTTAAAAAAAATTCATGTCTTAGTTGCAGGTAATTATATGTAAAAGAATTACCTTAAATTGTGATTTAACAAATCAATTAATGATTAGTGTGATTATATGGTAGTTGAAAGTAATCAAATTATTCATTTCAGGCAATTGACCATCAAAAATGTTCAGAAAAGATTCCTTTGAAATTGCATTATTAATGAGTGTTTTTTTTTATTCTATGCCTGTAAACAGAAAAATGAAATGCTCAACATTCAAATTGAATACAGTATATTTAAGTTTTTCTGTATTCAATGCAACAGAAAGCAAAAAAAAAAAAGCTGACAGGAGCCCACCAAAATCTTTACCTAAATACATTATTTAGGTATTGACAGATTGAGATATCTGTGGGATCATGGGAACTCACATATATCTAACATTATGTTAATTCATTCTGCACGTTTAGGCAGATTTTTATTATTTTTAATTTTGTTACTATCTATAAGTACATGAAGGTAATTTTATAAAATCATGCCCCATTAGATTTTGGTATGAACAAGAGAGCATAATAGTAAACATTCTATTACAGGCAGATAGTATTTTCTTATATCACAAAAGAACTACCATGTTATGTAAAATGCAATTAATGTTGCTGCGGTGTCTAAATGATCAGCAATAGATTTTTCTAAAACTTTTATCATTGAAATTAACAAAATCAGTTATTTTATTAGGAGTTATATAGGGAAAACTTATTTTTTCTTTTTTGAGGAAATATTAAACAATAGAATCATATAAAAAAAGGGAGTAATGAGCTTCATATTCTTGAAAAATAAAAAAAAAACACAAATTTTCCTATCAAATTCAATATAATTATCTGCCCTTGATTTTAAAGGATTTTTTTCTGAAAATTTTAAATACACTTTATGACACTTTATTTTTTTTTTATAGTTTAATCTTTTAGTTTCAGGTTTTAAATGGTACTTGGTAAAATAAATTTAAACCCAAAAAGTATTTTGCACCATAAAAGGTCTAAAATGACCCAAAATAATTCAAAATTCACAGATTTTAAACAAGAAACTCAAGATGCATAAATTTTTCAAGTTTAAGTATGGGTCAGAATATAGGGTTCTTTTATACTTTAAAAATGTCGCAATAACAACAGAGTGACCTAAATTTTGGACAAGATAAATGGCATAAAGCAAAATGTTTGAACTTCTTTTGTTTGAAATATGTTCTAACATTCATGTTTAACTTTATATAATACGAATAGTAGACTTACGGATGAGAAAGTAAATCTGCTACAGTTGGTAAACCATTTTTACATGCTTCAGAAGTTAAAATAGACTCCAAAACAGATCCTGAAATACAAAATAAAAGAATTTTCTTAGAAAAATTCTTGTTTAGTTAGTGGCATGGCGATCATTTCTTTTTTTTTGTTAAAGAAAGACACAAAAACAGTATAAGAAGTCATGCATAGTATACCCCACTCATTAATAGACATTACTGAAAGAATTCCTTGTTAAATGAGTATGATGAAAATTCTAAATATTGTCAAACATCAAGTAACTACCCAGCAGATCTGAATATCTCTGTCGCATTAAACTCATACTAATGAAGTTCAAGATTAAATACCCAACCATTCATTAATACTGATGCCAAGGACTTACTAATCTGTGGAGGGCAGGACGGAGGGAAATTATCACATGTGGCAGCATACAGCTGTGAACCAAAAGTCATCTCATACAACAACTGTCCAAAACAATAAACATCAATGGATTCTGTTGTCTGTAAAATAAAACATTCTTTACCAAAAAAAATCAAAGTACTGAAGTACTGAACATCGGATGACCGCAAGTTCTTGTGGATGGTCAAAAGCACTTGTCTCAGAAACTAAAATCACATCTCTATACCTTAAAGTGAGGTTAAGGTACATAGATATATTTTTTTCTGAGACAAGTTCGTGCGTGGATGATGAATAAATGACAGGGAATTCAACCTCACCGTAATAACTATTATGTTGTAGTGATACAAATCAGTATACTCTGGTTTGTTGTTATATATTATATTAATATTTGTATATAACAGTTACATGTATATATAATTTTCATCCATTTGTATATCATTCTATTCTACTATTCTAATAATAGTGCAGTGCAAGTGCATGGTGGACACTCTTCTGTAATAATTCGATTTTTCTAATAGATTGGATTTGAGTAGGCATTCATATTTTCCTGCAAAACGTTCTTGAGATATTCTTCTGCATGTGTTAACAAAAATATTCTTGATTTGTTATTGATATATATATTTCTCACGACAAAACATTTTCATATCATTTATCTATGTTCTTAAAAATTATTTTCATGAATATTTATTGATGAAATTGATATATAACAAGCGATAAGGAATGTTATTTTGCGTTCGGTTATCAGTCAAAAAAGAAAGTCGCGTGGGTAGAAATGTCTGTGGCAACACTACACCGGAATGCCCTCACGGTCATCTGATGTAAAAATCAATTGATCAATGAAACTAGTTGCAAATTCAGAAATATTTTTTGTTTAGGTGTCTTATTCTCGTTTAAAAGATACCCTAACATGTGAGAAAAGAATATTATATGGTCAAATAAAACCACAAGGTACAATTTGTGACAATAATTCAGCATTATTATAACATAAAAAACAAAATTTGTGTGGAAGTTCATACAAGTCAATTGATCCTCAATTTTTAGAGCAAGCTCCATCATTTAAAAAAAATAAATTTAAAAGTTCCCCATTAATGATCTTAAAGGCTATAAAATTGTTCAATTGATGATTTCAGTCATTTGGCATTTTTGAAGATCCTATATATTACTGATACTTTTTGCTAATTACAGTTTTTTTTTTATCTAAAATGTTTTAATGATAATAATAAAAAATGTTAAAATAAGTGGAAAAGAATATTTGTCCATAGGACAAAATGCACAGCTTGCATTATATTTTCATCATTAGTGAACTGTGAAATCAGGATAAGAAGCACATTTGGAATATAATTTGAATAGTTCAAGTGTACAAAGATTAAAGTTGATATGACCACAACTTCATATTTTCTTTCAATTTATCTTAAAGTTCTCAAAATAATTGGTAAAAAAAAAACCTTCAAGGGCAATAACTATTAACAAAGAGGAAAAACAAACTATCCTGAAATTATACAAGTGTATAATATACAAGTGTATAATATTCTCATCCAACAAAACTTAGTATAACCCATAGGGTTTCAACTATAACAAACCTGAATCTTCTTAAACTGTACAAAAAATGGTCTGTAATATGATGGTAACCCTAGAAACCAGTTTTGAAGATCCAGAAATTTACACACTTGACCTTCAACTATGATATTTCCAGCATGTAAATGACCTACAACAGAATAAACAAGAAGATTTAATTATTCCATAATGTAACAGTAACCATAATTGTAAAAAGAAGATTTTATAAAAACATGTTTGATAAACATTGTTTGATAGATTAGAAAGGATATGGGGCTTCAATCCATGACACAAAAAGCCAAGGAACAGTGTTTTTATTGCTGTTCCTCATCCAAGTCACCATTTGTCATTAACCTACCAAAACATTTTGGTGTTTATTTTTGAAATATTATCTAGAATGCATTAGATTCTGAAATGATGAATAACAAGAGAAATGCTATTAGATCTTTTTATACGCAGTGCATTATGCACAAGGAAGATATAGTGTTAGGACTTAGTAGGTTTTTTTTTGTATTTTGCTTTGAGGATCTATAGCCAAGATAGACATAGGAGGAGTTTTGTGTCGACGTCAAACTGGTTTTAAACCCACATCCTTTTGTGCCTTTACCAATGAAAGGATAGCCAGGTTGTTGTTTGTCTGTTTGTATGTCTATTTGTCTGATTATTCAGGTGTTGGTGTTTGCCTCGGTTTGTTGTCCTATCCATAAATTTTTGGTTGTTTCTGTCATCCGTTATGTGTATTATCTGACCAATTAGATGACTGTATTATCTTCACAAATCATTTTGTTTGTTACTGTTTAGGTTCCTGTCAGACTTTATTTAAACAGCCTTCATTTAACCATCCAAATGCAAATGTAGTATTGTATATACTTGAGTTTACTTACCATAAGGAATGCATTTTTCTTGTAAATATTTTAATGTCAGAAGAATCTGTTTACCAAATGTTTTGATTACCACTGGTTCTAAGATTGAGTAAGATTTTGGATTTCCATATTTTTTCAAGTAATGAACCTTTGGTTTACATTTACAAATAAGATCTCTTAATGTTCCTTTTTCACAAAAACTTTGTATTACAAGTCCTCCACTTTCATTGGCTGTAGCAAAGGTCACAGGATAAATATTTGGATGCTGAAATATAGAAAAGAATGATAATTAAACTAACTTGTGCCAGATCATCCTCGCCAGCCAAGGGTTACGATCCAGTTCCCTTCTCTCCATCCATGGCAGATTAAGCCAACATTTGTGATTACAATGCTGTGCCATCTATCGGTAGATAAAAGTCAGGCCCATTCAGACTACATCATTCTTGACCAATGGCAGCACTTGACTCTCTTCAGTGTGGAGGTGTAAAATGGTTGTGTCTGGTGTTTACAAATTTCCTGAAGCAGGAACCGAAAATATACGTTGACATTCCAACATTTGCGAGAGAAACATACCCAGGAGTTTCAATAAGTTGATTCAGAACTTTAAAACTGTCATTAAATATTGTCCTATGTTTTAGGGGTAAAAACTTGTTGAGCACTCAGCACATGGCAATTGTTTATTTACATTTTCTACATTTACACATGATTTTCATAAAGGCGCTTTTTGATTGGATGCAGCCAGTTACAACTGTGACCAATGGAATTAATTACCTTGTGGAACCGAAATTGTATCTTAATCCGCCAAGAGTGGAGAGGAGGGGACTGGATCGTAACCCTTGGCTAACAAAGAATGTGCCAGATAAGCATTGTTAATACATGTATTTAAAAGTAATCACTGAATTTTACAAATGTGTTGCCATCTCACTTACCCAACATTCCTCTTTATTTAAATTTATAACCTTTATAGAGATATTCATTGGTACATTATTTATTTACTGGTAAAGGTAATCTTTTTAATGTTCCAACAGAACAAATGATGGATAATTTGTCTTACCTGGTTGGTTCTTATATATTGTTTCTCATACAGAGGATATGTTTTTCAAAATGTTCAATGAATTTTTACTACATGTACTGCAAAATACTACTTTTACACTACAAAACTAACATGATGTAAGGTAAAATATATTTGCAGTTCTTCAGACTGTATTTTTGTTTTCAATATTTGCATTAAGTGTATGTGCTGCAGATAGTTCTGTGGGACTTAATCCATGGGTATGGTAACTACATCTAGGTCTATCAAATTTTTAGTGTTTTTTTTTTCGCTGAGAATCTGAAAAATACTTTTCAAGAATATATATATCTTTCAGGCTTTATAGCATCCACAGACAATAAATGATTTAATTTGTTTTAGGGGGTATTCTATGATTTACAGCATTTTGCAACCACTTCCATATCATTCTGTCTATGATGATGGTCAATGATAGGTCAAAACTGAGCATGCATCAGTTGCCCTTGGGATCTATAAATACTATTGCAGCATATCCACCTTTGACATATCTTTTTGTTTAATCCATGACATGTTGGCAATAGTTTGCCTTATAGTTTGAGAAAAGCTTATTACAATTACCAAAAAATTATGGTTTTACTGGTAGATCACACTTGTTCTATAAGTCAGGTGACCTAACAAAACAATATTTCCCCAAAATCAGGAAAAATACTTGAATTAAATGTACTAAGTTGAACTTACTTGTATTGATGGGAAAATCCTCAGTACAGCTGCAAGTTCCTTCTCTGGCATAAATTTGTCAGGCCCATAATCACACTGAAATAAATTCTTTATGTTATCAGATTTCATAAAAGCATTAAATGTATGACTGAAAATTAAAATTTTCCATCTAATATGCATGTCCTTGTACAGATTTGTCTTCACTTTTTGTTCTTTTTGGTTTTATTGGCTCTTCAACGCTAGTATTAGGTATTGAATTTTCACACATATCTTTACCTCTAGCATCACTGAATAGACATTAATTGTAGAAATATGCATTCTGACCAATTAAATTGATACTATCAATGTTATTGTTAATTTATACACTTAATTTGTACAGTTAAGGTAGCACAATACAAAGATTTTTTTTACTTCCAATCTCCAACCTTTAAAATGATGTTACTTTCTTATGACTGCATACAAATTAATAAAAGAGGTATATATAGATAGATAAAAGATTAATCTTTTAAATGAATGCAATATTTTTGTTATGCAATCATTATGTAATCAATTATTATGCAATTAATGGCAAAATCTTGGTCAGTTCACTTGAATGAATTTAGCTCTGACATCTCTATGACTACACAAGAAATTTTAACATTATCTTAATCAACCCAGCAGGAGCTACAAAAGGGTGTCTCAAATTATCGCTATCGTATTCCATTCTCTCATAAATCTGTAATTAGTGTAAACATCCTTACCACATAAAAGTAGAGATTATTTGATTAGGTGTAAAATTTGATCTATACATTCTATCCAAAATCTGAGACACCCTTTTGTAGATAATGGCTCTAGGAACAACATATTATAAAATCAACCCTATCGGGGTATCTATGAAGAAGTTAATTTCAATTGAAAGTGGAAATTTCTTGTAAAATTTTGTAGACACAGTTAAAATTATAATTAATTACATAATTGTTGTATAATACTAACATTGCATTAATTTGAAAGAGTAATCTGTTAGCTATCCATAAATACCACTTTTATGAATTTTCAAGCATTATAAAGAAAGTTACAGCATTTTAAAACTGGGAAGTTGGAGGTATAAAACCTTTGTATTGTGCTACCTTAAAAGAAAAATGGAATTTGAAATGCTTCTATAACACAAAAAAATAAAAGATTTCCAATTTGAAATATGAAGCTCTCAATGTCTTTTGCTGTTTTGTGTTTGAATGGTTTGTTGTCAGTCTGACTGAGATACTAGTACTGTACTGTGGATTCATTATTTTTCATTGGATACCAGTTTTCATGGATTCAATAGGTAAAAGTGAACAATGAATTTAAATGTTCAACAAAGTGCAAATTTTCTATAAGCTTGCATGCAGAGTTTGGCAAAACTATGTAATCAAATATCCAAGAAAATTCGATTTTTCCTCAATCCACGACATTTGGTACCTTCGAAAAATAAATGAATCCCCAGTATATCCCCTCTTCTCCCTTCAAACTTAAATCAAAAAGCTTGTTCTAAGAACATGTTTCCATGTTAAATAATTGTGCTATTCAAATCTGTTAAATCAGCAGTCTTTTTACTGACCAGTAACATAAAAACAAAACGATGCATTATAGGTGCAATGCATGACGTCTGGCAGGGGTTGAAGTGTAACTATGATGGCCATTCACCAATTAAAATGAAAGAGATTCTTTCTGTGACAACAAATGTCAAACAAGTTTGATGATACTCCCTACAAGGCTTTCTAAGTCTTCTAATTGACTGCCTATTTAAAAGTGCCATGACTGACATGTTACAATCGAAATATAAGCTTTATGATCATAACATTCTGTATGTTGAAAAGTTATTATAAGGAATACTTACCCATGCTAAAATTTCTTTAATTTTTGGTTGATCTATTGGTTTCACTAAAATATATTCTTTTCTTAACCTCCATCCTGAAATTTATGTTATACCTTTTATTATTTATAGTATTATAGAAATTATATCTTTCTCAAAGGGGGTCTCATTGGGGGGTTCTGATCCCGGATCCCGCTTACTGTTTTGTCAGATTCCCGTATCCCGCTTACACTATGTACGTAAGCAATTCTCATTTTTTTTGTAATTTCCCGTGTCCCGCTAGACTTCATTTCCCGTTTTCACGGCACAATAATTTGACTTTCACGTGTCACGCTTACAAAAAATCGGCAATCCCAGGTCACGCTTAGACCCCAATGAGACCCACCTCAAAGTTGATTTTAGCAATTGTCTTAAGATCTATTATATTATAAAAAGAATTCATAGATTGCAATGAAGAAAACAAATATTGATTCATGCCAGCTGTTGCTTGAAATGAGTGCTGAAAATTGCTGAAGGCTTATTTTTATGGATAACAGTGGCACTAAAATTCAGATCATAGTCATCAACAGAACAAAGTTTTCTTGTCAAAATAAAAAGCATTATTTACTTTGGAAACACAATAATTATAATTGAACAATAATTTTAATACTTGTGATCCTCACCGATATATATCCCTTTTAAGACGTCAATTATATTAAAATAATAAAAGGTTATTTACAGAAATTAACAAAATTATCGGAGAGTACAACAGACCACATCAACACCTAGTAGACTTACGACCAAAGACGAGCACACTTTGTATGTATGATGACTCTGTATCTTGAACAGTCATATTAGTTTTATGTAATCACCATGAGGGCATAAAATTTTATGAAGGCATAGAATTCCATGAGGGCATAAAATTCCAAGAGGGCATAAAACTCCATGAGGGCAAAAAACTCCATGAGGACATAAAACTCAATGAGGGCATAAAATTCCGTGAGGGAAAAAACTCAATATGGGCATAAAATTCCAATTAACTGTTATGATCAGGGTAAGAATATTTCATACTAGTAGACCCTTTTTAGGGTGACAAATAAAAGTTCTTATTTCTTATGCAGCAAAAATACTGCAATTTGATTGGTCATTACCCCGGTGTAAATAACACCCCACCCTTGTTCACCCCGGGATAAATAAAATTTTGCCAAAAAATTTTTAAAAATTTAATTTTGCCAAAATAAAGAAAAAAAAATATAATGTAAAAAAAAAATAAAAAAAATAAAAAATAAATAAATTTGAGGACAAAAATTGAAAGAGAACACAAAATTTTTCTGAATTTCCCAAAAATAAAGAAAAAAAGTATTTGACAATGCGAGCAACATAAACGTTGAAAAAATGTTACACTGGAAATTTTTCATTACAATTTTTCAATTTTACATCCTGGTTTAAACATGAGTAAAGGAATTGTTCATAAGAAATAAATTCGTTATCTTGGTGTAATCAGGGGTGTACACAATTTTACACCGTTGTTGAAAATTCATACACCTATTCGGCTGCGCCGCAGGGTGTATGAATTTTCAACAACAGTGTAAAATTCTGTACACCCCTGATTACACCAAGATAACTAATAACATACCTACTTAAAATAGATGGACTATGAAGTGTAATATATTTACCTATATCTGGTAATGCTTCTATAACATCCCATTTGTTTTCAGACCTAAACACCATGGAAACATGCTGCAATGCAATCTCTGAAAAAAAAACAAAGGGCTTTTAACAATACACTAACAACAAAGTTTTATTAAACTACATATGTATTACAAATGTATCAATCTAACAAAATTACAATAAAAGTTAAACCTGAAAAAAATAAAGTATTTTCAAAACTAGCAATGGTCATTTTTGTGTAAAAGTAAGCAATAGACACCAAGAAGCCAATCACTATTTGGTATTGCTGTTAGACAAATCAAAGTGGTCCAGAAAAGCCTTACATGTAAATTGGAATTAGTACCACAGCAAGATTAAGTGACAAAAAGCAAAATGTATTAATAAAATTTGCCTGATTGACCATGGAAATGCAATAAAATTTCTGTCAATCTAGTTAAAAACCTAAACATAGAACATATCAAAAATACATAAACTGGAAACCTGTTGAAAATATTGGGATAAATCAACCCAAAGTTTTTGTTATGTTTCAATATACATGTACATGAAAGATTGACAGCATCAATCAATGTTATATAATTTAGCTATTCTAAAGCACCATCTTAATTTTATCTGCTGAGTTCTTTTTTGGACTGTGAGCAAATGTTTTATCCTCCAAATTTAGACATTGGCTAAATTGATATTAAATATGATCTCTATAGCTATCAATTGGATTTTTTTCATTGGAAGCATGAAAATCACACACATACTAACCTGTCTGATTAAGCGTATAATTGTCTGGGCTCAGGAATTTCTTCACAGCTTGGCTGTTAGCAAGTAAAGGATGAACAAGTATGGTATCAGTATATTTCTGAAAATAGAAAAACATTAATCATATATAAAAACTCAGAAAAAAATTCTAAGAAAAGTTAAGAAGATATGCACCAGAATATATGAAACTGTACTTCAATCTTAGATTAAAGTTTTAGCTTAATAAATTTTCCCGATTATCAAAAACTTGATGAATATATTTAAATAATAATATCATATCATATTTTCTAAAAGTTTACCTCTGTCACATCGGAAATCACTGTGGGTATCATATGAAAATGTAACCTTTTATAGTAATAGTGATCATGAGAGTCTTGACATTGAATATATCTTATTCTTATTTTACCTTAGTTATGGAAATTCTTGTAAGCCTGTCATGGTCTCCTGACCTTAAACCACATTACCAAGCCTGAGGGTAGCAATCAACAATTTGTCTGTATGATATCATATTTTGAGGGACCATGCATAAGTGACCCTTGGTAGAGGTCTTGTTTAAAATGACACTTGTATAAAAAACCTGAAATCAGGTCATGTGCATACCCATGTTGGTATGATACAGGCACATTTCAGATAATCAAAACTGTATGAACTTCATAGATTTTTACCAGGTCTTTTAAAAAAGTCTCACTTAAGGGTACATTCGCCTGCTCTGGAAATAGCTACAGTAACTACAAATAAGCTTACAGTGTTGTCTCCCAAAAAAATATATTTATTTGAATTTTTTAAATAATTTTGGGCATTTAACCAGTTTTAATTGAAAGCTAATTATAAAATAATTCTTACTATCAAATACAAAAAATATGATAATTTTTCACCAATTATGTAAATAAAAAGGGATTTCCCTCCATGGCTGTTTTTATTTGGGGAATAACCCTTAGTATTCTATATGAAACTGTTCATAGCACCCCCAGTGGCCAGATTCAATTAGGAATTTTGGTGTGTGGATTCGTTGTTAGAGATATTTGTTCATCTGACTTGCAGTGTGTTCAGTATGAGGAGTATATTTTCCTCTGATATATATCATATGGTCTTAAGCTCATTTTCAAGTTTTACTGAAAAGGTCAATTATTTTACCAGTGACTTTGTTACAAGAGGTACATGAGCATCAGACCTTGATGTCAGTTTCAGAGTTCTTTTACCTTTAATTTTTTATTTTAAATTAAAATATTGCATTAGGTAAGATGTGTCAGATCTTGTTTATTTTTTTTGTAAACATTTCTTGTTTATAACCTTAACATCAAAAAAAGATAGATTTAATGATAACCTAAAGTGATAAAGTTTTTACTGTAAAATCTTATTCAAAAAAGAATGATACTTGATTTATCTCTGTTTATCAAATACTCTGCCCTCAAGTGAACAAGTAATATTTAAACATTTTATAATTCCCAACTTCTATTTCCTTCCAACTAAAAATGTATTTTGATGTTCAGTAGTTGTCGTTTGTTGATGTGGTTCATAAGTGTTTCTCGTTTCTTGTTTTTTATATAGATTAGACCGTTGGTTTTCCCGTTTGAATGGTTTTACACTAGTAATTTTTGGGGCCCTTTATAGCTTGCTGTTCAGTGTGAGCCAAAGCTGTGTGTTGAAGACCGTACTTTGACCTTTAATGGTTTACTTTAATAAATTTTGACTTGGATGGAGAGTTGTTTCATTGGCACTCATACCACATCTTCTTATATCTATTCACAAAACTTATTCCCTTTTACCTCTAGTCCTTGTCCTACAAGAACATTTTGACCTGATTCTTAGCTATAGGAATATCATGTATTTAAAGAAAATAATTTATAAAAATACTTTTTGCCATACCTGAAGACCTTGTTGTCTTTCAGCTACAAATTCCCTATCAAAGTTTCCAAAGACTTTTTTGGGGGGCAGTTGTACATCAATATTTGCAATTTTGAGCTCTGTATCCAATGCTACAAAATCACTGTAACGTTTCTGCAATGTCCAGCTGTTCTCAGGCTTTGGTCCATATTGAATTCTCACACTATATACCTAAAAAGTGAACAAACACAAGAACATAAAATTTTAAAGCTACACAATAGAAAAGAGAATGGAAACAGGGAATGTGTCAAAGAGACAACAACCCGACAAAAAGGGTGAAAACAGCCAAAGGCCACCAAGTTCTTGTATAGAAAAACAGAATTTATATAAGAAAGACATACACAGAGCTGTTGAAATCTATGTAGGGTTTGTTGAACCTTGTGGCTGATATGACATTTTTCTCAATTAAGTGCATTACAAAATACTTCAGATTTCCACTGGTCCTGATCAGACTTATCCGATAAGGTTTCGATAGGTCTGGCTTTTTTCAACAGCTCTGTATATATAAGTTAAAGTCAACAGGGTTCGTCACCTTCCTTATATTTTCCATACAAATGACTTTCATTTTAAAATAACAAAAGAAACTCAAGATATTATCAAGAAACCATTTTTTTCCAAAATTTTTAAGAATGACCTTGCACATTGTTTCAGGAACAGGGACAGAAGAAGGACAGACAAACGAACAAAGCCACAGCTATATGCTCCCAAAAATATTTTCAGGGGAGTCTTTAAATGGAAAAGAATATGGTCTGTCTGTGAAATAGAAGTTTCAACTTGTATAAGATAGGTACCATGGAAGTGTCTGAAAGTGCAATTTTTTTTTTTACAAATGTCTCATCTAGAACCACTTATACAATTTGACACAATTAAAAACTGGATATACCACTGACTTTAACTACTTTTACAAATTATAAACTTCTATTAGTTCATAACTGAGCTAAGTGAGTGTGGAGAAACTGATACAGCTCTACATATCAAAATAAGAAGATGTGGTATGATTACCAATGAAACAACTCTCCACCAGAGACCAAATGACTTAGAAGTTAACAACTATAGATCACTACAATTTTTCAATGGACAACAGAGATTCCATTGCTCCATGAGAAAACAGAATAGAGGATACAAAACCTACCCCTTACTCAAATAACAGGAGGCTTATGAGCGAAAAGAGGCACAAGAGGAAATGAGCTGGTGAAAATTAACAACTTAAGCTGGTTTGTGTCATGAGAGTTAAGCTTAATGTATATATATATTTTACATTCATTGCATTTTTTTTGACTTAGTTATGCAGCTTGTTAGCTTGCATTTAAGTATTGATAACAATCCTTAAATCAGATCAAATGGTCGAGTTACTGTTGTTGTTTAACGCCAATTTCATCAATACAGGCTATATCATGGTGGTTAGATTCTATTTATGGAAGAATCTGGTGTGCCGGGAGAAAACCACCAACCTTCAGCAGGAAAACTGACAATTATAGTCAGTTAAGATTGGAGTCGAAAGCAACTGCCACATGCAGGGTTAGAACTCACAACCTCAGTATTGACAGGTAAATGATGCAGTAGATGAACTACAAAGCTCACTCTGCCACTAAGACTCCCTGATCAAATGAACTATTTTGATTAGAATTATTTGGCAACCTATTTCCTATTAGAATTAAGAGTCCAAGACAGGTTTTTGTTTCACAATTGGACTGTCTAAAAGAGCTTTGGACTATGAATAAGCAAAAAGTTTTTATTTAAAGTTGGTTAATAAATAAACTGTTGACTGAGAGATACGTCTTGCCTGTCGGCAGAAAATTCAGAAAAAGACAATCTGATGGACAGCAACATTGCTAATTAAAACAGGGCCTCGATATGGTTGACAATCTGAGATGTGCTGCTGGTAAAGCAACTTTTTAGAAAATATCATTGATCTTTCACAAGAAGTTCCTCTCAAACTGACATTAGCAGAAAACTTATCTCTTGTGGAGAGTTGTCTCATTGGCAATCATACCACATCTTCTTTTCTATATTAACATTGAAAATTGCTATTCAAAGTCACTGGCTTGAAACAGTTGTCAAACCAATATGTTCTGATAGTCATTCAACTTTTGTATGACCAACTCAGAACTAAGAAACTGCAAGAATGCTTAAATGTTTGAAATGATTTACATTTTGTCATACCATAGCCTTTTGCAACCTAATATGCTGTATGGGTTTTGCTAATTGTTGAAGGCTGTGTGGTGACCTATTAGCATGATTAGTGCTTATATCCATTTTCTTTGGCTTTGATGGATATTTGTTTCATTGGCAATACCATAAATGTAAACATAAATATATTTAATTACCAATTAAGAGCACTGTGGCAATACAGATGATATGTTTAATAAGATAGAATGTAGGCATTCCAACAGCCTGATTTAATTTTAATCAACTTTCTTACAAATGTGCATGTGTTTGGTGTAAATTTTGGGAGTTTTCCTATGGTGCTAGCTAGCAAAAAGCATTATTCATATCTAATGCCCTATCATGTACTTATAATATTTTAAAGTATTCATGCAGCCTAAATTTAGGTAAAGGCAACCGAAATTAAAATCAGAATTCACATCAAAAACAAACTAGTATCAAAGGTTCACAGCATCACCTATAAATGCCATACTCTTTTTTTGTGTGTAAACATTGAATAATGATTTGTGGAGGGCAATAGTTTAAATTTTAATAACCTAAAATTGCAAAAGCCAGAGAAGAAGACCATGCATCCTTGGATTCTGAGACAAAGAATGAAACTAGATGTATTAAATTAATCATATTTACTATGAATGAATTCTGAAGTATGATTAATGAAACATGTGACAGTTATAAATATTCCTGTATTTACCTTAAGTTTACACTTATAAGGTGATTCAATTTGACCAAAATTATGATGCAGTTTACGATAAAGAGTCTATTCTTGTACTTGTTTAAATAGGGGGTGCAAATTATGTAGTCAATAAAAGCATATGTTCGACTTCTTAAACCTTTTTCTTCATAATTCAATTTAAAGTTAAATCTTCCTTAATCTTACATGTGTCTTATAATTGTCATTAGCATTTGCCAAAAAATAATTAATGCAGTTAATTGTCTGAACTTAAATATATTCTTTTGTCAGATGTGTCTACCTGTACAAGTAATGAAGGTTCAATAGCCTGATATGCCCAGAGCATCTAAACAGTTATCAGAAAAAACTTTGGATAATTAAACAATACCAATTTCAGGCAATTGATTCTAATTGCAAACAAAAATGGTGGCGGCTAGCAAAATGAAAACAAGTTTGACATGCAACTTGTTTCAATTTTTGTTTCAAGTTTTTTGTGCTTGTAGCTCATAGTTAATTGTGTTTTGGGCAACATGATTGTAGCTCATAGTTAAGTGTGTTTTGTGCAAAGTGTTTATATTAGGTGATATTTATTTTTCATTCATCATGAAATTGACATTTTATTTCCCCATTCATCAGTGCAGATACCTCTCTTTATGACCATAGCAAAGTTATTCCCATGGGGGGAATTATTTGGTGGTGGTGGAAGATTAGTCCTATAATATATGCCTTCGCATTATATTTTCGTTATTCAACTTATCATGCTGATAGTTTAATTTTTTACTTTTTAAATGCAGCACATTGTTTAAAAAAAACCAAAAAAATAGTAAACCGAAAATAATAAATAGCAAAATAAGTAAATACAAAATATCAGAAATAAACAGAAACAGAAAATAATGCCCCAGAGGTCATATAAATAGGACTAGCCGTAGATATAAGTTAATGATGTGGTGCACAATGATTAAAGTGGTCATGGGGATCCCTACATCATGCCACATCTCCTTGTTCTTATATTACACATTTATTATCAGTTTACATGCATATGATATGGAATACTATCTCTATTCTTTCATAATTAAATGAGTAAAGGTAAAACCAACCATATGATCTGCTGATTTTTGTGCAGCTTCAATTACACAAGTTAATACAACAGTGTCATCGATTGACAATTTCTGTGACAGTTTCTTTTCAAATACAGCCATTGACTCAAATTTTAACAACTGTCAACACACAAATATCGTATAACAGGATATAATTTAGTTGTTTACATGGTCAGTGGGAGTGGGTGGAAAATTTTCATAATAATTTATTTTCAATACCGGACATGATATTAAATATTTCCGGCGTCATAAAATTATCCTAGAAAGTTAAAAGTGTAAATGACATTGATAAGACAGATGATTTTTATTTACTCAATAACACTATCACATAAATTATAATCTATTTTAAGATCAAATAATCATTTTATTTTCATAAAGTAATAACTATTTTTATTCGGGATTAAAATCGCCCGAATACGATATCTGATTATACGATCTCTTACATCATTTTCACAAATGCGTTTGTGCTGAGGAGGAATTTGTATTAGAAATAAAGCATTATTGTAATACAGATCTAATTATTTTTTTGTAAACAAGGCTGAAATGTGACAATGAATTTGTAAGATTTTTTGCACAATATCTGATTAGAAATACAAATTTTACCATAACTTCCTCATTACTACAAGATTGGAAGTTACAGTGTATGATAAAGCTAAAATAATTAACCCAATATATCAGTTTTCATCATAGTATTGCCATAAAATTGTGTTTAGGTCAAGGTTGATCAGGATTGGTAAACAACATGTTTGAAGTGTTATTTGTATTATCTTTTATGAGATAAGAAATTAATTGTCTTAATTAATTGGATTTTTCAGCTTATTTGATTGCCTTTTTGTACTGACACTTCTACAACACAGAGATTGGTCACTTGTGATGTCGCATTAAAACCGAGATTTCATAGTAAAGTCATCTGCAATTAAAATTTAAATAGCGGTACAATGATTTCCAATGAACTCCTGAAAACTCAATATGAACCCAAGAACGGATAGATACATGTTATATGAGGCAGCTGTTACCTGTGAATTTGAAAAGTGACGAACTCAGCAAACCTTTTGAATACTTTACGATACATTTTGTACCTTGTTAACAGCAAATTTATATAAATAAACATTTATTGTAACAAAAATCCCAACATAATTTCTGTTGAAAAAGTAACTGAATTATGGAAACATATCTGATGTTGGTCCTATTGTTCGGAATTTTATATATGACATCATCATTGATCATTTTCGATGCAAACAAAGAAATGCTGATTTCAGGTATTGGTTTTTTCCTTGTTTCAGGGCTCACGCTAGCAGGCGACTAGGGCAAAAAAGTTGCTTTCATGTCAGTCACTTCTAAATAGTCGCTTGCAGTCCATTCGTCATCGGCAATTTCCCATTTTCATCAGGTCAATAAAACGGCAATTTTTCATTTATAAGTAAAGAAAATCAAAGACAGAAACGATTTATTTTTTTAGAAAAGCTATGAAAGTATTGACTTTACAGATTTATTGTATATTATTTCAAAGAAACAACTTGAATGAAGTATTTTCTTTCACTTCCGGTCGAGAGCGTATATCAAAACATTATGAATTTCTGAAAAATAAGTTTGTTTCTTCATTAGAACATGATTAAAATTGCCTTGAGTTAATGTTTCATCCGTTTATTGCATTAAAAGCGTCATATGCCTTTCCAAATTGCTTGTCAAACATCGTTTATTTTCGTTCGCCATTGAAATATTTGTACGAACCATGGATTGGAGGCGGGATTCATTGGAAGTGGACCAGCTATGACCGAAATCTGTATTCTTAGTATTTCTTACGATAATAACTACAGACTAACAGCTGACAGGAGAATAATGATCCCAAAAGTGAAAATTTTGCATTCCACGCGCTTAAAAAACTTTTGGTTAGATCTCCTTGCTAAATGTTTATATTTCCATGTAAATGCATTGTTTCAATTTATTGATTAAAGTTGCTTAACTTTGTCAAATTTATATATCTTTGTAATAAGAAACAAAGAATTTCATAAACATGATAAACAGAATAGTTTTTTGATTGGATTTTAATTGAAACATGATACTGTCTTTTCATTTTTGTGATAAAAAAGATCTTTTTAGTGCTAGATATGTAGTTAGAAGTTTCTGACAAGTGGAAAAAATATAATTGAGTAACTATAAATGATTATTTAAGAAATAAACTGAAACAACTGTTACTTTAATTGTATTCTCAGGTATGAACAATATAAAAAAGAATTAAATATATAGGATACATATGGCTCTTTATATTATGGTAAAAACAAAACATTGTAGCGCCGCAAGCGAACGAGCACTTCTCTTTCAAGTCTCACCACTTCTCCCTATCAGTTTCAAAAAGAGAAGTCACTTCTCACTGTATTTCTGAAGTAGTGTGAGCCCTGCTCGTTTTAAAGTATAGTTTAATTAAAAAATATATAATGATTTATACCTAAAAACAAAGATTAAGCAAAGTCAGCTTATTACTGATCTTTGTACAGATACAAAAATCTGCCTGATTGATCTGAGGTGAGTTTCCCCTTGGAACTCATTTTGTCTGCTTTAAAATTGTATGATGAATAATTTAAGCTCTAAACTCATTTTGTTTTGTACACAAACAGAATAAATTCAAAATGTTCGTCCTCATTAATTTTTTTGGTATTCAGTTACACAAATTTGTGGGAAATTGTATGACTTACAACATGGCAGTGTCCGTCAACAGAACAGGAACAGGGCACGTAATGCTCAAGCTCAACTGTCAGAAATAAGTTACAAATAAAAAGTAAAAAAAACGTTTTGAGTTCATTAGTATATTGATTTTCTTACTGTTATTGGGGACTTCGTCCGCATATTACCTTAAAACTTTACTGTATATGGAGTAATGCTGCTATTATATAAAATAATCAAGTCTATAATTTTGAGATATATTTCATTTTTATACGACCACAAAAAATTTTTGCGGTCGTATATTGGTATGACGTTGGCGTCGTTGTCCGAAGACACATTTGTTTTCGCACTCTAACTTTAGTTTAAGTGAATGGATCTCTTTGAAATTTTACCATAAGGTTAAATACCACGAAAGGAAGGTTGGGATTGATTTTGGGGGTTATGGTACCAACAGTTAAGGAATTAAGGGCCAAAAATAAGCATTTTCTAGTTTCCAGACAATAACTGTGGAACGGTGTATGGATCTCTCTGAAATTATACTACAAGTTTCCATACCACAAAGGGATGGTCAGGATTTGCTTTGGGGGGTTATGGCTCAAACCGTTTAGGAATTAGGGGCAAAAAAGGGGGAAAAACAAGGTTGTCCTGGTTAATGGACAAATACTTTAGTACAAAACATAATTTAAAGCAGTGTAAGGGAGATAAATCAAATACATCATTGAAACTACCTCCCTTACACTGCTTTTAAATTATGTATAAAGTAATGGTTAATGAACAATTAAGATAATTTAAAACAGTGTAAGGGAGGTAATCCAAATACAACGTTTTGGTTACTTCCCTTACACTGCTTTTAAATTATGTTTAAAGAAGTGCATATTTATAAAGGAAGACCAGTAAAAATATCTGCAAATGTTGCATCTTTTTTTTTTACAAAAAAATCCATATGAAATATTTGACACTATATTTTAAATTCTATTATAAAATAGATTAAGTTAGCACTATGGTAAATTTAAATGGGTAATTATGGTTGCAAACTCCATTGGAAATTTGAATTGAGATTATGACCATATCTTGAGGGAAAGAATTTTTTGGGGGGAAAAAGGGGGGGGGGGGGGTAAAAAGAAATTGTGGGGGGTCAATTTTTTTCTCATTTCAGATTTCAGAAATTAAAAAGAATTATTCTTCAAATTTTATTTTTTTTTCAAATTTCAAATATTGAAAAATTTCAAGAAGAAATCTTTAATTGCACAGTATGGTGCATTAGATTTGTAAAATCTTTGACCACATTTATTTATTTGTTATGCCGAATCTAACCGTGTATTTAGATTTTTAATATTGGGTCTAGTTTTTAAATTGGTCTACATTAAGGTCCAAAGGGTCCAAAATTAAACTTTGTTTGATTTTAACAAAAATTGAATATATGGGTTTCTTTGATATGCTGAATCTAAACATGTATTTAGATTTTTGATTTTTGGCCCAGTTTTCAAGTTGGTCCAAATTGGGGTCCAAAATTAAACTTTGTTTGATTTCAACAAAAATTGAATATATGGGGTTCTTTGATATGCTGAATCTAACCATGTATTTAGATTTTTTATTTGTGGACCCCGCTATCAAATTGGTTCATACTGAGGTCAAAAGGGTCCAAAATTAAACTTCGTTTGATTTCATGAAAAATTGAATTATTCGGGTTCTTTGATATGCCAAATCTAACTGTGTATTTAGATTTTTAATTTTGGGTCGTGTTTTTTTTTAAATTGGTCTACATTAAGGTCCAAAGGGTCCAAAATTAAACTAAGTTTGATTTTTTAACAAAAATTGAATATATGGGGTTCTTTGATATGCTGAATCTAAACATGTGTTTAGATTTTTTATTATGGGCCCAGTTTTCAAGTTTGTCCAAGTTGGGGTCCAAAATTAAACTTTGTTTGATTTCAACAAAAATTGAATATGTGGGGTTCTTTGATATGCTGAATCTAAACATGTATTAGATTTTAGATTTTTGGCCCAGTTTTCAAGTTGGTCCAAATTGGGGTCCAAAATTAAACTTTGTTTGATTTCAAAAAAAATTTAATATATGGGGTTCTTTGATATGCCAAATCTAACCGTGTTTTTAGATTTTTAATTTTGGGTCCCGTTTTTTTAAATTGGTCTACATTAAGGTCCAAAGGGTCAAAAATTAAACTTAGTTTGATTTTAACAAAAATTGAATTATTGAGGTTCTTTGATATGCTGAATCTTAACATGTTTAGATTTTTGATTATGGGCCCAGTTTTCAAGTTGGTCCAAGTTGGGGTCCAAAATTAAACTTTTTTTTATTTCAACAAAAATTGAATATATGGGGTTCTTTGATATGCTGAATCTAACCATGTATTTTTTAGATTTTTTATTTGTGTGCCCCGCTATCAAATTGGTTCATATTGAGGTCAAAAGGGTCCAAAATTAAACTTTGTTTGATTTCATCAAAAATTGAATTATTGGGGTTCTTTGATATTCCAAATCTAACTGTGTATTTAGATTTTTAATTTTGGGTCCCGTTTTTATACGACCGCAAAAAAATTTTTGTGGTCGTATATTGGTATGACGTTGGCGTCGTCGTCGTCGTCGTCGTCGTCGTCGTCGTCTGGCGTCGTCCGGCGTCGTCCGAAGACACATTGGTTTTCGCACTCTAACTTTAGTTTAAGTGAATGGATCTCTATGAAATTTCACCACAAGGTTTAATACCACAAAAGGAAGGTTGGGATTGATTTTGGGGGTTATGGTACCAACAGTAAAGGAATTAGGGGCCATAAATAAGCATTTTTGTAACTTCCAGACATAACTTGTGTGCTTATGTATGGATCTCTCTGACATTGTACCACAAGGTTCCATATCACAAAAGGAATGCTGGGATTGATTTTGGGGGTAATTGCCTCAAAATTTTAGGAATTAGGGGCCAAAAAAGGGGCAAAAAACAAGCATTTTTCTAGTTTCAGGACAATAACTTGTGTGTAAGTGTATGGATCTTTCTGAAATTGTACTACAAGGTTCCATATCACAAATGGAAAGCTGGGTTTGAGTTTGGGGGTAATTGCCTAAACGTTTAGGAATTTGGGGCCAAAAAGGGGCCAAAAAAACACATTTTTCTAGTTTCCAGACAATAACTTGTGTTCAAGTGTATGGATCTCTCTGAAATTGTACTGCAAGGTACCAGACCACAAAGGGAAGGCTGGGATTGAGTTTGGGGGGTGATGAATCATAAGGGGGTTCAAAAAATTTGGGGGGGGGGATTTTTTTTTTTTTCCTTTTTTTTCTTTTTTTCCTTTTTTTTTTCTTTTAAAATTTTCCATTTTAAGTTGGTTATTTCTGATTTATATTTAAAAGCAAGTAATAATGATATGGTAGGAGATACACACCAAACAGGATGTGTTAATTATTATATAATAAGAATGGTGCAATAGCAAGAAATTTTCAGTTGCACAGTATTGCACAATAGCAAGAAATCTTCAATTGCATTGTATTGCGCAATAGCAAGAAATCTTCAATTGCACAGTATTGCGCAATAGCAAGAAATATCCAATAGCACAATATTGCGCAATAGCAAGAAATTGTCAATTGTACTGTATTGCGCAATAGCAAGAAATATTTGATTGCACAATATTGTGCAAAAGAAGATACTTCATATAAATTGCTTATTTCTTGACCAATTTCAATGGGGTTTTATTCTTGAATTCTTGGGGTTCTTTAATATGCTGAATCTAACAGTGTATTTAGTTTTTGGATTTTGGGCCTCGTTTTTAAATTGGTCCACATTGAGGTCCAAAGGGTCCAAAATTAAACTTTGTTTGATTTCATCAAAAATTGAATTATTGGGGTTCTTTGATATGCCGAATCTAACCGTGTATTTAGATTCTTAATTTTTGGTTCCGTTTTCAAATTGGTCTACATTAAGGTCCAAAGGGTCCAAAATTAAACTTAGTTTGATTTTAACAAAAATTGAATTCTTAGGGTTCTTTGATATGCTGAATCTAAACATGTATTTAGATTTTTGATTATGGGCCCAGTTTTCAAGTTGGTCCAAATCGGGGTCCAAAATTAAACTTTGTTTGATTTCAACAAAAATTGAATATATGGGGTTCTTTGATATGCTGAATCTAACCATGTATTTAGATTTTTGATTGTTGGTTCCGTTTTCAAATTGGTCTACATTAAGGTCCAAAGGGTCCAAAATTAAACTTAGTTTGATTTTAACAAAAATTGAATTCTTAGGGTTCTTTGATATGCTGAATCTAAACATGTATTTAGATTTTTGATTATGGGCCCAGTTTTCAAGTTTGTCCAAATCGGGGTCCAAAATTAAACTTTGTTTGATTTCAACATAAATTGAATATATGGGGTTCTTTGATATGCTGAATCTAACCATGTATTTAGATTTTTGATTTTTGGGCCCCGTTATCAACTTTGTCCACATTGAGGTCAAAGGGTTCAAAATTAAAATTTGTCTGATTTCATCAAAAATTGAATTCTTGGGGTTCTTTGATATGCGGAATCTAACCATGTATTTAGATTTTGGATATTGGACCATAATAGGTGGATGTCCAATTTAAAATTTTTAAGTTCTTAGACCACATTCATTCTGTGTCAGAAACCTATGCTGTGTCAAATATTTAATCACAATCCAAATGCAAAGCTGTATCAAGCTTGAATGTTGTGTCCATACTTGCCCCAACTGTTCAGGGTTCGACCTCTGCGGTCGTATCAAGCTGCGCCCTGCGGAGCATTTTATTTAAATTGGTCTACATTAAGGTCCCAAGGGTCCAAAATTAAACTTAGTTTGATTTTAACAAAAATTGAATTCTTGGGGTTCTTTGATATGCTGAATCTAAACATGTGTTTAGATTTTTGATTATGGGCCCAGTTTTCAAGTTTGTCCAAGTTGGGGTCAAAAATTAAACTTTGTTTGATTTCAACAAAAATTGAATATATGGGTTTCTTTGATATGCTGAATTTAACCATGTATTTTGATTTTGGACATTGGACCATAATAGGTAAATTAAAAAAATTCAAGTTCTTAGACCACATTCTTTCTGTGTCAGAAACCTATGCTGTGTCAAATATTTAATCACAATCCAAATTCAGAGCTGTATCAAGCTTGAATGTTGTGTCCATACTTGCCCCAACTGTTCAGGGTTCGACCTCGGCAGTCGTATCAAGCTGCGCCCAGCGAAGCATTTTATTATTCAATAAAAGTACAATTTAACTTCATGAATTCTATTTGTGCATCTTTTATATTAGTTCCCATCTGGACTCTGTCAGGAGAAATTATTCAAACCTGATTGGGACTGTGTAAGGTATGCCTGCACCTTGTGCAGGGTACCTTTGTAGTAAATTTCCCTAATCAAAATAACTTTATTGTGTAAAATTTATGACATATAGATAATAATTACCTGTAATTACCTTTTGAATAATCATGTCTGCCATATTGTTATACAAGGAACTTGCATACAAGACATACAAATCAAATTCCTGAAGTTAAATTGTACTTCCATTGAGTAAAAGTGACAATTATCTACAAGTTGAAGTCATAATTATCAATAAAAGCAGTATTACATATACACCATATAAAATTGAGTTTTTGGTTAATATCTATCTGTTCTCAGGTTCATATTGAGACTTTAGAAGTTCTCGGGAAATCGTTGTACATGTACCCATAAAATGGTATACAAGTAGTTTCTTATGCATAGCTAGATGCTTCAGTTTCATATTTATGCATAGCAGACGACAAAGGATTATTGAAACTGCTTTTATCTTAACATTGCCAGGTATAATTACTAAACACCGTATTAAAATAAGGCAAAAAAAAGAACAATGTGTTAACTGTACTTCGACCAACCCTCATTTTTGAGGGACGACTCTAACATTTTAAACATTGATAAGTTGGCAAATTTTATTTTCAGTGATGTTCTTTTTGTTCAAGTCAGCTGAATATTGGAAATTGTAAACAAGTATTGTGTTAAACAGAGAAAAAACATATCTGACTGACAAAAGCAATTTCCCAAAAGATAGGCTAAAAAAAAATAAAGAAAAGAGAATAATGGGGTGCTAATTAAAATATAAAAAATGAAGAATAATTGGCAAAATTTATAAAGAATAGAAAAAAATGGCTTAAAGATTAAAGAATACAGAATTGAAGAACCCGTCCCCACCCTCCCATGTACATGTAATGTTTTAACTTACCCGGTAATTTAAGGGGTTTCTTAATATTAGTCAAAAAACAAATAAAACCAAATAATAATTTCATCAAATCCTAATTACACAAGTGACTTTTCCTTAAAAGAGCTCAAAGTTTAAATTTTTCATAGCTATAAAAATACTTATAAAACAACACTTATAAAACATTAAATTTTAGATTTCTAATATTTATTTATTGTATTTTCAGGTCTCTGAACTTATGTACTGCATTGTGCAAATGGTTTTTATTATGGATATTTCTACAAAAGTCATCATCAGTTGCAGGTGAAAGAGGTACGTTAATTTTAAGAAGATTTATATTTTTAACATTCATGGCAGTAAGAGGGAGGAACAGGGTTCCTTGTAACTCACATACATTGTATATATAGAGACCTTGACTCACAATATTCACATTTTAGTTTCTTACAACCATCATGATGATGATAACAGAACCCAACTTAAGAAAAATGTCCTTTTAACCCACAAACTGACTTGCTACTAGGCATGCATGTTGTGTCTGAAATTGTGCAATAAAAATATCTTGATGAAGAAGTCTTTGTGTATAGTATATGTTATATATGTTTATTGTAAAAAAAAACATTTGATATAAAAAAAACCAACTCCACTAACCACCACCAACAGACTTGTGAAATAAAGCAAAAGTACAAAAACAGTTAACAACAACGCTCTACAATGAAGTACATTTTATTCTATATAAATAACTTTCTGAAAAATGAAACGAAAATACTATCAATGGCAGTTGTAAAACATGAAGTAGTAAAATAAATATTACAATACATTTATATTTTGAATTTCAATTTGCAACTGATTATTCTGAGCTGTGCATGTTTATTTTTGTATTTTAATGGACAACACCAGAGGGTGTGTCACAAATAAGGTTGGAATGTCTGTAGGTAAGGTCAATGTCACAAAATTCGCTGTATTGAAGACCCATTGGTGGCCTTCAGATGTTTTCTGCTCTTTGGTCGGGTTGTTGTCTCTTTGACACATTCCCCATTTCCATTCTCAATTTTATTTAGTCAACTTTTCATCCCCATAAGGCCCATACATTCAAACTTATAAGTCTTGTTTAACTCATAATTTTTAAATGCCTTGAAGGTTATTAATAATACGTGGTATTATTATTGCCCAATACTGTTATTGTAAAACTTGCCTTCTGAATTTATATGTTTTGTTTTCTTTATTTCAGTTTGGATGGATGATGAAACCATGTGTAAGAAGAAAACTGCCATATTTGTATATGACGGAAATCCTTTCTTCATTCAGGCAAAAGAAGGAAATAAAGACAATCCACCGAAGATTTATGATTGTGAATTAATTGTTGGTCCATTTGATGAAAACAGATCGTTAATTGTTACATTTATTTCATTTTATATCAAGACATGTGCTGTTACAGTCACCATTTCGGAAGGGATATCATCAACAATGATGCAAGAAAAATCTTTAGTAAGTTGATATATTATTTAAAAAGTACATTTTATTGCCAATTTTTAGAACTCTTAACTTAAGTGTTGACAGGCTAGTGATACAGTAGTCGATCTACTTAGACCATTCGGCCATGGACACCAAGGCACCCTATTTTGTTATTACATGTATGTATACATGTTGTTTATATTATAGAATAACATGTACATGTAGCAATTATGTGTATGGTTATCAAAAAAATTTTTAATGTTTGTTCACGAGAAGACTTTCATTATTCAGTTGGAACAGTTGCATGTTCTTAGCATTACACACTAGGCTTTGAAAATTATTTTTTCCTGTTTTATCAGTTACATAGACTTCAGGGTTCTCAGTCATAAAACTTTACTTAGTACTCGGAGTACAAAATTTGTGCTCGAAACACCAAATCCAGTATTTTGATTAGTTGAATCCTGATTCTGAGTACGATAATCTCACTCGAAATTTAAAAAACTTAAAAATTTAAATACAATTAGGACTGTGGATTCATTATTATTCATCGGTACCAATTTTTGTGGATTAGGAAAAAATAGTATTTTTCCTTGATTTTTTATTTAGTGGTTTTGCCAAAGTCTGCAACCCCACCATAGTATAATTGGTCTTCGTTGAACATTAAAATTTATGGTTCATGTTAACCAATGAAATCCTTGAATATTGGTATCCCACAAATAGTAATGAATCCACAGTATTAGAAAAACTCTATATCATGTAAGATATTGAATGTAATAATTATCAAGGAATGTTTTTTTCTTCTTCAGAAAACACTTGATTGTAATACTAAAGGCAAAGCAAAGGACCAATCTTTTAGGCTTTCCAAAGAGAATACCTATTTGAGATTTTATTTAAAGACTGATAATCCAGCTGATCTCAATTATAATTTCATATTAAATATAACTTCAGGTAAGTTAAAAAAAATGGGCTGATGATAAAATTTTTAAGACAAAAGATATTGAAAAATAATCTTAGTTTTGAGCAAGGCTTCCAAAACGGTCATATATTCCGGACAATTGTATAATGTTCGGTAAAAGTCCTGCTGGGCAAAGCATGAAACGGTCATCTACTTTTTAGTTGTCAAGGCTTTCTTAAGAGACGGTCATTTTAGCATAATTCACGATCTTTTTGACCCAACCTTTTGCCTTTAACAGCCACACATTTCCGGTCTTTTGAGACCCTTTGTCTATCAATTGGTCCCAGATTTTATACAGGAACTTCAAGGATAATTTTTTGGTATTTTTTTCTGTTTTGAAAAATGTAAACATAAAACTTGATATTGTGAAGATGATTTGATAAAAAATATTAAATTGCAATTTAAAAGATTTTTTTTTGCATATTTAGTAACTTTAATACTGCAATAGTTTATATCACGGTTTTTTGTTAATTCACCAGGATACCTCAATGGAAGACTAAAATATTGATTGAAATTAAAACACAAAACTCTTCCAATCTTTCCACCAGTGATATTGATTACTATGATCACATGGTTGGTGCCAATTTTAATTGATTTCACAACATTCAATTATAGATTAATTAATTGTTTGTTAAGAGACTACTAATTAATATTGTTGCTTAAGTATTTCATGGGATCATTATTTCATGTACACTTAACCCGCTTTCCCTTCTTTTCATATTCTTGTCTTTGCTAACTATCAGATTATTTTATATGCCCTTAAACTGTAAACGTAAATTACTTTTTCCATGTTATTTTATTCTGAAATCATTATTGCTATGAATTATTCTTTGTTTTTTAAATAGAAAACCCTACATTAAAGATACCAAGGGGACATTCAAAACTCATAATTCAAGAAAAAACTGGCAATGCCATGGCAATAATGAAAGACATCGAAAAAGAAAAAAAAGTTTCACAAAACTAACAACTGACTAACATGAACCCTACAAAAAACTGCTGAATACATTATTTTATACAATGAAGTCTAATTCAGTTTAAGTCATATAAATGTAATAAAACGAAACAAAAAATAACTTGATATATGTAAGATGGTAACTACCTGTAGAAATAATATAACAAAGAAATGAGACGTTTTGAAAATTAATATAATACTGTGGGATTCATTTATTTTTCGTCAGTACCAGTTTCGTGGACTGAGGAACAATTGTATTTTTGTGTATATTTAACATGATATTTAATCATGGTTTTTTCAAAGCTTGCCATTACCCACCAAATCCAAGAGAAATAGTATCTATGGAATAATAATTAATACACAGTAAGATGTTAATTTTATATTTTCAGTGCCGGTGAAACCAGAAGATGGCAGTCAATTATCAGTAGGTGTAAAGATTGGCATAGCTATAATAAGTGTAGTAGCTTTTATACTTATTGTGTACTTTGTATTCAAAATTGTAAAACTGAGAATGTCAATAAAGGAGGATTTAGATGTCTCACCATCTGCCACAAATCTGTATAACCTACCTGGAAGTAACGCATCTAATGTTAATTCTTACGTACCTGTTCCAGCGAAAGAACCAGCTGCAAGACAAATAAGGCAACCAGGTGAGGAAACACGTTTGTTTGTAGGAGCAATGATTCATTATGTACTGGTAATACACTCTATGATCATTATGGGAATATATTGACCATGATAGGTTACTAAACAATAAAAAAATTATTAAAGAAGCAAAAACTAATGGTAACTATATTTGATAAAATAAAAAAAAAATTATTATGGTTGAAAGTGTAGAAAACAGGTTAGAAATTTTAAAATATGGAATATAATTTGTCCGGCAAAAAATTGGATAAAAGTCTTACTGATATGCCTGTAAAAGAAAATTTACATCTAGTTACACTGAATGCATAAAAGTCCAAATGAATGGAAGAACACATTATACCATGAACTCAAAAGAGGAGATCTAGAGGACCTCAGTGGCCAAGTGGTCTAAGAAGTTTATCTACTGCATCATTAGGCTGTCAACACTGAGGTTGTGAGTTTGAACCCCGCATGTGGCAGGTTCGTTGGACCCAATCTTAAATGACTAGGATTTCCAGTTTTCTTGCTAAAGGTTGGTGATTCCATCTAGGCACTCTGGTTTCCTCCTCAGCAAATAGTACTGAAAGTGGTGAAAACACCAAAAATCAATCAATCAATCAAGAGAGGGGAAATAAATACTAAAATTTAATTGTAGATACTTATCTTCTCTGTCTTCACTCCTGGTTATTTACTGTTTACATATAAATGCAAATCAATTTTTTAGAAAGATCTCAAAAACAAAAAAGTACCAATGAGATTTGATTTGTTTAACTTCAACAACACTACAGGCACAGTAGTAGAATACTTAGAATTGATTTTACTTTCATGTAAAAAAGTAAGAAGGAACCATAGACAATTAAATTAAAAGCCATAAGTTGAAGAAGAACAGACAAAACCATGGACAAATAAAAAAAGATGAAAAGACAATATTTACTTAACAGAACACAGAAAATTAAAGATTGATCAGTACAAAGATCTTGTATACAGAAATGTGTAACTGTGAATAGAAAAGTTCTTGCAATAGGAGGAATAACTAGAAGAAATCAGTAAAAACTGAAAGAACAGGTGGGGAACTCTGGTTCTCTGGAAGGGTAAGCTGGTCCTGTTTCAATGGTGGCACATTTCATGTTGCTAATGACAAGGGGAAAATATCCAATTATAGATCAGTTTGGTGATCAGACATAATGAATAAATGAAGATTGGGTAATAGCTGTGACAAATAAAATATATTCATGTTCCTCTGTGACACTGATGCTATATATCTGTCAACTAAGTCCTAATGGTGTCCATAAAATTTATGAAGAGATTACTTAATTTTTACATTTCAGATCCAGAGATCTATTATGAATTCAGTCCATCACAGACTCAGGTGACAGAGAATGGATCAACAGACCCAAAGACTCCAGAGATCTCACCACCATCTTACGAGGAAGCATTAGAAAACTCTGTGCCACTTACTGAAACAGATCGTCTTAATGCAGAATATGTAAATTATAGTACAGAAAACTCATAATGTATACATGTGTAATTATCATGATTTTTAATGATGATCCATATTAGAACAAATACTGTTAAAAAAAATAGCTATAAGTAGATCTTGCCACAATTCATTGTTAATAATTAGTATAATAAGAATTTTAATGTTGGGTCCGCTTTGAGTTGGCATAATATTTAATGGAATTAAAGATATATATTTATATTGATAAAACCAATGATGAATAGAGTTGTTTGAAAAAAAGACAAGTTGATTTCTATTTCAAAATATTGGTGTATGTTTGAAATACTGACCATCTAAGAAAGAGGGAAATTATTGGTATAACTTTAGGAGGGCAGACTGCCTTCTTAAGGAATTCATGGAGAATATCCCAATGTGTGGTGCTGACCTGACACTTGAAATCCTCAATTATGTGAAGGACAAAATACATTGCTATTCATATACATGTAATATCATTCAAAATTATAAAGAATATGATTAAAAACATGTACGACTTGTATAAAAGATGCATTAGGTCCTCTTGTACATAAAATCTCCCATACAGATTTTAATAAGTTAGCAAGTATCTTAATGAATTGATTGATTTTTGTTTGCTTTATGCCATATTAAGCCCAAGTATGATAATGGATTATAATATTCATGTATAGGATGGAAGTTATAATAAATAGGCTCTGCTTTATATGGCCTTATGTAAATGCAGTTAGTGTGACCATACTAAAGATGAAAATTAAAAGACAGTTATTAAGACACATTATGCATTTTAAAGGCTCTGAAAGACAAGTACATTTGTATATTAAACAGTCATAACTAAGCAAGCTACAATCATACGCTACGAATATCTTTAAAAGAAAATAGTGCAAAATGTATCAAATTATACTGGTTTTGCTTTTTTTGTGTTGTCTGTAAGCTGTATTTGAAATGTTGTACATAGCTAAAACAAAAATAAAAACCAATTCTCTCTGGAGGTTTATCTCAGGTCTTAATTTTGTTTACCATAGTCATGTGTAAATCAGTAATTCTTTAACCAATACATTATTAGCCTGTGGTGCTTAACTGTCATTAGTTATTACAAAACATTAATCGTATGTCTTTATATAACTTTTCATACATTAAATATTAATTCAAACAATAAAAACATGCAGAAAAAAATAGAATATTGTACATTACTTTATTTGTTGTCAACATAATTAAAAAATAAGAATTCAAATTTCAATATTCCGTTTTTTATTTCCATCTCTAGGCCCAAAGGACTGAGCTCAGTTACTTCCACCACTTGAAATCAAATATCTGCAAATTTAAAATTAAAATATAATGGTGTAATGGTCATTTTGATTTTTCTTAAGCTTCTTAACCCTAGCTTGATTAGATAAACAAATATTTGTGGTTGACAATTTCTATACAGTATCAAAGTCTGGATACTAAAATGCATATAAATAAGTCATATGTTAGTTAACTTACTGAATTGTCTCTAATGATCCCACTTACCATTATTAGAAAAAGACTTAGTCAATGGATTTAACCCTTTTCTGCATATACATTTAATATTCATACATTTCATCATGAATCTATATGGCTGGATGGAGCTGTACCATACAAATAATTGTGCACTGCATGTTGAATATATACGCTTGCACATAAATCATATATTCATTCCATCCATTAGTTATTGATTTGACAGCATATTATGTTGTAACCATTACTTATGTAATACTTTGTTGAACAGATATGAATGAGTAATCTGTAATCAGTGAGATATAAAAAAAATATGCAGACCTATAGTGTCAATTTCATTATCTGTTGAAAATAATTTAGAGAGTGTTTTTGTTACAATTAACAAAATTAATATGAGGTTGTATTTTCTTATATTACTGTGGATTCATTTTTATTCGTGGTATACCAATTTTCGTGGGTTTCGTGGGTCACAGCGAACCACGAATTTAAGAATTCAACGAAGAATAATCCCGAGAAATGTGTATGGAGTCGGATGTTTATTTCCAGTTATGTTATGCAGTTCTAGTATAGTGTTGACTAACGATAAACATTGTAACATAACACGTGTTTTTCTTGAAAGAAGATACAAGTATTTTGATTAAATCAATAATAAATATATCGAATATCAGTGACAATTTACTTTTTAAAATTGATTTAAACTGTTCATGGAAAATAAATGCAAGTTGTTAATTACCGTGTCATAGTTTGGTTTACTGGTGATTAAAAATCAATAGGATTAACGGTGCGGGGATATTGCCCGTAGGTAATATTATTTATGACAGGAACATTTATTTTCACACCTTTTACTTATACTTATATATTATATCATGATTAGGGAAATGAGCTTTCGATCATAGAGTTTTAAATGCCTTATAAAATTCCGACAAGAATTTATAAATTGTAAAACAAACAAATAATTAGTTGTCTCTGTCCATTATTGTAATAGAAGTTTTCAATGAACACTTTAACCTAGAATGACCAAGCGAGGATTTTGACAATTCAAAACCTTTTCAATGAATTCTTTCTTTTTTGTTTGTTTTATTATTGATCAAACCAAGGAGGGTATATGATCTCCTAAATTAAAAAGAAATCCACGAATTACGTATCGGATTTTTTTTTTTTTTTTGTTATCAGCGATCCACCAATTTACGTATACCACGAAACGTCTTTTTTTCTCTATCCACGAAAATTGATACCCACGAAAATAAATGAATCCACAGTATGTGAGCATGTAAGCTTCAACTATGATCTTTTTGAAAGAGGAAATGTTTTTGGTTTTTTTTTGTTGTTGTAGGATTGTGTTTCTAAAGTTATGAGATGTGTTTCTATGCTTTTTTATATTGTGAACAAGTACTTAGTGAAAGTATAGTTTATAATTTTTTCACATTTATATACTTAAATACTTTTACATGTCTCCCCTTATAATGTCCTGTAAACCAATGTTGTTAAACAAAGAAAGCTAAATTCTGTTCATTACTATTTTGGTGTAAGATTTTGGCTATTAATTGGTTGTCTAATCCAAGAGGACACATACTGTAAATTCAGAATTTTTTGTGATATTTTGATTATTGCTACATGATAGTATTTGTAAGTATTTACAAATACAAATACTTAAAAATGTTAATTGCCTTAATTGTAGGCAGCATTTCCTTATATGGCAATAATTAATCTCGTTTTTGTGTTCATTGTTCAACAATAACAATCATAAATGCAATAAAAGAAGTTCTGAATTTACAGTTCTATGTCTAGATGGGCATTTTAACCAATTTGAATATAATGACCTTTTCAACATTTCTGCAATGAATCTGAACTGTAATTTTGTGTATGGACAATCTCCTTCAGTTCCATCTAGTTCAATAATGCATTTAATATTATTTTCATCATCTGTCTCCTAAATCTACCAATCCATTAAAACCAAACATGCCAGATTAATAAAAGTCTAAATGTATTCAACTTATATAGAGAAATTTTTTTCTTCTTCTTGAATGCATAACACTACTGCATTAATTGTTTTTTTCTGTTGTTAAAATAGTGCACAATGTAATATAGATATGAACGATTGTCATCCTACGATTTTTTTCTGCATATTGAATTAAACATCAATGCAAATCATAGATACCTGTACTTGTTTTTATTACATTGTATGAAATTCTACTAGTCACACATATCCTGTTTGGAAATGTGTGTTTTTGTGCCATAGACATCTAGTTTTACAAACCAATTTTTGTTTTTTTAGGTCTATTTTCTAACACTTTTTGTTTTGGCATTATTATCAGTGTAGAATTGTTGTACCTAGAATGGAAAGTTTTTCTTTTTTTGTTTCTTATGCTTTTAAAATAAATTTTAAATGTGCATTAGATTATGTTTCTCCTCAATTTTTCCCATTGACGATTACTGTCTCTGTTTTAACTTTGTGTGTATTTTTATTTTTGCGGTCGTATATTGGTATGACGTTGTCGTCGTCGTCGTCCGAAGACACATTGATTTTCGCACAATAACTTTAGTTTAAGTGAATGGATCTCTATGAAATTTCACCATAAGGTTCAATACCACAAAAGGAAGGTTGGGATTGATTTTGGGGGTTATGGTACCAACAGTTGAATTAGGGGCCAAAAAGGGGCCAAAAATAAGCATTTTTGTAACTTCCAAACAATAACTTGTGTTTACGTGTATGGATCTCTCTGAAATTATACCACAAGTTTCCATACCACAAAGGGATGGTTAGGATTGACTTTGGGGGGGTTATGGCTCAAACCGTTTATGAATTAGGGGCAAAAAAGGGGAAAAACAAGTGTTTCCTGGTTAATGGACAATTTAAAAGCAGTGTAAGGGAGGTAATCCAAAAACAAAATTGTACAATGTTGTACAATGTTGGATTACCTCCCTTACACTGCTTTTAAATTATCTATTTAAGACTTTTATGATGTATTTAAATTGGTAATTATGGTTGCAAACTCCATTGGAAATTTGAATTGAGATTATGACAATATCTTGAAGGAAAAATTTTTTTTTGGAAAGGGGGGGGGGGGGGGGGGGAGTTGGGCAAAAAAGAAATTGTGGGGGGCATTTTTTTTTTCCATTTCAGATTTCAGAAATTAAAAAGAAAATTTCTTCAAATATTTTTTTTTTTTTGCAAAAAAAAGGGGGTGGGGGGTCAATATGCAACAGCATAGTGTATTTCACAAAAGCAAAAAATTGAATATAAATTCAAATCATATAACCAATTCTAAGTTCTTTGATTACAGTTATTTGGTGTCTGAAACCTATTATGTGTCAAATATTTAATTACAATCCAAATTCAGACCTGTATCAAGCGTGAATATTGTGTCCATTTTCGCCCCAACTGTTCAGGGTTGGACCTCTGCGGTCGTATCCAGCTGCACTCAGCGAAGCATTTTATTGTATTTACTAGTCATTTTCTTTTTCCCATTATCCTGCCTCTAGTTCTGTTAAATACCTTGTGCAGTGTTACACTATTTAATAAAACCATACTGGAACAAATTGGTTATTTAAATTTTTATATAAAATTTGATTGATTTGATTTGATTTTTGGTGTTTTAACGCCACTTTTAAGCACCTCTTTTGGGCTATTTCGTGACGGCCAGTTTTTATTGGTGGAGGAAGCCGGAGTGCCCGGAGAAAACCATCGACCTTTGATAGGAAAACTGACAATCCTAGTCAAATAAGATTGGTGTCGAGTGCACCCGCACGAGCGGGGTTCGAACTCACAACCTCAGTGTTGACTGGCTAGTGATTACAGTAGTAACTACTCAGACCACTCGGCCACCGAGGCCCCTATATAAAATTTGAACAATTGAAAGAGAATGTACTAATTTGAATTCATTTATAATTTGTAACATGAAAATGTTGATGAAATAGGAAATGGAAAATCATTATACTATGTATTCAATAAAACAAATACTGGTAGTTGATTTGACAGTATCAATGATAAAAGTACTTTTTCCAACTTCTCCTCAAACCAAGATAAATAGTACTTGTGTAATTGAATTTTTGGTTCTTTTAAGAAAATATCAGTTTAGTTTGAGTTGTGGATGCTTTATCACCGAGATAGCAAAATAAATTATATATTTTAATGGCATTATGAGCAAAATATCAATATCTTGAAGGGGCTTTTCAAGAAATATTGCTTTTGGATGTGTTGGAGGCAACAGGAAGAAGGCACTTTTAACTAAATATGATTCATGGCTTCTGAAAATGTAATTAACTAAAGAATATAATCATTAAGAAATTATGCACTGTGGAATAAAGTAAAAAGTTTTTCTCCCATCTCATGTATTTATTTCTTGAATAGCCCTGAAAAAGCCTTGTATTCTCTTTAGGATTGATAATCAATGTATGTCACCTTATTAAATATTTGGTTGTGAAACAGGTAGTTTATGAGCATTTCTTTTATAAACATTTTTGTATACATATTAAAATGAATACATTTTTTCATATGAAAGTGTAAAATTTGCCCTTAAATTTTAATTTGACTTGTGTTTTGTTATTAATCATTCTCCTTTAGTCATTTCCTAATCATTTTTAATTCAAACTGATATTTAGTGCAATATTTTTTTTTTCATGCAGAAATGATTTAAACCATATGTGCCTGTATTGTTTTAGCTAACCTAGGACTAACTAATAATGGAATGAATAATTGTCCCAGAATTAAACAACTCTGAAAGCTACTTCATTAAGAAATGTAAAAAGGTCACGCTAAATTTTTTCAATAAAAAATGGGAAGAAAAGTTTCTCAGCTGAAAGGACCTTTATGATTTTTTTGGCCACTAAATTGTAAATAACTTTTTACTTTAATAAATTATTTCTGAAACCTCTAGGCAAACTTTGGACCATAGATGATCTGGATTATAATAAGGGATATACTTCAACATGTACAATGAGTAATTATATACTATTTTATATATTTTTTTTTATATTTATCGATGGTGAGTAAAACTCAAATTTGACCTATTTGTGCAATCACATAACCTATTGTAACTGAATGTTGGGGAAATTTTTCATTTAATGGATTCCCTCCCCTTCTCAATTTTAAATAAATGATAGAAAACATTGGCTAAGATATATGTTCTTTAGATTAGTCATTTTCTTTAGGGGATTTCCTTTTAAATACCAGGTAATTCATTTCAGCTAACTTGAAATTGATTAGACTTTGAGGAAAAGTTTCAGGAGTCAGTTTCACAAAAATAATAACGACTAAGATTGATCGCAAGTCATGAACAATACGTTTGATCCATATCGTTTCCATTACCAGAAATACTCTTTTACTATACGCTGATTTCTCACGTCATTTAAACGTTTTATGGGCTAACTAGATCCCTGTATCTTTGAACTGATAAAGTAATTGTGACTG